TCCCGCAGACAATTTTAACCTGGATTTCTCCCGAATTATAGGCTGAACTTATAACTGGTAATGCAATCACTTCTATAATCCAGTTATGTCCGAAACCATTGATGTTTATTATGACTTAGCTCACCCGATTCAACAGTAGTTAGCCGCTTCAAGAGGTATAGGTAAGTAATGTTAGAAGTGGACATATATTATTAATTTATAATATATGTTATTAATAAGCCTTTTTGAAGCGGCTAACTTTAACAAGTTTTAATATCTGTAACTATTTTTTATTTTTTAAAAATGAAAGTCTACTTTAACGTAGCTAAGTCTTTAACTTCATAATAATATCATCCATGGTCTTCGACATTGAAAACACGAATTATTTGTCAATTTAAATCAACATTGATGATATGATCTTACCGGGAAAAGATGGGCCTCTGATAACCAATATTTAAGACAAAATAAACATTTTGTCATTGGTACACGAATCGTGAACCAGACTGCGTTTCAGCGCCATTTGTAATAAAGGACACGAAGAACGAGGCTAGACATATTCCACAAGCAAATGCGAAATATATTTGTTAAGGCCAGCTCAATTTACGTAAAGGTCGCTGAGATGTAAATAAGGCTAGGACACGTGATTGCTGGCGAGTTTGTAGGTTAGGTTTAAGAATTTGGGGGAGAGGTTAAGTCTCCTCAAAAGCACTGACCTAGGATGATGAAAATTTGGTTCGTGATATTTCCTAGTTTTATAAAAAAAAATACATACAATACATTAGATTTATATACTAATCGGCGAAACCTGTCAAGAATAGAACAGCAGAAAATTTAAATGAAATGAGTTTAACAGACTGGGTGTTTATCGGGACTGCAAAAATATATTCATTGGTTAAAGGCTATTTCAACTTTCAATAAAATGACTGACTGAATGAATGAATGAATGAATGGATGGGACTTAAAGTCCAATTAATGCCCCATAGGTTATATTGGGACTTTATTTAAACAATATTGATAGGTGCAATTACGCAAATGGATAACTGATGTGATACAAAACTAGGGTAGGCCTATTATTATAGCTCGGGATCATCTATTGAGAACTTAATTATTTGTTGTATGATTAATAAATAAAGTATGATCGAGACTATGAGTTATTAAATGTTCATTACAATATAAATCCCCAATTTTATCGGCACCTACCATGCGATGCTTGCTTCCAGTCTTTGACAATGTTGGCCTAATCACGCGAAAATTGTCCACCTTTCCTATAAAGTGCTGAAAATACGACCATCTTAAGGGAACGTATTTTATTTGTTTGTTGTATTATTAATTACTAAAGTATGATTTAGATATCAGTTACAAGTTGTTGGTAACGATACAAATCTTCACCATTGTCCAATTTTAATTTGACCTCACCGATCTTAAAATATTCCATTTACAAACTTTTTGCTGGGAGGATAGCAACAGAATCCTTAAAGTTGGAATCTAATGTAGATTACCCTATACATGTGCCTATACATGTTCGCCAATGGGATAGTGTGATCAGACACTATGGTAGATTATGCAATTTGACGGATAGTCGAGTAACTAAGATTGTTTTTAACTGGAGTAATTTAAAGGCAAAAAGAACCAAAAACTGGAATTTTAGAGTTAAGAATCATTTAAAGAAACTAGATATCAATATAGATATGAATAGTCATGTAAATACCCGAAAACTTGTTTGTGATGTTTTCGAAAGAAACTCCCATTTGTCTTTAGAAAAATGGTTCAATGTTGTAACCCATGTTAGTGCTAAAGCCGGCCAAGGTCATAATAAGCTCCGGTCTTATCGTTTGTTTAAGTTTGTGTATGGACCTGAGAAATATGTAACGGACAATATTATTCCCTCCCATCGCAGTGCTCTGGCGAAATTTAGATGTGGAGTAGCTCCGCTCCGTCTAGAAACTGGGCGATATGAAGGAATCCCTGTTGAGAGCCGTCTTTGTTTTTATTGTACAGATAAAGTCGAAAATGAAGAACATTGTCTTTTAGAATGCGAATTATATAGCGATTTTAGGAATGTTTAATTCACTTTTATACAGGATGTGTGTCCAAACTTTGCGTCTTTTAATAGCTCTGATAAAATGTCTTTTATTCTGTCCAGTGACGAAGTAGTTAAGTTGAGTGCCAAAACCTGCTGCGATATTTTAAAAAGACGGAGGCAAACTTTATACCCATGTTCGTGATTGGGTTCCTATTTTTAGCCTATAAGTGTAGATGTAAATTTTAAAATTCACATTGTATGTGTGTTTTTCTGTTATTTGTATTTTACTATGCTTATTTATTTGTGTCTATATAATGTACAGCTCGTCTCTCATAATTCTTAATGAATGGCAGTTTCTTTTTATTCTTAGTATATTATAATTTTTGAATGTGATGTATTTATAACTGGTGAGACGTTAATAAACAACTACTACTACTACTACTACTTACCCCTCAAAAGAACCGCCGCATTGTTTTGACGTGACACATAAACACCAAGTGTTTCAAAATCAATCATAGACAAAACAAAATTATTTAGATAGATATGTACATGTAGATAGACATATTAACAACACATTTGTTTTCTCTTTAATCAAACAAAACGAATCATTGATATTTGATTGTCTTTTTCACAATCCTGTCATCTTCTGTAATTTTTAGAATAACACGTCCGGGGGTACGAGCAAAAAGGGTTATCAATCCATTTTACATATAGCCGTTGTAGACACTCGAGATGATACAGAATATACGTGACATTAAGCATTTCAATTCCTGTTTTCACAACGTATGAATCCTGATGTACATTATAACCTAAGCAGAAATAGGCAATAGAACTATATATAGATATAAAAATCCCCCAAAACTGCACTCTGACCCGAGTGTGCAACTAAAACGTTTATATACACAGATAATCGGTTGGTCATCATGGTTACAAATTCTTTGCAATTGACCTGTCCATCCCAATATCAGCCTCTCTAATCATTTCATCTATTTCCTCATGTGTGGATTTTTTTACCAAGATTTGTCATAACATGTCGTAAGTCAGCAGCACTGATAAATCCATTACCGGCTTTATCAAAAACATGAAAAGCTTCACGAATATCGTCTGCGGTGTCTGTCATATTTCTTGACATAATGTTTAAAAATTCAGGAAAGTCGAAAATTCCACCACCTTTGTGGGATTTTGTCCAATAGATCTCAAAACTGTTCCCAATTCCTTGATCGTTATTTTACCATCTTAATTTTTATCTAATATCTGCTGTGTGTTGTTCAGCCATAGTGTATTTGTATTTGTGAATTTTAATCTTTAGATATTATGATGATAGATAGTTATATTTAAGGCGAGAGCAGTTTTAATATGATTTAATCGTATTAATCATAATCCGTTTATGTAGTATTGTATTAATGACCTGTAAACTACATATCAATAGAGATTAGATTTACGATCGCGTTTATCTTAGATTAACTTAAATTAAATTGATAATTACCTTTTAATTATCTAATGTTTTGATAATCTCTGCTATTATTAAATATACATTATGGGAGATTAGATAAAGAGCTGGAAGTTATCACTATAATAGTTAAAAAATAGATAATGTAAAGGGAATTTGCTGAAAATTTCAGTCAAATATATCGACTCTGAACCGAGGTTTTAGCGATTGAATTTTCGGCCATGCCTCGATCATCATTACTAAAGTCGGAACGATAAAAAAAAACATAGTCTCGATTATGCATTTCATGATTAAATTATGAATGGAAGCCGAACAGCAAATCGGAACCTAATCCAATAATCATCTCTGGCTAGCGCTGACATAGACAGTTGATTATGGTCTGGATAAGTTAATTAATGTCTAATTAATAATTTAGATAACATTTCAGGCCTAAACAAAGACCTGCAATAGGCAGATTTAGCTCTTGCATAATGTATGTTTAATAGACAACTTTCTGGACATGGTTTTCTAAATTCACTATTGTTTCAAAATGATGTACCAAAAAAAAAAAAAACATTCGACACCAAAAAAAAAAAAAAAAATAAATAAATAAAATTGATATAATGATAATAATTACTCAAAGTTGTATGCCATGTAAAGAAATTGTTATTTCTAATTTTTTTATAAGATGAGACTGGATCACGTAGTGTCACAGCGAAAAGGGGTTGGCGGTTTCCAAGGGCATAAGGATTGAACGGGCGCCAAATATTCGGAGATTCATTTTCTCAAAGAATCATCTTGCTATTCATTTAAGCCCCCATATAGTTTTATAGATATTAAACAATCCCTACTGTGTGATTTTCAATTACTAAACTGTTTAAAGATGCCCCCCCCCCCGCCCGCGCGTACAAATTGTTTGATTTGGTGATATTATTTAGACTAAAAGCATGTTCAAACTAATTTATCTATTTTTCTAGTAAGACTGAGTGCCTCTACGTTGCATATAATATCAAATATGCCATAAATTTATCGGAAATAACTACCCTGTAAGTACTTAATGTCACAATATATTACAAATGAGATGCTATTGCATGCTTCGCGGATGTTTAAAGCATTAGCAAGATCATTTCTCTTTAAAAAAATCACTGAAAATATCCAATATTTAAAATTTGATTACAAAGTCGAGAGGTTGTAGTTAGTTTTTAAAATAGTTGAATAATCGATTTTTTTTATAAATTTGTGTGATAATAGTTGAAAATATTTTGCTTTTTTTGTACCGAATTGGGATTTAGTTTGATATTTCTTTAGTATTTTATTCAGACAATTCATTAAATAGATCAAGCCATGCTAATAGACGTATGATTTATAACATCAATCTCTGTGGTTGCCAACGTAACTGTAATCTGTATTATTTTGTTGAGGGTATTAGTATTACCAAGTCAACGGATTAATCTGATTAAAGTCATTATATATAACTCCCCATGATATAGATCAAAATACACAACAATCTCTCACCTCAACAGAATCAGACTCAGAAATACGATACTATCAAACCAATTACTTTACATAATGGCTGATCAACTGAATGAAGAACAAATTGCTGAATTTAAAGAAGCTTTCAGTTTATTTGATAAAGACGGAGATGGCACCGTAACTACCAAAGAATTGGGAACTGTTATGAGATCTCTGGGACAAAATCCAACAGAAGCAGAACTACAAGACATGATTAACGAAGTTGATGCTGACGGTAATGGAACGATCGACTTTCCTGAATTTTTGACCATGATGGCTTCCAAAATGAAAGACACAGACAGTGAAGAAGAAATTCGCGAAGCTTTTCGTGTTTTTGATAAAGATGGAAATGGATTTATCAGTGCTGCTGAATTACGACATGTTATGACAAATCTTGGTGAAAAATTAACAGACGAGGAAGTAGATGAAATGATTAGAGAGGCTGATATTGATGGTGATGGACAAGTCAATTATGAAGAATTTGGAAAAATGATGACCAACAGATAAACAAAGCGCAATGTTGACTTTAAAAATAATTAAAAAAACAACAAACAAACAAAATCCCACGCCGTGAATATTATTGTCAATACCATCATTTTGTTAGCATTAAACATTAATTTCATTACCGTAACATGTACAATAAAAGTTATATTTATAATGAATGTGTATTTCCTTTAACGTTCTACTGTCTATACCGACTGGGTGCTATGGGGGAAATTTTGCCTGGCACTACGGCATACTCTTATATCGAATTCCCGCTGTCAAGGGTTCTTTTACGTGTACAAAGGGCCTGGGTATTGCGTGTCATCCGAATGACTATAGGTCTACCTTGTCCCTTGCCAGGCCCTCCCTTGCCAGGCCCTCCGTCCTGCATCAGTAACAAGGGGGAACCAAGCCGGAAATTCAGATGAACATTCTCGGTCAACACAGGCTCGAACACGGGACCTCCAGTTGGCGAGCCGACGTTTTACTAACCGAGCCACCATGGATCCCACAAACAATTTTAACCTGGATTTCTCGCGAATTATAGGCTGAACTTATAACTGGTAATGCAATCACTTCTATAATCCAGTTTTGTCCGAAACCATTGGTGTTTATTATGACTTACCTCACCCGATTCAACTGTAGTTAGCCGCTTCAAGAGGTATAGGTAAGTGATGTTAGAAGTGGACATATATTATTAATTCTAATATATATTACTAATAAGCCTTCTTGAAGCGGCTAACTTTAACAAGTTTTAATATCTGTAACTATTTTTTTATTTTTTAAAAATGAAAGTCTACTTTAACGTAGCTAAGTCTTTAACTTCATAATAATATCATCCATGGTCTTCGACATTGAAAACACGAATTATTTGTTAATTTAAATCAACATTGATGATATGATCTTACCGAGAAAAAATGATGGGCTTCTGATAACCAATATTTAAGACAAAATAAACATTTTGTCATTGGTACGTTTGTATACACAGATAATCGGTTGGTCATCATGGTTACAAATTCTTTACAATTGACCTGTCAATCCCAATATCAGCCTCTCTAATCATTTCATCTATTTCCTCATGTGTGGATTTTTTACTAACATTTGTCATAACATGTGGTAAGTCAGCAGCACTGATAAATCCATTACCGCCTTTATCAAAAACACGAAAAGCTTCACGAATATCTTCTGCGGTGTCTGTGCCTGTCATTTTTCTTGACATAATGTTTAAAAATTCAGGAAAGTCGAAAATTCTACCAACTTTGTGGGATTTAGTCCAATAGATCTCAAAACTGTTCCCAATTCCTTGATCGTTATTTTACCATCTCCATTTTTATCTAATATCTGCTGTGTGTTGTTCAGCCATGGTATAAGGTGGTTATGCTACTCTCGTATTGTGAATTTTAATCTTTAGATATTATGATGATAGATAGTTATACAGTTTGTCTATTTAAGGCGAGAGTAGTTTTAATATGATTTTAATCGTATTAATCATAATCCGTTGATGTAGTATTATATTAATGACCTGTAAACTACATACCAATAGAGATTAGATTTACGATCACGTTTATCTTAGATTAACTTAAATTAAATTGATAATTACCTTTTAATTATCTAATGTTTTGATAATCTCTGCTATTATTAAATATACATTATGGGAGATTAGATAAAGAGCTGGCAGTTATCACTATTATTGTTAAAAAATAGATAATGTAAAGGAAATTTGCTGAAAATTTCAGTCAAATTGATCCACTCTGAACCGAGATTTTAGCGATTGAATTTTCGGTCTAGCCTCGATCATCATTACTAAAGTCGGTACGATAAAAAAAAACATAGTCTCGATTATTCATTTCATGATTAAATTATGAATGGAAGCCGAACAGCAAATCGGAACCTAATCCAATAACCATCTCAGGCTAGCGATGACATCGAGAGTTGATTATGGTCTGGATAAGTTAATTAATGTCTAATTAATAATTTAGATAACATTTCAGGCCTAAAGAAAGACCTGCATTAGGCAGATTTAGCTCTTGCATAATGTATGTTTAATAGACAACTTTCTGGACATGGTTTTCTAAATTCACTATTGTTTCAAAATGATGTACAAAAAAAAAAAACAACATTCGACACCAAAAAAAAAAAAAAAATAAATAAAAAAATAGAATAAAATTGATATGATGATAATATTTACTCATAGTTGTATGCCATGTAAATAAATTATTTCTAATTTTTTGATAAGATGAGAGGAGACTGAATCACGTAGTGTCACAGCGAAAGGGGGTTGGCGGTTTCCAAGGGCGTAAGGATTTAACGGGCGCCAAATATTCGAAGATTCATTTTCTCAAAGAATCATCTTGCTTTTCATTTAAGCCCCCATATAGTTTTATAGAAATTAAACAATCCCCACTGTGTGATTTTCAATTACTAAACTGTTTAAAGATGCACCCACCCACCCCCGCCCCTACAAATTGTTTGATTTGGTGATATTATTTAGACTAAAAGCATGTTCAAACTAATTTATCTATTTTTCTAGAATTGGGATTTAGTTTGATATTTCTTTAGTATTTTATTCAGACAATTCATTAAAAAGATCAAGCCATGCTAAGAAGTATAATTTATAACATCAATCTCTGTGGTTGCCAACGTAACTGTAATCTGTATTATTTTGTTGAGGGTATTAGTATTACCAAGTCAACGGATTACTCTGATTAAAGTCATAATATATAACTCCCCATGATATAGATCAAAATACACAACAATCTCTCACCTCGACAGAATCAGGCTCATAAATACGATACTATCAAACCAATTACTTTACATAATGGCTGATCAACTGAATGAAGAACAAATTGCTGAATTTAAAGAAGCTTTCAGTTTATTTGATAAAGACGGGGATGGCACCGTAACAACCAAAGAATTGGGAACTGTTATGAGATCTCTGGGACAAAATCCAACAGAAGCAGAACTACAAGACATGATTAACGAAGTTGATGCTGACGGTAATGGAACGATCGACTTCCCTGAATTTTTGACCATGATGGCTTCCAAGATGAAAGACACGGACAGTGAAGAAGAAATTCGTGAAGCTTTTCGTGTTTTTGATAAAGATGGAAATGGATTTATCAGTGCTGCTGAATTACGACATGTTATGACAAATCTTGGTGAAAAATTAACAGACGAGGAAGTAGATGAAATGATTAGAGAGGCTGATATTGATGGTGATGGACAAGTCAATTATGAAGAATTTGGAAAAATGATGACCAACAGATAAACAAAGCGCAATGTTGACTTGAAAAATAATTTGTGAAAATGATGTCAAATAAATATGTGAAAAGTTGTGACTATCAGCTTTTTTAGATTATTATTGACATATCAGCAATGTTGATTTTTACAATGTTATACCTTTTTGGGCGAACTTTAATGAAGTATTTATAATGTAGATCAGTAGATCTATATAGATATTTATATTGTTTTCATGGATGACCTAGTTGAAGTTACAGCGTCTATCTGTGTTGGTTTGGAATTAACAGTAATAAAGAAACGAACCCTTGGTTACTCCAAGCTTATTTCAGGAATATATATATATTTTTTTTTATTCGGGATATTTATTGAAACAATCCAAAGGGGAGTGGTGTCAATTTTATAGCAAAAAGTTAATTGTTTAGCAATGTTTATATTTATTATTTTTTGGAATCTCAATTTCAACATTCCTTTGGCAGTATAGATTCAATTTCACTGTGTATTCCTTTGAGACATTCAATTTCAGTGAAAATATTAAAAGATACAAATAAGCTATAATACTGTATATTCTCTCTTTTTTAAATTTTATTTTAATACGCCCACATTTCACATGGGGCTGGATTGGCTAGTCCCATAATAAGGAGAAACCATCTCGGTTTATGGAACGATTTTGTTGTAGAGCTATTTCCCCTGTCACAGGTCAGATAGACAGTGAAGAAGAAATTCGTGAAGCTTTTCGTGTTTTTGATAAAGACGGTAATGGATTTATCAGTGCTGCTGAATTACGACATGTTATGACAAATCTTGGTGAAAAATTAACAGATGAGGAACTAGATGAAATGATTAGGGAGGCTGATATTGATGGTGATGGACAAGTCAATTATGAAGAATTTGGAAAAATGATGACCAACACAACAGATAAAAAAAACTGCAATGTTGACTTTAAAAATAATAATAATAAAAAAACACGCAGTGAATATTATTGTCAATACCATCATTTTGTTAGCATTAAACATTAATTTCATTACCGTAACATGTATAATAAATATTATATTTATAATGAATGTGTATGTCCTTTAACGTTCTACTGTCTGTACCGACTGGGTGCTATGGGGGACATTTTGACTGGCACTACGGCATACTCTTATATCGAATTCCTGGTGTTAAGGGTTCTTTTACGTGTACAAGGGAACTGGATATTTCGTGCCATCCGAATGACTATAGGCCTACCTTGTCCCTTGCCAGCCCCTCCGTCCTGCATCAGTAACAAGGGGGAACCAAGCCGGAAAATCCAGATGAATTTTTTCGGTCAACACAGGCTCGAACACGGGACCTCCAGGTTAGCGAGCCAACGTTTTACTGACTGGTCAACCTTGGCCCCCCCGCAAACAATTTGAAGAGACACAATATACCCTATATAATTGTGACCTGTATATTCCAGTTCAATTACTAAATGCCATTGAAACAATTTATAGAATTAATGTTGTCAAAATGTAGAATGTTGGGAAAGAAAACAGGTTTTAGGACTGGCCTACACAAAACATCGCTTATTTTGAGAATAAAATGCAGTTGTTATTTTACTATATATAGGCTAGTATGGGCAATGATAGGGAGGACAATTTCCTCGGTAGCTGCGTTTCCTCCTATCTTTTACGACTTGTTTCAAGTTGGAGGGCTGACTCCCGAGTTTTCGCATGATCCGAAAGACTAGGCAATATTTTTCTTAAATATAGAAATATAGCACGCAGTGCTAACTTTAACCTGGATTTCTCGCGAATTATAGGTTAATCTAAACTTATATATAACCGGTAAGGCAGTGATCTATAACCCAGTTTTGGCCCAAAGCGGTCTTTACTAATCACTTACCTCATGGTTACGTCTAAGATAAACGGCATGTCAACTGGGCGACTGGGGGTATATAGGAGCGGTCATTTTCATATTTATTTTAGGAGGGGGGGGGGGAGCTGGTGCTGATAGTGGGGTCTTAATTATATTACTGTAAGCTTAAAAGGGTACACAATATTGTGAACTAATAGATCGGTAGACGAATATTGTAAGACACACGCGTCTTTTCACCCACTGCTGAAGACCACTACGAGCTATAGCGAATTATTGAAATAAAATTGAGCGTTAGACAGAAAATTAACCCCAATCCACCCACTGGGTTATAATGTGTATCCGACTGTCAACAATCTTTGCAATAATATTATATGAATGACAAGGTAGCGCAATGTAATTCAGAAAACGTCTCCCCATATTGATCATTTAAACGTGTTTACCAATTGCGCGCACTTTTCATTGAATAAAGTGAATAGAAATCAATGTTTAACGAACACTACAGAATCTGCAAGGAAATACTATTATTTATAATGAGGAGAGAATTTAAACTAATCATAGATCTTAACTCGTCAGATAATCTCAAAATCAATTCATGATTGTTCAATATTCAAACACATTCCACTTCCTACTGTTTTCATGGACTTGTGTCAATAAAACTATTCAACCGAGAACCGTATACTTAAAATTGAGAATAGTTAGATTTAAACTATTTTATTTGATTTGTGTTGAGGATTGGCAATCTACTGATATTTGGTAATGATTTTGGAACACGACAATTTTTCTAATAATGCCATGCAAAATGAATAAGATTTTAAAAATTTTTTTAAAAAATTTTATCAACTAAACTTTGCGTAAAAAATGGACAACGGTATAATTTGAGCGAGGAATTATAACGGAGACTATCTATATAAGTGTACAGTTGGTCATAGCCGTTAATTTAAAGAAACCCTGGCTGGGTGGGACCCTTCTAGACATTTAAGTCCCAGCTGATTCTTACATAAAGGACAGGAATAACAATGACAAATACATTCATGACTGAAAATACATTTACTAAAGAAAATATCGCATTTAATCGTAATTTAAACGGCAAGTGAACCCGAAACCAATGGATAGTTTGGCCATCTTGTCTATTTTTTTTAATAGCATGGGTGAAAAGTACCAAACTAGATTAACTCATTGGCAACAGACATTTTCATATTCCGTACCCGAATAACAATTATGGATAGCAAGAGTTGGTAGATCATGAATTGCTCGCCAGAAGAAAAAAAACCCCAGATTGTTGGTTTATATACATGACACACTTGTTGGTTTCACTCGTCAAGTATCTGAATTTATGATAATTAAAATGGAGAGAAAACAATCATTATATACCAAAGAAATTTTTTTTTTCTATCGAAATTCATTACTTTGGCGCCAAGATCTAACAGATTTTAAAAATACTAAAATAGTTCATGTTAAGACTTTCTTTTTATATGTTATTAAAATCAGAAAACATCCAAAGTCGTATAATATAATGCAAAGTCTTCGAATGGAGGGGGCTAGCTCTGTCTCCCCTGCAATGGTCGATCTATAAAGTAAATATTTCCCATTTTAAAAGTGCTATATAAGTGTTTGTGAAAGAGTATGCACCACCACTATATTGATTCCCGTATTGGAATGGGTGTCACACCTTGCATCCAATCTCTGTGTATGCTACTGCAATAAAATATGTTTAAAACAATTAATGAACAACCGTTTGGTATGTTTTGTAAATGAACGCTACCGTTACAATACTGTATATTTTTTACCCTAATTTTGTTATCTGTGTATATTTAATTTTTGTGGGTACACATTTAGATTGGCGTGACCAATCTTTCACAGTCGGATTAACAGTAACGGTATTAAACAATTAACCGTTTCTACTAACAATAGTTTTCGGCTTAGATTAACGAAGTCAACTGTTACTTTATTATGGAGTTATTCATACCTGACTAGAGACAAAGGCTACCCCATGTAATCTAAGGGATTAATGTGAGATAATGGACGGTTATATCTTTAATCTATGTTTGGGGTCTGAGTTTGTTTGTTGGTTGCGAAAATTCGGCATGTATTGTTTACATCACCAAGTCAACAGATCGTACTAATTAATCCGTCATTTCTAGGTATATAAGTTTCCACTTGTACTCAAAACCATATCATTACCATCTGCGATCTCTCCATTTCAAGCCAACCCAGTGTTTCTGAACAAGAACGGACTCTATCCAGCAATCCAACAAAACAAAATGGCTGAGCAACTCAACGAAGTACAAATCTCTGAATTCAAAGAAGCTTTCAGTTTATTTGACAAGGATGGTGATGGAACCATTACAACCAAGGAATTGGGAACAGTTATGAGATCCCTTGGACAAAATCCAACAGAAGCAGAACTTCAAGACATGATTAACGAAGTAGATGCTGACGGTAATGGAACGATCGACTTTCCTGAATTTTTAACCATGATGGCTACCAAGATGAAAGATGTCGACACAGAGGAAGAAATGAAGGAAGCGTTCCGAGTGTTTGATAAAGACGGTAATGGATTTATCAGTGCTGCTGAATTACGACATGTTATGACAAATCTTGGTGAAAAATTAACCGACGAGGAAGTAGATGAGATGATTAGAGAGGCTGATACTGACGGAGACGGGCAGGTTAATTATGACGAATTTGTGAAAATGATGTCTGGGGGGCAATAATGTTGATACAGCATGAACAAAACTTTAAAATTCTAAAACTAGCAATGACATACTGTGACTGTGATCTTGTTTACCTGTATCGTTCTGTTAATCTTCTGTTTTATCTCATTGATTGATATGTTTTTGATATCATGTGTATAGTAAATTATTTCATAATACATTGAGTTTATAAATTTTTTAGATACCCTATGGTTTATAGTTTTATATCAAAGCAGCAATCAGCTTATTGGATATTTTCTTTGGATTCGCACACAAGAAGTATATCTAATAAACCGAAAGATATCCGAAAAATATTGCAATGTTCGGAACGTCTAGAAATTGCCAACCTGGAAAAGGAAAGGGATGGGAGTGTAACGTAATGAAATGAAATGAAATGGGGTTTAACGTCCTACTGTTTTGCTCCGAACTGGGCTAATGAAGACGGGCGTACGCCATACAGTGTGCTATGGAGGAACTTTTGCCCTGAGAGCGACACTACGGCCTACTCTTATATCGAATTCCAACTGTCAAGGGATCTTTTACGTGCACGCCAATGTGTACACGGGACCTCGGTTTTTTGTCCCATCCGAACGACTAGACAGCTGCCCTTGTCAGCCCCTCCGTCCCGCATTACTGACAAGGGAGGATTGTAACGTCTAGTTAACTAAATAAGCTTATATTGATCAGTTTGAGACTGACTTTTCACCAATTTTTAGAGGCGGAATCACAAGGGGCGAATTTTGTCCAGACAGCTGCGCTTCTGCCTACTTTAGTCTAAATTTGAACTTGCGATAGCCCGATTGAAATGACTATATAGACACGTCGTCCCCACGCCTCCTCTCACATTCAAGCAGTAATTGAGCGATAACCATTATAAATATTTAAGTTTCAAATATCAAATTAAAAATCATGTAACCAAGCAATAGATAATGCAGGCCTAAGCTTAAGTGGCAAGGAGTGCGCATACTTTCCGAGTCCCAAAGGCCTGTGTCTTGTGTTTTATCCGGTTTGTTCCTACATCTCGCAGTCCACCCACTCTACCCGATCCACAGCCTAAATAACAGTCAATCATTACGCATGATGAACTATGATAACCAATGTCAGTCCTACATTCAGGACTCTCACAAGCCTATGTGGCGCCCCAGGGCAAAAGTTTCTCAGTTAAGCCCCCACCCCCCACATGCATACTGTAACTGCTTTGTTCAATGCCTGCGATAATTTTAACACTTTATCTAAATAACTATCTATGAAATCAACTAAGCAACTTGGGATTAAAATTAAAAAGTTGCGTAACTTTATCGTTACGAAAACTTGCAGTTGTAAGAGGATATTACATTTACAACATATTGTTTATTTTAATTCAGCACAAACAGGGGTTCAGCCTAACAGTAGGATATCTTTCATTACACTATAACTATTAGGACCTAGTTAAGCCAAAGTATTGGGCCTATCGCGACAAAGACCGACACTTACTTCGATTAAAATAACCCCCCAAGCATTGGCGCACAACAGGGAGGGAGTATGGGGGGGGGGGGGCGCTTAGTCCAGATAGACAAATGGACCATTTTTTTGGCCGAGTGGGCCGTTTTTTTTCTCAGTAATATGGACCGGTTTACCTGAGTCTCTTACACATTCAATCAAACCATAAGTTCGTATTGTCAAGTATTGAGTGAAATTACTCCGTGCTCATGAGGAAACTCCCGCGCACAGTAGCTACATTGCCAAGTACATATAAGTAGAAAATGAACATCTTACATTATGTAGATGATGATATAATCACTGTCTGTCTTTTTGTACTTTATTTTGGAAATACGAATTTTGAGATTATGCGGGCGAATTATTTTATGCCCCCCCTCTCCCCCCCCCCCCCCCCGGGAGAATATGTTTGTGCGCCTCTGCTCCCAAGTTCTGTCTTTCGATAATTTGGTCAGGCTGCTACTAAGTTTTCCATTCATTGAGAGTTCCATAATTTTGTTCATCGCCCCAATTAAAACAGCGGGTACTATTCTCTCTTCGCTATGGATAATAGTAATACCACGCCAGATTACGAAGCGTGTTACTGCATTTCGCACCTTGAACTCATTAATCTGACACTAATATATCAATAGGTTCATGTATTATTATGTCGTAGGGATAGTCAAAGGTATATCAATTACAAATGAGTAGAGAATGAAGAGGCGATAAGATTTCCTTAGATTTGATCAAGATGTATACTAATAGATCTATATCAACAGATGATAAAAATTAAACTGAAACACAGTTACAGATCCTGTATGAGACTAACCGTGGAGCAATTTATCACTGATGAACCAAGTCTACACTCGCTTTGGCGAATACTAAGTTGTTAGTTTCAGTAATGCAACTCCTCACATGAGTGTTAACTGAAAAACTAGTGTGACATTAGACCTAAATGCAAATTTAAGAACTTTACGCTCTGCAATGGAAATTAGGTAATTTATCATACTTCAATGCGTTTTTTTTTAAAAATTGCACCCCTTTTACACTGTATGTATGATTTTTTTTAAAAAAAGTACTTATCACACTCTCAAGTCGGAGAAAACCCACGAGGCCAAGTATTGAGCAGACGACCCCGCTATTTGTAACTCACAAACCTTAAAGCTTATGATCTAGACTTGGACGCTCAACCCACCAGCCCAACACCGAGTAATAAGATTATCGGTTCGTTTTAATGGTTACGCTTGGTTATGAGTTATGTTATAGGGAACCACGTGGCTAAGTGGGTAAGACACTGGCTCGCTAGCCTAGAGGTCGCGTGTTCGATCCCTGCATTGCCGAGAAATTCGTTCGGATGGGACGAAAATCATAGCACATTGTATGGCGTATGCCCCTATTCATTAGCCCAGTCGGAGCAGACCAGTAGGATGTTAAACCCCATTTCATTTCGAAATGTAATAGTATGACTATATAAACTTGCCGATGTATATCGCCCAGTTTCATGGGTCTCAAATTATATCTGACCCACTAGTATATAAATAGAACATATTTTGCTATATTAAAATCTAATCTAAAATTACGAAACTATGAGGTAAAGGCATTTGAACGCCTGAGGATATTTTTATTATTATTAAAAATTGTTTAATGTTTTTATTTTGTGATGGTGGGGGGAGGGGGTGTTAAAAGAAATAAATGCATCGTGTGTCTGACGTCAAAGTGATGCCTGAAGACAAATTTGAAAAAAGTTCAAAATTGTTTACGTTTAAACAGTTACAAGACGGATGGTGTGATGTATATTTTAGCAAATCACGAGCACCGAAACATTCATCAATCAAACTTTTATATAGATTTCGTTATCAAAACGATGTTATTGGCTGATTTTGCAATTGGCATCTGTGCAGTTTGAAATAGAATCAACTGAGTTAAATACGCGACAGTTGTCGAGATGAATTAATACGACCTTTATAATACTACATGTATAAGGTCTTCCCAGGGAGTAAAGTATATAAAACTATTTTTAAAAAAGGGACAGCGGAAACTGATAGTATCAGAGTTTGTACCCTAGTTACAAAGAAAAGAACCAGCCAACTAGAACGCATAGTTCAGGCTGTGGGAAAGACGCAGAAACTTTGAAGGTTGTGTAGTTGACCGCCGTTCATCACAAATTATACAAAATGGCTGATCAACTTACAGAAGAACAAATTGCTGAGTTCAGAGAAGCTTTCAGTTTATTTGATAAAGATGGAGACGGCACTGTAACGTCAAAAGAATTAGGGACAGTTATGAGGTCAATGGGACAGAATCCAACAGAAACAGAACTTCAAGACATGATTAACGAAGTTGATGCTGACGGTAATGGAACGATCGACTTTCCTGAATTTTTATCCATGATGGCCAAGAAGTTGAAAGATGTAGACACAGAAGAAGAAATGATGGAAGCATTTCGTGCGTTTGATAGTGACGGTAATGGATTTATCAGTTCTACAGAATTACGACATATCATGACAAATCTTGGTGAAAAATTAACAGATGACGAGGTGCGTGAAATGATAGTAGAAGCCGATTTGGATGGAGACGGACAAGTTAGTTATGAAGAATTCGTTAAAATGATGTCTAGTAAATAATCAGTGTAAAAATGAATAAAGATCCATGCCACGTGACTGTATGTGTATTTAACAGTGACAATGAGTAGCCTAACTCAAATTTATAAGAAAACGTCAACTATACATTTCATCTGTGCAATTGACGATAAAGTTACACAAATACTTATAGCCTTACTTTTTATTCGTGTTTTCAAAGTAAAGTGTGACTCTTTCAGGCATATAGATACAAGTTAACATTTACTCCAGTAAAGATAACAATAAGGTTTACTACCCTATACTGTATAAGATAATGACGATGGTGTGTTTATGGTTGGGATCATAAGCACAATTATTGAAGATTATATTTGATATTCTACCAACATAAAATTAAAATATAATATTGACAGTGTTGTATTAGAACTATGGGGTGTATGCCAACGTGTTTACCTCATACAGTAAATTGGCTATTTGTACCCGTAAAAAAGCTAATATGAAGTATTTCTTAAATATTGTAATCGGGATAAAGCCAATATGGCGTAATTCTTATTGTCCCATTAACATTATTATTTTTAATTTACTGTCATAGTTTTTATATTAAAGCAGAATGTAGTCCATTTAGTTTCGTAAACATTTTGATATTTGACATTGACAAATGTTACAAAACGCGGTGAAAATGACATAGTTCTTCTACCGTTCATGATTGAAACGTTGTTTGTTAATTTGTCAAGAGGGGCTGTGGTGACTCAGTGAGTAAGACTGTTTTCTCCGCTAATTTTCGCTCTATATATGTATTTGGTAAATATAGCCTTTTTATGGTCAACGCTGGCACTATTGATAGCGTATAATTCTTACCTATTAATTTTCTTCAAAGGGTTTCCCTTTTGCTTGCAACGTAACTTGTTTCTGCACCAACCGTTCTAATCATACGATATGTCATACAGTGTGCTGTTTTGAATTCCAACTGTCAAGGGTTCTTTACGTGTACACCAACGTGTATACGTGACCTCGGTTTTTCGTGCCATCCGTTCGACTAGATTATTAAAGTTATGTGTATTTTCCAAATAAATGAAAAGATGCAATCTGATTAAAATACAGACCTATATTTCGTTTCGTTTTCTATGCTTTCAATGGCCTCTGTTGCATGAAGATCTGGCCAGTTGTAGTGGGAGAACGCTAGATCGGAGACGGTCCTACACATATGACGTCATATGTAGATTATGCGTTAAGGTTAGGGTAAGGGTTAGGTCTGGTCCAGGGTTAGGGTTAGGGCTTGCCCTGTTTACAATGTCTCCGATCTAGCATTTTCCGTTGTAGTGGGAGTTCGCGTCAGGTGTCATACGAAAGGCTTTTGACCTATGACGTCAAACACTTGATTAACTTATCAGCGTTGATGTTTCTAGTGATTTACCCACAGTCCCGTGCATCGCATGCCAGAAACTCGCTGAAACAGATCGTTTCACTGGCTAATCCCTCACATCAACCAAAACGCGGATTATATAACAACCCTTCTAGATCCTGGTGTAGTAAAGACAAGTAAAACGAAATTTGGAACAATAAAAACGAAACGAAATAGTATTTGCGTTTTAATCAGGGCGCTAGTCCTGTTTACACCGTCTCCGATCTAGCGTTCTCCGTTGTAGTGGGAGGTCGCGTCAAGGGCCATACGAGCGATATTTTAACCCTATGACGTCAGGCATTTGATTAACCGTTCATGTGTCTAGTGGATTACCCGCAGTTATGTGCACCTCACGCCAAAAGCTCGCTGAAACAGACCGTTTCATTGGCTAATCCCTCACACCAACCAGAACGTGGATTATATAACAACTCTTCCAGATCCTAGTGTAGTAAAGGCAAGTAAAACGAAATTGCACCATTTATAACAACTCTTCCAGATCCTAGTGTAGTAAAGGCAAGTAAAACGAAATTTTGAACCATAAAAACGAAACGAAATAGGATCTGTGTTTTAATCAGATCGGAAAAGTTGTATAATATATGTTATAGGAAGCGCAAGCATACACTTCACCCCACTGACTGGGACTTGAATGTTCTAAATTGCACAAGAAGTGTATCTAATTACAAAATGTGTGTAAAACTGCTTATCAAAAATACCGCGATAAACAAACTGTCGCCATAACCTGACAATTATAATCATATTTATAACCTTTCCCCATATCGTTATCCATATCAGTCTAAACTTGACACAATACAACTCAACAACGCAAGCAGCCATAACAAAGGGGCGCGTATCCGTTTCACGAAATGGCTGAGCAACTGACGGACGAGCAGATTTCTCAACTCAAAGAAACGTTTGCAGCATTTGACGAGAATGGAGACGGGGTCATAACAACGAGTGAATTGAGTAAAGTTTTGAAATCAATTGGGCAAAATCCAACCGAAGCTGAGCTGAAAGACATGATTAACGAAGTTGATGCTGACGGTGATGGGACAGTAGATTTCGATGAATTTGTCTCCATGATGGCAAGAAAAAGGAACGATAGGGATACTCAAGATGAACTTTTTACGGCTTTTTGTCTTTTCGACGAGGATAAAGATGGCTATATTAGTATTGATGAAATGAGACTCGTTATGAAGAAACTTGGTGAAAATTTAACTGACGAGGAAGCGCATGATATGATAAGATTGGCGGATTTAGACGGGGATGGAAAAGTTAATTATTCTGAATTTGTGAAAATGATGACAGACAAATAAATGAACATATTGTTGTTTGGGGTAAATTCCGTGATATACATATTTTGTATTATGTTTACTGTGTTTAATGTAGATACAAGTTATCTGTGAACATCATTGCTAATTTAAACATCATTTATACAATCATGTAGGCTACATTTCATGTAATTTCAAAAGGTGTTTACAGTGCAATTGTTTTTTTTTATCTCAACGTATTATGTAGTCTAGGTTCTATTCAAACATATATTCACAAAGTCTAATCTGTTTGTACTACTTTGATTATATATGCCATAAAGATTAATCTATTTGTGTGAATAAATACGAAACTAGTTTAGATCCGATTAGTTCAGAGGTAGAGACATTGCTTATTAAAATATAATTATACTAAAAAATGTGTGAAATATTTTGTTTTTCATTTGGGGTTGCCCCCCCCCCCCCCCAATTACTTTTTTTTTTATTATTTTTACAAAATTGCGTATACAAATATTACTCGACTGCTCTTTCTTATTACTAATCTCTTCATTATCGGAATTTACACTGAATGTGACGTCATTTCAGGCAATCAAAACAACCCAGGCAGTTTTTATTCATTCGATTATAAGGGAAACCCCCTGCAATTGTTGAGCCCTGTCGATTGTGTTTTGCAACGCTAAAGACACATTATGCGAGATTTAGAGAAGGAGCTGGCCGTTCTTGCTTTAATAGTTAAACGAAAAATATGTAATGAAAAAAATGATAATATATTGAAAATTTCAGCCAAATTTTTAAGAAATATTTACAGAGTGCAGTACAGTATATACTCTCGATTTTCATATGACTACCATTGTCATGATAATACATAAAGTCTCGAATGTCAGTCCTTTTATCAGCAGTCTGGCATTAGCATTTAACGCATTGTCTAATCCCCCCAATATCAACATGTAAGCTATCCGATGGTTCAGCTCTCGCTTAATTGCATCTTTAAGCCCCTATTAGTAGATCATATATTTGTATGATATTCGTGGACTATTATATTATCTCCCCAACAACTTAAACAACTTTAAACTTCAAGGGAGTCGCGGTGGCTCATTGAGTAAGAAGCTGGTTCGTTATCCCCACTAGAGTCTAGGGTTAGCCCCACAACATATTCCGGCGTGATTTCCCGTTGTTGGTGGTGTTGGACGGAGGGTTGGAATTCGAAGTAAGTATAGGGCATAGAGCCGCTGTCCGGGCTAAATTTCCCTCATAGAACACTTCATGGCGTATGGCCGTCTTTACAGGCCAGTCGGTGCAGAAAAGTAACACGTTAAACCCCGTTTTATTTCAAACCTTATATCTTTAACTGCATGTTTCATCTTCTCAACAAAATGTTCACATCATTTCAAGTATATAGGACATGTAGTACAGTTTCCTGTCATGTGATATATAAAATAGTAGACCCCAGAGAAGAAAAGCCAGAGGCAAATCATCTAATAGAATTTTTATTTAAAAAAGGAGTGATGTCATCAATATTTTCCTGTCATTCTTTTGTTATACTTTATCACACAATGTTGATCGTGTGGACAGAAATGCCTAACGATGTTTTATACAGATAATTCATCGTCTGAACGGGGCTTAAGTCTTTGCATAATTAAAGAAAAACTGTGCCTTGCAATGGTAAACGGTAGCTTTTACTAAACGGTTGTTAAATCTGCATGTAATTTCGCTCAACACACATTTTAAACTGAACGAATGTTATTTAGATTAGGTTGATACAGGACAGGGGCGGATCTAGGAATTTTGGAAAGGGGGGGGGGCGCTGCAAAATGAATGGCATTGACTGCGGAGACGGGGCACGCCGCTGTGGGGGGGGGGGGGTCCCCAAGAAAATTATCCGTCATTTCCTTGCATCTGTAGCCATTCCAAGAGCTATTTCCCACACTGGTGTGTTTGAGTCGATGGTTTGAGTCATTTGGGATCCCTACAACGGGTTGGGAACGGACATATTTGAGTCTGAGAAAAGGCACTTTCAGCAGTAAAAAAGGGCACTGTCGAAAATTAGGGGGGGGGGCGCCCCTCGCGCCCCCCATTGAATCCGCCTCTGCAGGAGATAGTTCTATGTGAATAATCATTAAACTACCACATGGTCATGAGGCATACAGGTTTTATTTCGACAGAATTAATGCAACACTATACTGCACCCACTAAAAACCCCAACTGATCCGTAATCTTTCAAGTGCAACTTTATCGATAATGATATGTATTTTGTTAACGACTATGATAATAGATTTGTTGATGACCTTGATGTTATAAAGTTGGCGTCATTTAGTTCTTGCGGAAATTACGAAGATATGGTGTAGATGCTACTATATGATTATGATGGGGGATAACATTATCCTGGTCCCTGGCTGCCGGTCCAATAAACGTATAAGATATTATTATTACTTCGTTTCATTTAAATTTCTTAACCATAGAACAAAAGAGACAAAATATCGATGAAGTAATATTATTCCCCGCATATGTCGCGTTAATCTGTTTCACACAGAGGATTACGAAAGTCTTCTAATAATGTCTCTGTAAAAGATGACTGCCTTTAACACGTGGCGTCACATCACGGGGCGTCAATCATTGGCTCAATGGCGCGTGCATTGTTTACATAAGACGTTACTTGTTCGGGCAGAATGGTGCCTTTTATTAATTTAATACCCATTTACACTAAATAGGAAATAATTGTTACCTACAAATACTTCAAACGTCTTTATTTATTTTTTTAATACATAAAAAAAATGTTTTGGAATTTAATTTGTCGGAGGAAAAAGGTAATATTTGTGGCTCCTTAAGTAGCATCGATAACACCCTTATCAGTGTGATAACGCATATAAATGAAACGACGTTTAATGTTTGTTTACGGACAACGGCGTTCCCACACTGATCAGCAGTGAATTTTCGCTAGGCCTCTACATTCACTGATAAGGATGACATCGATTCGACTTAATGACCCAGAAATATTAACTTTTTTCTTGCGACAAATTAAATTCTAAAACATTTTTTTTTGTGTATTAGAAAAATAAATAAAGGCGTTTGACGTACGTGTGGGTAAAAATTATTTTCTATTTAGTGCAAATGGGTATTAAATGAGTAAAAGTCTCCATTCTGCCCGAGCTAGAACGTCTTATGTAAACAATGCACGCGCCATTGAGCCAATGATTGACGCCGCGTAATGAGACGTCTCGTGTTAAAGGTGGTCATCTTTTAAAGAGATATTAGAAGACTTTCGTAATCCTCTGTGAAACAGATCGCGGCGTTCCGCGTTACCGCTTCAATGTGTCAAGGGTCCTTTCACATGCACACCAAGATGTACACAGGTGGACACCGGTTTTTGCACCATCCGGGCCACTAGACGCTGTTTCTTGCCAGGCCCTCCGTTCTGCACCACTGACGAAGGAAAACTACGTCGAGGATAACCTGATTAGGAAGGTTTTCGACCCTTTTTCATCTATTTCATGGTACCGCGAAGTACAAATAACAAAGGTAGTTCACGCCAATTAAAGGGGAGTAACTACGACGAAAACAATGTCCAATCCAACCGATGAGTCAATTATAAAGAAAGTTTAATTTCCGTGTATTATTTGAGGATCTTTGATAAAGTTGACTTCAAATTATAAACATTTTTAGGAAGATGAGCAAAAGAATTAAATATGCTTTATGTAGTCGTGTCTCGTCGTAGGTCAATTATGGCTGGAAATCATTATAATTTTTTTTTTAAAAAAACATATTAATATGTATAGAATGATTTTTTTACACTTTAATAAATAAATAAATTATTAAAAATTATTAATAACAAACATAGGGTGGGAGGGGGGCGGTAAATAATTGCACACGATAGGTTGTTAACAGTGGTGTATGCAGGATTTTCAAATGATAGGCGAAATGGAGTTAAATTATAAGACTATTGAGAGAATCCTAGTTGGTGGGCTGAAGAGCCAAGTGATCCAAATACCGACTTTACTGTTTTGAGTAAATGAAGTTTAAAGTTTAACTGTAAACTTCATTTACTCAAAGCTAAACTATAAGACTGATTTTCTAAATTATTGGAGGGTTGATAGAATATAATAAAGTGTACCTTTGAAACAGATTCTCGATTGCATTCGTTGCCATGGTAACATTTTTACGGCCATTTGACATCCACTTAGATCACTTTGCCGTGTACATATAAAGATTTTAATATATAAGTTTTTACCCAACCAATTTTGTAAATGATCTAAGTAGACATGGATTAATCTTTCAGAAAGTCATAATAGAATTTCGGTTTTGAAAATATTTAGATCAGTAAATGTTACTTTAAATATTAACACATTGGCGTGTACGTAAGAGATCCCTTGACAGTTGAAATTCGGTATAAGATTAGGCCGTAGTGCCGCTGTCCGGGCAAAATTTCCCTCATGGTGTATGGTGTATGCCCGTCTTCATTAGCACAGTTCGGAGCAGAAGAGTAGGACGTTAAACCCCATTTCATTTCATTTTGACACGATAAAATCCAAAATCTATTTCGGGGCATACACACATGGGGGACTAACTTAATTTACTTGAAATTTGGACTTGGATCACTTGGTATCCCTCCAATAATAGTATTATAGAATTGGGTCCTCTATATATCCACTTCATTTATGTCATTGGAACATTACAGGGAGGAGGTGGAGTGGCGGGGGGGGGGGGGGGTCGCACAGACACCCAAACCCGTTTTAATCCGCAACTGTTTAAGATTGGAACGCGACTAATATAATGTACATATATGTATAATATATATATATAAATACAGAAAAAAACCGGAAATGATTACGCTCCTTGGGTTTTTTCGCCCACACGTATTTTTATTAGGAGCGCTTTTGGGGCATTTATACCATTTTCCATTATACAAATATAGGAGTACATGGGTTTACGCATATGTATTTCTACTGTATTATCAATTCTATGATGACCGATCAGTTTCATTTAAAACAATTGATTAATGGACCTTCCATTGTTCTTGTCTATTCTTGTATAGAACCATAACGAGTATTCCATTGTTCCACATTTACTCATCATTTTCACCTTTTGATGAATAGTCTACATCTTCTATTGTCCTTCACTATTATTGGATATTTATCTAAGTATATACGTTGCTAGAAAACATGGTAATAAATATTGTGTCCCAGTGGTATGTTTGAATGACTGTAACTATTCTACCGTATATATTACCTTCGTTATATATCAAAGAAAGTGGCGATAACCCAGGGGCAATTTCTTTGTCTGTGTATTTTTGTATTATCTTTCAATAAATGTATATAACTGTGATAGCTAGTATCATATTCTATCATAATATATAAGATATTCAAACTGCTACATTATTTTATTTTTGCATCATTAAATATTTAAATTTATCCGACTATGTAAGGTTTATCTCTTCTAAAGTATATATAGTCATGAATTTGCTAGGAAATAATTAATAGATTCCGGTAATGCATTACACGATAATATGACCCGTATTTTGACTTTTAAATACTCCCCACCCCCTCGTTTAATAGAGTTTATTATGAAGTACAGATTCGATCATTTTTTAACATACGTAAATATGAATATGCCAGAATATAATTTACATGTTTGAAAAGGGAAATAAACATACTTTCCAAAAGTATTTGTATGGTAAGCCAACTTATTGTATGGTGACTTATTGTATGCTAGGTTGATGTCGGCAAAACAAAAAAAAAAGTTGCCGAGTGAACTAATTTGCATACTGGATTGATTTCGTGTGCTATGTAATAACGTACGATGCAAAAGACAAATGTTGAAGGAGAAAATACATTGTGCGAGAGTCAAATCATCCTCGGTATCCATTGTGTTCTCATCCCGTTCTATTCCACTATACCCTGGGTTAATCCATAGGGTTTCCACGATTTCAAATTATCTACCCTGGCCTTGATTGTAGCTAAAGTCTACGAACCAATCAAGAAACAGTTTACAAACCAGTCGTTTCTCCTTCGTTTTTATAAGGGTAGATAACCATTATCAAAATCTGTAGTATGTTTCGCTGATTTCAAATACGTTTAACATCTATATGTTTGACTTTTGTTATTAGTATCCGTTCTTTGTCTTAAATGTTTCATTCTGTTATGTTTATTATTATTGAACTACATATATACTTGACAATTTGATTCACAATAACTTGTCTACGATATCACGTGGACGTAAAATTCCGGGAACGAACGAACGATTTTAATAAAACTCTTGAAACTACGTACATATATATATAAACGTCCGATCTTCGTTAATATAATATTATATAATTTGTTGTTAAATAAATACGCATTTAGAATAATTTCTCTCGTTTAGGCTAACTCATCACCTTGTCCGATGAGAGTTACTTCCCTTTGCCAGGTTCCTTTTCAATTAACGATTTATGGGATTGGTCGATAAAAATAGCACAGTCATCAAGTGCGGATAACTTGATAACGTGCCCCCCCCCCCATTATATAAAACCTGGGGTTAGTGGAGTAGAACAAAATGAAACCACTGGGGATACCGAGGATGGTGTCAGAGTTCAAAGTTTAAAGTTCTGAGTCACTTTAAATGTTTGTCGTGTTGTTGAAATTTTAAAAAAGTCTATTGTGAAATGTTGAATGTCAAAACTGCAATGTGAAAGCGAAAATATTAAGCATATTAAGTATTATTGAATTGGTTATATCACAAAATGAATTATACGTAGAACACATGTAATTTGACAGAAGTCCAGATGCCAATTTACGCGATGTAATAGAGCTAATTGTTTTTACAAGACATTTTACATTTGTCTTGGTGCAATTTACATGTTACGTTCAGCTTTTGCACCATAGGAGATGTAAAAGCACTACAACAACATAGCACTGACTTTTGACTCAAATCCCCGCCATACAGCTGGGACACTTGTCCAGGGGCCCAGAGCCTAGAGGCGCTAGGTGGTATGCCGAGTAATGTTTTAAAAAAAAATTGTTGATATAAATTAATAAAAAAAAATCCAACAAGTTACTTGATCGTAAAGTAGAAGAAAGCCGGTGACATTTCTCAATGTGGGTTAGTTGCGTGGGCAGGATTAGAATCGGTTTATGCCAGTCACCCTTTTTAAAATTGGTAAATTAAAAACTATAAGTTACCATCCCGGGCCTTACCGCCGTGGGGCCCCGGTCCTTCCTCGTTCCGTCAGGGTATCCGCATATCCGGGCCCCAGCATGTAATCGGGGCACGGGGCCTATCCCGGACCAGTATATAAACGCTACAATAATTGGGAGCGCGCCAGTTCAAAATTTCACTCAGTTTATTTTATGTCCGACTTGTTATTCATATCAGGGATGTCATTAAATCTTAATATAGGCTAGTTCTACAGCGATTAATTAAAATAAACCGTTATCTACACACACCTTTAAGACCAGTTCTGTGGAGACCAGGAGACCATGGTTGAGTAGCCTATAATTACTTTCTTGACATTGTTATTTAGCGACAGTCTGAAGACCCTTTTAAAGGTTTTCACAAAGTCAAGATGACGCAGAAAACGTCGCGATCTATTTAGAACGCCCTTCTTGTGATGACTTTGCGCTTAAAGGAGAACGAATTAATTTCGTCAAGTGTATAAGGAACTACAGATTATTTCTAGACCAGTGATAAAACCAAATAACCAAGTATCATGGCTATTAGAACATTAACCTTACACACCCACCCCCTTCGCCCCTCCCAGCCCCATAGTTTCTATTCTTGTGAAGAAACCGTCAACTTTCAGAAAGTAAACGACTTCGTAAACACAAAACCCTTGCAAAATGACCAAACCGAAGAAATATAATTCCCAAGAAACTTCCTGAGTTCTGTATTTATATTGATTGACAGATAGAGTAAACTTTGTAGGCCTAACTATAATTAAATACACGTGCCCGCCCTTTTTAAAATGTCACCAACTTTGGAAAAACATAAATAAAAACGATTGCCTTTTGGTATTTCAGAAACTTGTCGAGTGGCAATTAAATGTCTTTAATAATGTTTGTGTCATTTGTCGATATGGCTACTTTCACGGAGCTCTTTTGTTAAAGTAACAAATTAAACTGTCATTACTTGTGTCGTAAAAGGTTCCATGCGAAACTGATTGTAATTGCTATAATATAAGTCTAAAACATATGTCGTTGTTGTGAAGTGACAAAATCATTAAATGCTGCAATGCGGCTGATTTCCAAGGCAACGCGTCACAGTTGAGTTGCCCAGCAGTCGTTATAAAAATGAAATGGGGAAGAAGCAACTCCAAATCATTAAATTGATACAGTCCGTACCTTAGTATATAGCAGCGCATCTCATTGATTTGTTTTCATCAATTTCCGGTTTGCCACAAACTTCATAATGGCTGATCAACTAACAGAAGAACAAATTGCTGAATTTAAAGAAGCTTTCAGTTTATTTGACAAGGATGGTGATGGAACCATTACTACCAAAGAATTGGGGACAGTTATGCGGTCACTGGGACAAAATCCAACAGAAGCAGAACTTCAAGACATGATTAACGAAGTTGATGCTGACGGTAATGGAACGATCGACTTTCCTGAATTTTTAACCATGATGGCAAGAAAAATGAAAGACACGGACAGTGAAGAAGAAATTCGTGAAGCTTTTCGTGTTTTTGATAAAGACGGTAATGGATTTATCAGTGCTGCTGAATTACGACATGTTATGACAAATCTTGGTGAAAAATTAACAGACGAGGAAGTAGATGAAATGATTAGAGAGGCTGATATTGATGGTGATGGACAAGTCAATTATGAAGAGTTTGTAACCATGATGACCAGCCGATGAACTGTGTGAAATTTAGTTTGTGACACACTCGGGACAATGCATTTTGACTTAGATATCTCTTTTCTTTTGGTTGGTGATACGTTCTTATTTTTTAAAAAAAAACTATAGGCCTAGATCTATGTCAATTTTATTTATTCTGTTTGGGTAAAAAGTACAGCGATTCTCGACAATAAAATGCCGTCCATCAGGAATCATGCGTTGTGAAAACAAGAATTGAAATGTTTCTGTATCAACTTTTGTTCGCGAGTTTCGACAACGACAATACTTTACATTACGTAAAATGGATTGGTAGCTCTCTTTTAACACAGGAGAATGGACAATGACTGAGATGAGTTTCCATTAGCGCCAGACCAAACGATGAAAACCGTGGTTATACTTGAATTTGAAAAATCATCGCTAGTTTGAAAATGGAGCAAAAGTCGTGTTTGGACGGCTCTAATAGTGACACGTGTGCCTACATCTGTTACAATAATGAAAGTTTATTTGAGATTTTTCTAAATATTCAACGATTTCTTTGTTATTATGAATCCTTGTGTTGGCAGATTAGATTGTTGAACCTTCTTCAATTATGTACGCGGCTTTATTATTATATTTATCATACAAATCCAATTCTTATACCATTTCACTATTAAATTATTATTATTATTATTTATTCTAAATTCTTTGTTGTTGTCAAGTTCTGTGTCTAAACAGACGAGGTATTGACGTTTGTCGTCTTTTTGGGTTTATACAAATATTGAATCTAGAGACGAAAAAACATTCCCACAAACACAAAGTAATTTGTTAAATGTTCACGTTCTATTATTCGTTGTCAGGACTTGCTGCAGAATCGTTCTTCTGTGCACATTACCATAAAATCCATTAAGCATGCAAGCGATTTCCAAATATAGTCTTTTATTTGATGTGTGGAATTCGTTGAATACAATAAGCACGAATAGTGATAAGATTGGAATATACTATTATCGATTAAAATGGCAAGGTATTGTCTGCCCGTACATGTAATAAACATAGAATCGATTATTAAAGAAATGCCGCTAATAATATGAATGATAATTGGTGCAAGCTAATGACAAACTCATTATTTAATGGCCATCAGCGTAATTAATAACGATTTTCAATAATCAACGGGTCATAGGAAGAAAATATCATTGGTTTCAACCAAGTAACTCTTACCTTATGCAATATTCATAATCAGTGTCCCCACCACATTAGGCCTATATTATTATTCTGTAAAATCTCACAATTAATTAAGTTTATGACACCTGGGGATCGATATTTTTATGAAAAATTACATCAGCGCACATCTGCGAAAGTGTTAAAGGTCTGTGCCGTTCCAAAATAAAGCAAACTGATCGTTGCGTTTGCTGTGAAGTTCTTTGTCATTGCCCCAGTCCAATTAGACTACTTTATATGTCTTATTCCATTTTGTTGTTGTTGGAAAACCGAAGAATACGGCTTCTTTTTTTGCTGTTACATAGAATTGTAGATGGTACAAGGGCTGTGTTATAGTCAGTCTATTTTTGCAAAATTTTCTCTGTTGCTTCAACATTTCTTTATAAGGCCGTCTTACAATGCATTACTGTGTGTTGTCAACGATATCACCCCTGGTAGAAGTGGACGTAAAACTCTAGTAACTAACTAACTAACTAACTGCATACTGTGGAACAATATCGGTATATCTGGAACTGTTCCAGAGATCGAGTTAACTGAATTGACAAATAATAATTTGTGTAAAGAAACAAATTTATTGTGTCAGTAAAGAAATTAAATGTAGATTTTAGGATGGTAACATGTCACATTTCATAGAAATATGAAATTTGTAGTTTTATTTAGGAATCGTTCTATTTAGAATTTTATTATTAAAAATCCAGGAAAGTCCCTAGTTCCCCGTAAAACCATTACCTGATTTAGAAATCTTCACGACTGACTGGACACTGTAGACATACATTATCCTCCACTATACTGGTAATCTTGCCATGCCAAACTTACGCTGTCTGTCTACAGACACGAAGCTGGTTAACCGACAATTTAATTCCTACATCGACGTTTTTATTCGAAAACATCAGGCCCCAAGTTCACAAAGCATTCTCAGACTTAAGTTGAAAATTTACTCAACTTTCGATCACTGTTTATAAGAAATATCTTTGATCCAGAAACACAAAACTTTGCACATAGTTCCTTATTGATGTATTTGATACATTAAAACAACAACAGTTTTATAATGTGCTATATTTTGGTTACAATAAGCTGAGCAATTTTGAGTAAATTCTTGACTTAAGTCTGAGAATGCTTTGTGAACTCGGGGCCAGGTATACTTCAAGAATACTGAGAAGTATTTATTCCGCTTGGAAATTGAAACGGTTTATATTAAGTCTGTGTGTGTATTCGTCAGATGTAGAATGGATTACAACCACTATATAATATTTGAATATGGTGGACATTCAGGACAGAGATCTATTCTCAAAGTAGATAGTTCTCTGTGTGCAGAATGGAGTGTAACCAACCATATTAACAAACTTTTACTAATAGGTCAACTCAAAAGAACATCGACAACTTGTGAGCTGTGGGTAATGTTTAATAGGGCCGGGAAGACTCGCATAAAAACCTATTTTAGCGGGGTTTTTTTATTTTGTTTTTTTTTTGACATCTTATGATTTATGAATCCCACAAATATAATAATCGGTCAGTGGTTAAGACGCTCAACATTGAGACATTGTACTCTAGTCAACGAGTAGGTGTAAATAAGCTATTATAAGAATTGTGACAAAACTTACATTGTTTTAAAGAACAAAGTCGTATTTTAGATATAGATAAATATTAAGTATATTATTTAGTAATTTCCTTGTGACATATTTTACATACAATCAACACAATCATTTGGCTAAAAGGAAATCTCCACTAAATATACCGCGTAAAAGCAAAAGAGGTAAATAGGTGAAAAAAATAGCATTGTTTACGTATAAAATATAAGAAAAGAGTTTTAAATCGTTTGTTGTTAGTTTGTTATTGAGAGTAGAAACACACTGTTAGTTTTATATCTCAGTTATTGAGAATCGATAACACGACGAACGTGATAGATACTCCCAAGTAAGAAAAAATAAGATGATAGCTTCGCTGTTTCCGTTATGAATATCAACAGATAGTAACGTCAGTATCAAATACGGGAAAATACATAAACCACAGCTGAGAATTTACCTGAACTATAAATAATGTTTCATTATTTTAGCAAAGCCTGGTTAGAATATGTTGCATACACTTCAGTTGCAGATTTATTTAACCTTTCCCGTTTCGATCCGTAGAACTTACAATAAAGATTTTCTGAATTTTAGGCAAGGTCAGACATTGAATTACACTGTACAGCGCAGAGCACCTCAGAATTCGATGAGCAACTGTGATGGAGGATTGCAACGCTGTTATTTTTTAACTTGTGTTGTTCACTTATCACCTATTATGTTACTGTTCAGACCATTAAGCATATGCTGTCCAATTACCTATATCGTGAGAATTCATTAAGAAGTATCGGCTTTCTCGACATTAACTATAAATATTTTATTCTTAACCAGACCAGTTGTCTGTTGACTAGATCAAATAGTCAATGATACTTTATCTAAGTGAACTTTTCTACAATAGTTATAAATAATTAACATTCTTATATCTTTCTGATATGATTTTACATCTTAAAAGTGACACTGAAAAATATTAATATGATTTTGTTTTCTTGAAACAAAACAGCGAATAATAGAATGTTCATTCTTTCAAAATCTATATAAAGATATAAAAAATAATATACAAGAGTATATAAAAATGAAAATGAAAATATTGGCATGAAAATGCAAATGGCCGTAATTCAATTGTTTCCACTTTGACCCGTTGTTTAACACCTTGAATAAATGGCCGTCAATAGCAAAATGTGACCGACAAGGGACTATTTGTATAGATAGATATGGATAAACATATAAAAAATTTGACAAAAATATGACAAGATTTTGGTTATTTGGAATTTCGAAAAGGGGCTTAATACCGACAAGGAGGAAACCTTAGCTTACACTGGATGAAATATTTTTTAAAACCCACAGAGAAGAATCAAGAATGTGTGATAGATAGACATATCATGTGAGTCTTATAAAAAATCAAAAGTTATGTGGGTTGTAAGAGTTCATGCCTCAACAAATCATCTTTTTTCACCAATCCAAATGTTACAATCACAAATTAGGATCAAGATAGTAAATAAACTTACTGACATGAAGCAATCTAAGATAGATCTATAGTATACTTATATCATATGTAATTAATGGTTACCTTTCGATAAATATTAATCGAGATGCTTCAAAATAACAAGAGATTGCCTTGCAAGATACGCCCACATTTTGCAAGAGATGGGCAGAGACCAAGCTTTCAAAAAAAAAAAAAAGATTTTTCGTACAACCATGAGCCATAATCCAGGAATTTACGATCCGATACGCTCGAGTATCAAAAGGAACACAGATTTTTGGGATATAAACATATTTTTAAGTTTAATCAAAATCGGAAAAAAAGGACCTTTGGAGTGTCTACAACCTTGGTACTACATACTTTTACATTATTTTCGTACATGGAGCGATCATTTTGTCGGGCAGTTTCGGTCCGTTTTTCACGAAATTCGAACTGAACCGTCATCATTGTGTAACGGTGATGTATTTGAACGGTTTTTAAAATCGGATAAAACTTGTGACCCCTCGAGATACCACAATAACGGCTTGCATGATGTAATGTATGCACTATGCAGCCAACCCGAGACAATCAATTTTGCGTCGCTTTCTCAAATTTTCAATTATGCAATGTCAATCTTTTATGAAATCATTTGAATTTTGAATATGATGTCTAGAATATCTTTCCTTGTCGGTCACTTTTTGCAATACTTTGGGTGTTTTTGACAAATAAAACTCTCGTTCTTGTTGGTGATCAGCACGGCCGATAATTTGGATTTGGATGTTAGAGTAGCCTATGTAGGATACAAACAGAATTGGTACTGAATCTTGAAGTAACCAAAATTCGGATGTGGGTGTTAGTATAACAGAATTAGTCCAGGATCTTGCAATAATCAAAGTTCTAATTTGCCACAACCTATTTTAACTTATGTCACACATGTTTATGTCCTGTCTAAGAATATGGCATTTTAAACAAAACATGTCTACTCTTGAAGTTTTTCATAGTTTCATCAGTCAACTTTTCCTTTAAGGTAATTGTTTGGTTGACATTTACTGTCATACATTATAAAACATAGTGTATTACATATGGTTAATGTAGCATGTCTTCTTCTATAGAAATATACAACAAAGGGTGTATATTATACCATTGTAGTTTATCTACTATTGTTTAATATAGATGTAAATCTATCAGATATATCTTCCAGTAGAGAATCAGCCCGTGCTGAAATATTCAGCTGATCTATAACATGATTTAGAAGACTTCTAACTAGCCATGATGCTCCTAATTCAAATGGAGACTGTAATAGAAAATTAAAGTAAATATTAAGACATATTCATCAAAACACTTTCTTTTAGAAAAATTCAGGCAATGGGCGTTTATGAAATAAATTTGCCGGTTATCTGGTCAAGTTTCAATAAATTGGCTATTTTTTAAAAAAAACAACAACCCAAAACCGCATTTCGTCAGCATACACCGCAACGATATTAGTCTCGGGTGGACTTTTGTGCCAAGTTTCAGTACAGTGTTTTTCGACAAACTTGCCCTATTCCTCGCAGTGCTTCGTTTGATTAGAACTAATCGCAATTTCTGGACCATTGCTTCGAGAATATGAAGTAGGGCTAATAATATTATTGTACTAATATGTAGAATATTTATACAAGTTGTTGAAAATCTCTTTATAAGGCTTATAAAAGAATCTATGTAAGTATGGGGGGGGGGGGTACTATACTTTAAATAAAGGTAAATAATGCATGTCATATTATCATTATGGGTGTGAATCTACATCACTGACAGTTGAAGGTTTGCATTTAATGTTGTTATATTTATGCGTTAACAAACATTCTAACAATGCGAACGCCTTATCCTAGTTTATTATTCATAGCTTTGGTTGTAAGATAGACAGCAGTATACGCAATAGTTTACAAGTAAAGGGTTTAAAATCTCGTTAAAACTTTTACCATGAACAATTTGAGAAATGAAATGATGTTTATATTCTTACTTTTCTGCACTGACTGGGGTAATGAAGTCGGACGCTACGGCCTACTCTTATTTGAAATTCGAAGTGAAGGGTTTGTTTACGTGTAAGTCAATGTGTACACGGGACCCCAGTTGTTCGTTCATCCGAACGAGTTCAATTTGAGACGTACGCGCGGTTATTTTCTATTTACTATAGGCTAGATATAGAGGACGTTTGCCCAGTTGGAATGGGTTTACGTGCACTACGCAATGTGTACACTTCAAAAGCAGACCATCGGTTTTTTTTTTATGATCTGGGTGATACTGTTATCATTGCAAGTCATGAGTTCGACCTGAAGTTATTACGTGATGATGATTAGGATCACACGTCTAACCTCTCGGAATTTCCTATACTTCTAAGCGAATTGTTTAAATAAAAATGCATCATGGGTTAGTACCGAAATGGCCAGGTAAGTGGACGTAAGACACCTCAACGCCGTTTTACTGAATGGACATGGTTAGTAATAAACCGTACCCTAAAATTCACCGCCTTGCACTCGCTGCATACTAATCGAATGAACACACTTATTCAACACTTGTTTTTGAAAACTCTTTAAGATATTTTGAAGTGCAGGTGTTCTAACCAATGCAAAACGATCAATAAAATAATCCCTCCGAAACACTTTTCTTTGTTTGATCCTCTTCATTTTTTTGCCGATATTTTTTTTTCTCCAAATGGCAAGTAGCTAATATGTTAAATAGGGTAAAGTAATCCTAGTTTAAGAGGTTCAACAATGGTATCTTATCTAGATCCTGATTTGTATCGATTTACTCTAGAATAAATTTACATTGTGTTACTATCTTATAGCTATGCCCGAGGTCACGCATTCTTTTAAAAGATAACATTTTGGTTATGACCTAAAACATTTCTAGTTCAAACTTAATTCAAATCTATACGGAACATGAACTAAAAATTAAGTCAAACTTGGACTATGTAGATTGGGGAAAAAAATGAACACCCGTTACAACTATAGAGTGAGTACTTACCAGTTCACCGTAAAAACTCAGGGTTTTATTTAGGTCGTGGATATCGTGGGAATCTTTTGACAGTCTCATTGATAAATCGTGAAGATGTTGAGATAAATTAAAGTCGACTTCATTGAAACCCGGACGACTCCGGGGACTTATAATCTCATTTTGGAGATTCATTATTTCTTCTAAATATGTAGAATCGTCTTCAACCCAACTCAGGTCATTTTCATCTGACGTAAAACATTGCTTCGTCACTAAATTAGTTCTATATTCGTTGTTGAGTTCTGTTTTAAAACTAGAATTGGCACACGGTTGACCTATATCATCTTCATTAAGAACAGAATTAATGATCAACTTAGGAGATGCTGTCTTTTGGTCATCGGTTGTTTCTGGAGCTGAGTAAGGTATGCTCGGATAAATATTTTCAACGAGAATTTTTCCAGTCTCGTAAACATTCTCTATAACATTTTTCACATTTTCTTTAACTTCTACAGTTTTTGTGAAAATTATTTCTTTAACTGTCTGTGGTTCTGGCTTTTCAACCAAGATGTCACCATGTTCTCCAATGTCACATGATTCCGAGCCAATGGCTTCTGTGATATCAATAATTGGCGCCTTAAGTTTAATATTATCTGGTTCATTGAAATGAAGTCCATCGGGGATGGCAGGATCGATAGGTACGAATGTCTTATAGTCATAGATTTTTGGGGACACTTTCGATTGATAAAAACCTAACCCGTCTCCATCTTCGTCAATTTCATCATCACTCTCTTTATCATAACCATCACTGTCTTTATCATCACCATCACTGTCTTTATCATCGTCATCAGTGTCTTTATAATCATAACCGTATTCTTCATTACTATTTTCCTCGGTATCATCGTCGTGGTCCTCACTACTACTTTCCCAGCCTATATCAATAGATGGAGAAGATGTATCTGAAAGGTAAGTAGTGTTTGGAATTTTCCAAAGAGGAATAGTATACACGTGATTACCAATAACACAGACGTGATCATGATCGTGCTTATAGCAAGGCGTTTGAATACAGAGTAGAACGTCTAAAATTTCCCATGGGATATTCTCAGCGTCGTCAAGGTCGTACATTTTACCCTCTAAAGAAGCATTTCTGCTTTTTGGTCGTCTTAGAATTTCTAGACTGGATTTAGATATTTTCCGTACTGACCCACGGTATAGTTTGTTTCTGATTCTGAAGACATCACTTTCTATAGAATCTTTGGAAAAAATCTTATTGCCACCTTGGTTATGGAGTTGTCGCTCGATGAGGTGGGTGGGTATTGGCCTCTTCTTTTTCAGCCTATCTCTCCTCGATGGACTTATTGACTGGCGTTTCTGTCTTCTTAAAAGCACTTTTCGTGGTTCCTTACAAACTGGTTTATTTCTAGGCTTGTATGCTACACTCTTTATATGATCTGAAATAATAAAGCTTTAAAGCTGCAATTTCATATTTTTAAGTTATATTTTTAAAATTTATTAAAATAAAGCCTTAAAATAGATAGATGGTATCCATAAACCGTCCTACCTTGTAATCTATTATTCCTATAATTCACTATTGCCAGCTGAGAAATTGGCAAAAATATCATTTGCAACTTCAAATTCCAACGTTTGAAGGTAGCTAATGCATGGAGGCAATACGAAAACAAGGGAGGTAATTGTGTTATTATTTCCTGTGTCAATGATTTTTAAGGGTGGGAAATAATGCCCATGGTCGTATAATAGTGAGTTGATAACCTATTGAGCAAAAGACATAGAAATAATTATGTTTTGACTTTCTTAGAAAATATGAAATTCTCGCTTTAAGTTATCGTTTATAAGATGAAAACAAACTATATAATTATATTCATTCTCAATGGTAAACCTAGTGGACCTTTAGGTATAGTTTTAACGCCAAGTCATTGAAGTAGAAGGAGTTAAGGTGGCCCAGTGATTAAGGCACTGACTCACTAGCCAGGTCCGGGATTCGATCCTGGTGTTGGTCGAGAAAGTTTCCTGGAATTTTTCGGCGTGGTTTCCGAAAAATAAACACATAGGGCATTGAGGTTAGAGGGTTTCGCTCCGCGGGGTATTTTTACAACGCCATGGTCTATCATAACGAATTCTTTGAGAAGAAGACACATAATGAATTAAAGAGACCATTTGGGCTTTTGTTTTACTCACCCTCTTCATTACGCCATACATTACTAAGACAATATATAAGAGTTAATATAAACCCTACAAGGAACAAAAACCATGTTATTGTGTGTGTTTCCGACCCATGGAGCGGTAAGCTGTCGAAGATAAGTGACGAGTATATATCTGAAAAAAAAATACTAAATAACATAGAGAGCATTTTAAAACAGAAGAGCAAAAAAGATGTGGTTTATAGTCTACATAGGAGACCTTAAAAACGACCTCCAGCGTGATTCCAGCGTTCTGACAAGGGACAACGTTAGTCGTTCGGATGGGACGAAAAACCGAGACCCCATGTATACATTGGAGTACATGTAAAAGATCCATTGGCTGTTGGAATTCTATATAAGAGTAGGCAGTATAGTACCGCTGTCGGGGCAAAATTTCACTCATAGCACACTGTATGACGTATGCCCGTCTTTATTAGCCCAGCCGGAGCCGAACAGTAAGATGTTAAACCCCATATCATTTCATTTCATTTAACCACGACCAGTAATGGTCTAGAATCAAAACTTTACATGGGTCGTTGAGAGACTAAAATGCGCGCATGTGTTTTATATAATATGCATCATGCAAAGGGTGGGAGAAGTTTGCCTATGAGTCCTTTACGTGAATGTCCTTCCAGTTCCACAGACGCCTGCACCGAAAATTGGGAACGGGGCTTGAACATATAATCCAATTGTTATCGTTAAGAGATAACAGACTACATGAGTTTATTATGCAAATTTCAAATTGGAATTCTCGTTATGCACGATTCCATTTGTCAGTATCAAGGCAGGATATACGAGTCTGAGGTTTATTCCAGTAAATTGGATTAGATTTCGAGACATATTGCGATTAGAATCAATATGTGGTTCTGGTATGAGAATTGAATGAAAGTTTGCGAGAAGTTAACACAGAGACGTGTTGAAACAAGTCCAGTTTTATAACCAGAGATATTTATTGGAAAGCCAACAATATATTAACAGAAGAGTAACCAGATGTGACAACAACATATTGATTTAGATAAGCGATAAATAGCTAAGCCCACACTTATAAATTTCCTACTATGTGCTATTCTATTTGTAACAATAATATGGGCACCGTGATAATAAAAATACAATATCTTTCTGTGGTTTTACATCAACACAGTTTTGTCAGCATACACAAATACAATATTTATCGGAAAGACCGATTCTATACTATTTCAGCCTTCCCATTGTTCTATCTTCACTGTAGGCTATGTGATACTTAACAAATGTCCGATTTCCTAAGCTGATATCTCGTTTGTTCATCCTTTAGATTGACACGATCAATAGCCGATTGATGGTTTATATTATGTATGTTATGTATTGACATTATAACAATAACATCGTTTAAAATTTAGCCATAAATTATCCCCGTCGTGAAATACTTACCATGGTATACAATTTATTATGGGTGATTTATCTCATAACTTTCAGTAAAATAATAAGAAAGTAACATGTTTTTATAATTGTATTAGCAATTAGTGAACTTCGATAAATAACGAATATTACTAATTTGACGAACGATTTTGAAGTTGGTTTTAAGCAATCACAAAGTAAAGATATTTTCTGGGGTCTTTACTTTTATAGGATTCAACTAGTCTAAACTTGATTTATATGCTACTAGCAGGAGACCCGGCTTCGCTCGGGGGTCATAACTCCGAAACCGGAAGTGGTAGACTAACGCCACCTGGCCTATGTTACTCCCCGGTCCGAGCTACCCCTATACCCCAAATTTCAGACTCGGGCCAGACCTAGTGTAGCCGCCAACCCCGAACAGACCGGCTTCGCTCGGGGGTCATAACTCCGAAACCGGAAGTGGTAGACTAACGCCACCTGGCCTATGTTACTCCCCGGTCCGAGCTACCCCTATACCCCAAATTTCGGACTCGGGGCAGATGTAGCCGCTAACCCCGAACAGACAGAATTCGCTCGGGGGTCATAACTCCGAAACCGGAAGTGGTAGACTAACGCCACCTGGCCTATGCTACTCCCCGGTCCGAGCAACCCGTATACCCCAAATTTCAGACTCGGGGCAGACCTAGTCTAGCCGCCAACCCCGAACAGACCGGCTTCGCTCGGGGGTCATAACTCCGAAACCGGAAGTGGTAGACTAACGCCACCTGGCCTATGTTACTCCCCGGTCCGAGCTAACCCTATACCCCAAATTTCAGACTCGGAGCAGACCTAGTGTAGCCGCCAACCCCGAACAGACAGACAGACAGACAGACAAACGACAGTCACAAATATATATATAGATTAGATAGTCCATATACATCACTCGGCTTTAAGTGTTTGTTTACTTAGAGCAAAGGTTTTGTACAAGAGGGATATATAAATGATTTATTTGTACTTTAATTTGACACTGCCACACCCGACTTTTATTCGAATAAATAAATCGATGATTCTTGATTCAGATATGGTAACATGTTCAACCGTAAAGGGTCATTGACTCATCAGTGAGAGCGAACACGACCACTGACACTCGCGCAAATTATCATCCATACTTAGCGCGACCGCGACGACCGCATTTGATTATTTAACTGCTATTTCAATAAAGTCGTTTATACTGACTGTGAACGCAAACGCGGCCGAATTTTTTTTTTTCGCGCGGAAAACCGCAAAGATTGCCTCCAGAGCGAATTATTGGGAAGTGTTCTGTGGCAGATGACTGGAGATGGCATCGCCATGACAAGACAGAAAACCTCTGCGAATTTCTGCGCGTATATCGTAGCTTTCAGTACGAACGACGATTCGCGCGGAAAATCGCAGAGGCCGCAGTTCGCGGTTATGGTCGCGTTCGCGCTCAGTATAAATGGCCCACAACTCTATGAAATGCGATCGCCGCTGCGTTTGAAGTGGCGTGAACTCGCGCACAATATAAAAGGCCATTAATAAAACTCACTCTGACTAGGGTAACGACATGGCTCTGCAATACTGCCGAGGCGCACTCATCCCATGACTTTACTATACTATTTATAGAGATTTAGGATACAGCCTATACATAAGAATTAGGCTAAAATCAAAACAGGTTAGACCAATGATCAGATCCAATGATTCGTAATGCGAGCTGGGATTTATGCAGTTATGTTACTTGGTTTCTGTAACTTTCTTCGTGTGAAAAGTCATGGTATATTTCGTAACAGAATACGTCGAAATGCTTACAATAATATAGACATAGATAGACTCTAGAGTTAGCTTATTGTTATACAGTACCTTCAGGGTCCGGAGGAGAAACGTCGGATATTTCTGGAATTTCAGGAACATATTTTTCCAAACTCAAAGATTCTGGTCCAGGGCGAGAAATAAATGCATCATATTCATCACAGGATGCCAGCCACACAGACGATGGGTACGATGACAATAAAGATTGTAACCATGCTATGTCTTTTAAAATATGATTAAACGTTTTCGACACCAGACCCAAATCTTCCTCCTGTTTTACACCCCTGTCATAAGAGAAACATAAACAGGCTTACAAAACTGAAACAATTTTTCTTGGCTTTTTAGTAGGCTACAGCACGCCTACCCCACACTAGCTGCCATAGATTTAATCTTCTTAAATTTGACGCTGTTCAACAAATACATGTAGCTCTGTACCTCCATGTGATTTGTCTATCATTCATATTTAACAGTAGGTCTAACGTAATTTTATATTATAACCGAAATGGCAAAGAATCTGAATTAAGACAAGAACGATAGGGCCTAGACAATTTTTAATTCCTACCTTTTTTTACTACGCCGCATTGCAGATTTTAGTTTTGAACTTATTGAACAATTTCTTGGCCTCCGATGCTTTATTAATTCATCAATGCGGGGCTTACTAAAGTCCCCGACTCCACACGGTACACTCTCCCCTCCCCCCCACCCCCACCACGCGGCCCAGTCTAGTTAATGAATGACTGTCCTAGAACTTGACTCGAGTAGGGGCCGGGCCTAGTACTGTAGTAGGCTACTAGTAGAGCTAGAAGAGGCCCATTGCACTTACCATGCTAAGCCCAGAGTGTCGCAAAATAATGAACACTCGAGAATGAAAACGAACTGTCGAGCAAATCTTGCCATACCATCTTTTTTCCTTCTATTTGATTTTTAAACGAAAATTAGAATCCAAATTTAACATGTTTCCATTTAGACTACAGAGGTTGCCATAGATCTTCACAAAACAACGTCACAATGTTTGTTACGTCACAACATTTCTACATGACAATGTACAAAACGTCACGCGTTTCGTTCGTAACGTCATTTCTTTCCAATAACGCAAATGATGGCCTTGATTACTGTACAAAATCGCAATTAAGTTGGGTTGGGTTGGGTTGGGTGGGTTGGGTTATTGGACAGAGCCGTCTAGATTATGTTGGGCGCACCAGAGAGGTTATTCAAATTGTGCACCATTACATGTCTAGTTAAGACTATAAGATAAGAATAACCCATTCAGAATGAGCCTAACCCTGCCACGATGACGATTTTTATGAGACCCACGCCTGGTGGGGATAATGAGCTATAGGACTTAATAACAGCATTTGAAAAATTAGTAGGCGATAGCTAATAATTATCGTAAATAGATATTGAATTGAACATGTTTATGGGTTTTATTCGTCAACTTATAAACTGGTAGGCTATGTTTTGATTTTATGTTTAGCCTAGGCCTACAAACCCTGTGGCTATAGACCTTGTATCGCTCAAACCAGAAGGCGATATCTACGAATAGAATATAGCTTTATTTTCATATCTATATTTCATTGGTGTGAGAGTGAGATAGTATAGTAGAGAATTAAATTCAGTCAACCGATAATTTATGACATAGCTAGCCCACCCTACTGTAGAAGATAACGACCGTCATTTGCCGCCCATAACAAATAGTAGACCTAGAAGTAGTATGTTGATGTCAGGATTGGGTTTCCAATCGATATGCCTATATATTTATATCATTTTAAATTAAATAGCATGGCGATGAATCATTAAACTGTATTTAAAGTGGGAATATCTCCGCTGCAATTAATTTAAGTAAATATTATTGACGCATATATTCACCTTAAATTGACTGGATTAGATTTTAGTAAAACAAATACAAGTAGGCTACATTAAAATTTGATGTGTTGATTGGTTATATTCGTCTGCATTTTACGTCCACAGAGTGCAGTGTTGAGATATTATAACTGACTGAAAAACGAAACCGAATTAGTAAAAAACCTAGATTTCGCTTAAGAATCGAAATTTAATCGTAGACCCTTCCCCAACTTTAAAAACATTTTAAAATCAAGAAGTTTAATTGATTTCGACAACTGAAATTATAGGCTAACAACTCCGACAGCTAGACTAATATTTAACACCGAGTTATTCGTTACATACATGTGTCACTGTACCAATAAAACGAAAAGTAAAGACAAATTGAATTATATAAGAACTTTCCATATCTTTTATATTATTTATGTGGTCGCTATTTCCAAATATTTGAAAGGGGGGGGGGGGGGGCTATTTATGATAACTGATAGTCGAAAGTGAAGACAAACATACTATACGACCTAAGTGTGCTATTAGAGAACTTTTCCTGGTCAAGTGGCGCAGCTAAGGTTTACTCTTTTTTCAAATTCCAGCCACAAACCAGGTAAGTTCGGGATTAACACATCGTTCAATTTTATTTCAATAATTCGCTTGCGCGTAGAGGTCTTTTATCAGTGGGAGGAAACCGAAGGATCCGGGGAAAACCCACGAGGTTGGACAGGCGACCGTACTCCTTGTCGCGTACAACCGGGGAATCGAAACTACGCCAGCTGACTCAATGACAGACCTTATGATACAGCGCGTACGTGCTTACCGTTTGGCCATCTACTCCTCCCTCCCCCACCCTGAGAAAGATAAGGCACAAGATGGAGAGAGTTAGAAAAAAAAAATAGATTGTGAGAGCTAGAGAGCGTAAGATCGAGAGAGATATCGATTCAGAAAGTGAGAGCTACATAATGGGCTAGAGAGGGAGGGGCTTAAGAGAGCTATCGGTAGGGGGAGAGCCAGCTAAAGGGAGCGTGAGCTGGCGAGGTGGGAGGGTAAAGAGCGCTAGAGTCGGCTGCCAAATGATGGGACCTGTCCGTTGAGAAAAGAGAGAGAAGGGCGGGGGTGGGGCTACAGAGAACAAGCTAAAGAGGGAGATAGGGAGGAAGATAGCAAAAGGGGGGACTAGAGAGGACTAGAAAGATAGTGGACACAAACAATGTCAGCAATAAACAGCAAACAGAGTGATGGAGAGAGTCGGGGACCAAAGAGAGGAGATAACCAACGGACGAAACACAGAGAGAGAGAGGGGAGAAAAGTGGGGACTAGAGAGGGATAGAAATTGATCTGCGATGCGATGAGACTTGTCACCTGAGAAAGAGAAAAGGAGAGAGAGAGAGAGTTACGGATCTACATAAGTGAATTAGAGATGATAGGGCCAGAGAGAAAGAGGTGAGGGAGAGCTTAACCTCGAGAGAGAACAAACTAGTGAGAAGGGCGAGAGCTAGAGAGCAAGCTTAGACTGTTAGAGAGAGATAGAAAGAAAGAGGGAGAATCCACAAGATGAAGAAATAAAGAAAGAGAGCAAGAAAGATCGGGAGAGAGGGCGTGAGCTAAAGCGCTTGAGAGAGGGCGTGAGCTAGAGCGCGTGAGATAGAGACCCAGGACCCAGGAAGATAGCGAAATAGAAGGCAAGAGCTAGAGATGGGGCGGGGGCTAAAGAGAACTATCGATATGCGGAGAGCAATCTAGTGGGCTAGAGTGTGGGGCGGGCTAGAGATAGGCCTGCGATGTGATGATACTGTGAGACGGTTAGAGAGAGATCGAAAGAGACAATGAGCTAAAGGGTGTGGTGGTAGGGAGGGAGCTAGCAAAAGTAGGGAGTGGCGATAGAGAGCGGGGAGCAGAGGGGGAGGGGGCAGAGAAAGGGGGCTAGAGCGAGATAAAAAGAGGGCGATATAGAGAGGTAAAGAGAGTGAGATAGAGAGAAATCTATACGATACCGTGAGGCTATCAAAATAGCGTGGGGGATAGAGAGAAGAGGGGGCTGGGGTTAGAGAAGGGTATAACATCCGCTGGACACAAACTAGGCCATAATTTTACTTCAGTAATTTGCTTGCACGTAGGGGTCTGTATCAATGATACCCGTAAGAGCAATATAACTTCCACCCTATCGCTAAATCACATAAGGTCGTAAACAGCAATAAGTATGTATCTTTGGTTATAGGTAGAGAGTAGAAAAAAGTCGTAAGTGACTTTTCCGAGTTACCACACCTGATAACTGAAAACTTTATATTGCATTTCTAACTATTCCCAATCATAACATACTGTACAAAATATTAGAAAAAGACAATAAATAAACAATTTTACAGGACCATTTTCAAACCTTTAAAGTCGATTTTCTCGAAAAGTGAAAAATGTCACTTAATTACGACCTTTTCCCTCTCAGGGGACGATATATGTAAACAATGCCAGTGGACAAGAAAACACAAGTGCTCGGCATAGGTAGATCTCGTTGTTAAGTGACGAAACCCTTAAATTTACCGCATTGCGGCATATTGTCAGGTCAACCAACGTGTGACAGTCAACCCTGTGTTCTCAACGTTATAAAAATACATTTTGAAGAAGGCGCGCCAAGTTGTCAGTTTGAGCCGGTCTCGTTTTAAGACCAGTATAGTTTGTGTTGTTATCATTTTGTTGTGTTACCTGAGACATATAACACCTTAAAATGGCTGATCAACTAACGGAGGAACAGATCTCGGAGTTCAAAGAAGCTTTCAGTTTATTTGACAAGGATGGTGATGGAACCATTACAACCAAGGAATTGGGAACGGTTATGAGATCTCTTGGACAAAATCCAACAGAAGCAGAACTACAAGACATGATTAACGAAGTTGATGCTGACGGTAATGGAACGATCGACTTTCCTGAATTTTTAACCATGATGGCAAGAAAAATGAAAGACACGGACAGTGAAGAAGAAATTCGTGAAGCTTTTCGTGTTTTTGATAAAGACGGTAATGGATTTATCAGTGCTGCTGAATTACGACATGTTATGACAAATCTTGGTGAAAAATTAACAGATGAGGAAGTAGATGAAATGATTAGGGAGGCTGATATTGATGGTGATGGACAAGTCAATTATGACGAATTTGTGAAAATGATGTCAAATAAATAAGTGAAAAGTTGTGACTATCAGCTTTTTTAGATTATTATTGACATATCAGCAATGTTGACTTTTACAATATTATACCTTTTTGGGCGAACTTTAATGAAGTATTTATAATGTAGATCAGTAGATCTATATAGATATTTATATTGTTTTCATGGATGACCTAGTTGAAGTTACAGCGTCTATCTGTGTTGGTTTGGAATTATCAGTAACAAAGAAACGAACCCTTGGTTACTCCAAGCTTATTTCAGGAATATATATATTTTTTTTATTCGGGATATTTATTGAAACAATCCAAAGGGGAGTGGTGTCAATTTTATAGCAAAAAGTTAATTGTTTAGCAATGTTTATATTTATTATTTTTTGGAATCTCAATTTCAACATTCCTTTGGCAGTATAGATTCAATTTCACTGTGTATTCCTTTGAGACATTCAATTTCAGTGAAAATATTAAAAGATACAAATAAGCTATAATACTGTATATTCTCTCTTTTTTAAATTTTATTTTAATACGCCCACATTTCACATGGGGCTGGATTGGCTAGTCCCATAATAAGGAGAAACCATCTCGGTTTATGGAACGATTTTGTTGTAGAGCTATTTCCCCTGTCACAGGTCAGATATCTAACGATTTTCTTTTTTAATCCGATAACGGCACACAGTACAACGTCTTGAATAATGGGACATTTAGAGCTCGTTTCCAAACGGTTTGTTTGTCCTGCGGCTTTTATTATGTGTTTAACATGGTTGATACCAGTGGCTTTATTGACAGTTATAAAACAATACGCTACGCCACTGTAATGTGGGATTTGGTATGAATGAAGTTTAAATAAAATATTTGTTCATTTCAAGCTAGAAAGAACTTCAAGCAAAAATCCCATTAGATGCAAGTCAGAAACGCGAATAATTTTATTATTATATATGAATAAAATCCCTAGGTCCATTCGCTACTGACGATCATATTGAAAAGGGAATACATGCCCCATTTGTCAAGGGTAGCATTGTGTGCATTGCCTTGAAAATAATCCCCGACAACTGGGACTTGGGATTGGAAACAGAAATGCCACTACTTGCTATACCAGGGTTATTTCCGGAATGTATCCTCCGTGCGTGCCTAGTTGAATGTGATGAATAACCTTGGTTCACCCGTAATACACATCTATGTGCGCGATTGAGAAATCTAGACACTCGGAAATCGAAGAGCAGGCGTAGACGCCGCATTGCACACTGCCTTATGAACGTAACCAAAATAAAATATACCACATCCTTTAACACCCATTGTATGGGGGAATGAAAGACCTCAGTTCTGTTGTAATATTAATTGAAGCAATTAATGATGGGGGTGGGGAGTTACCGTCCTAGGACTTTTGGCGAGTGTTCAGAGGCCGCCCAGGTCTCGGAAGCTCCCGGGGGTCTAGATCGTCGGAGACGCTTCCTTCTTAGCGATTTCTGGCTTGTAAAATTATTCAGCAATGAAGTTTTTATGGGTTTTTTTTAATCCCTTACCACGAAAGCACTGCAATCTGTGATGTTGAACTGGTCAAATATATACATAATATTACCAAGGTTGTGGACATTCTAGATTTTGATGAAACTTAAAATGTATGTATATAACCGTAACTTCTTGGATTATGGCCCCTTATTGTACGAAACCTCACATTTTTAGCTTGTGGGCACTGGGCACCCTAGAGGTCATAATTTACAGTATTTTGTACGTTCTTGCAAAATTCTTAATAAATAATAAGAATTCCCATGCGTAGAATCAAAACTTTATCCATGTTATAAGTATTTTCTGACAATCAAGTTCAGGAAATGGCATTTAGATTCAAAGATTTCTCGGCGGGAGCCCCCAACACCCGAGAAAGCTGCTCGAATCGTGACTACGTCACTCGCATTAGGGGTCTGCCCCCCCCCCCCCGTCGAATCGATATGTATAGGCCACACCCTTGAGTATATAGCCTATAGGAACCTGTTGTAAAAGGTACAGTAAAGTAACAAGTAATGGTTCAAAAATGTTTACGCAATATGTTGAGACGGATCTAAACATAGAGAATTTACTTTGTTAATTTACATCGTCATGCATATTTAAAAAGGTTACCTTTAAAACCGAATAACAATGATCAATTATACAAATAAAAAGTATATTTGCCTATAGATGCTGTTGCCAGCATTACTGAAAAAGAATGATAGTGTAGGTTAAATCGATCTTTTTTTAATAACGCTATAATCTTGAAATTAAAACACTGTGTGTATACCTATAGGAGCATATTGACTTGAATATTAGGCGATAGATAGGCCCACTAGTTTATATAGTCTAAAAAACTTCACACCTGAATAGGTATATACGTGTTTTGGTTGTTTTTATCAACTTCAAAGTACTTTACATATGTATATATATTCAATCAAGAGAATGTCTCATCCATTATTGACAATATGATTTTGATATGCATGTATATGTTAACAATGCCAGTGGACAAGAAAACACAAGTGCTCCGCACAGGTAGATCTCGTTGTTATGTGACGAAACCCTTAAATATACCGCATTGCGGCAGATTGTCAGGTTAACGCGTGACAGTCAACCCTGTCTTCTCGACGATATAAAAATACATTTTGAAGAAGGCGCGCCAAGTTGTCAGTTTGAGCCGGTCTCGTTTTAAGACCAGTATAGTTTGTGTTGTTATCATTTTGTTGTGTTACCTGAGATATATAACACCTTAAAATGGCTGATCAACTAACGGAGGAACAGATCTCAGAGTTCAAAGAAGCTTTCAGTTTATTTGACAAGGATGGTGATGGAACCATTACAACCAAGGAATTGGGAACGGTTATGAGATCTCTTGGACAAAATCCAACAGAAGCAGAACTACAAGACATGATTAATGAAGTTGATGCTGACGGTAATGGAACGATCGACTTTCCTGAATTTTTAACCATGATGGCAAGAAAAATGAAAGACACGGACAGTGAAGAAGAAATTCGTGAAGCTTTTCGTGTTTTTGATAAAGACGGTAATGGATTTATCAGTGCTGCTGAATTACGACATGTTATGACAAATCTTGGTGAAAAATTAACAGATGAGGAAGTAGATGAAATGATTAGGGAGGCTGATATTGATGGTGATGGACAAGTCAATTATGAAGAATTTGTGAAAATGATGACAAGTAAATAAGTGAAAAGTTGTGACTATCAGCCTTTTTAGATTATTATTGACATATCAGCAATGTTGACTTTTACAATGTTATACCTTTTTGGGCGAACTTTATTGAAGTATTTATAATGTAGATCAGTAGATCTATATAGATATTTATATTGTTTTCATGGATGACGTAGTTGAAGTTACAGCGTCTATGTGTTGGTTTTGAATTAACAGTAACAAAGAAACGAACCCTTGGTTACTCCAAGCTTATTTCAGGAATATATATATATATATATATATATTTTATTCGGGATATTTATTGAAACAATCCAAGGGGGAGTGGTGTCAATTTTATAGCAAAAAGGTTAATTGTTTAGCAATGTTTATATTTATTATTTTTTGGAATCTCAGTTTCAACATTCCTTTGGCAATAGATTCAGTTTCACTGTATATCCCTTTGAGACATTCAATTTCAGTGAAAATATTAAAAGATACAAATAAGCTATAATACTGTATATTCTTTCTTTTTTAAATTTTATTTTAATACGCCCACATTTCACATGGGGTGGATTGGCTAGTCCCATAATAAGGAGAAACCATCTCGTTGAATGTGATGAATAACCTTGGTTCACCCGTAATACACATCTATTTGCGCGATTGAGAAATCTAGACACTCGGAAATCGAAGAGCAGGCGTAGACGCCGCATTGCACACTGCCTTACATGAACGTAACCAAAATAAAATATACCACATTAGGTTCGTCTCAAAATGACCGAAATATTGACTACGTGGCAAATTAACCAAGTAACGCCGAATTCCTTTAACACCCATTGTACGGGGGAATGAAAGACCCCAGTTCTATTGTAGGCGGAAGCAATTCATGATTGGGCGGGGGGGGGGGGCTACCGTCCTAAGACTTTTGGCGAGGGTTCAGAGGCTGCCCAGGTCCCGGAAGCTCCCGGGGGTCTAGATCGTCGGAGACGCTTTCTTAGCGATTTCTGGCTTATAAAATTATTCAGCAATGAAGTTTTTATGTTTTTTTTAATCCCTTACCACGAAAGCATTGCAGTCTGTGATGTTGAACTGGACAAATATATACATAATATTACCAAGGTTGTGGACATTCTAGATGTCACAGTTTTTATCCGATTTTGATGAAACTTACAATGTATGTTTATAACCGTAACTTCTTGGATTATGGCCCCTTATTGTACGAAAACTCACATTTTTAGCTTGTGGGCACCCTAGAGGTCATAATTTTTATTGATTGTAAAAACCGTCCAAATATATCACAGTTACACCATTACGACTGAGTACAAATTCAAAGTTCAAATGGCCGCTCCCCTTTATGCAAATAATGTAAAAGCATATAATACCCAGGGCGACCATCGGATGTAAACTGTGGTCGCGACTACAGTCTGAACCAGCTTGTGGGTACCCTAGAGGTCATAATTTTTATTGATTGTAAAACCGTCCAAATATATCACAGTTACACCATTACGACTGAGTACAAATTCAAAGTTCAAATGGTCGCTCCCCTTTATGCAAATAATGTAAAAGCCTATAATACCTAGGGCGACCATCGGATGTAAACTGTGGTCGCGACTATACAGTCTGAACCAGCACCTGAACGCAAATGGCCCGGACCATGGCCCATGTCAGTTGTTTCGCCTGCTATATTTTCTGCTATTTAGTATTTTGACGATGGGGATGAAGAAATGCCTTTAATACATTTTCTTACAACGCTGGCTCTATACGGGTTAACTGGCAACATGAATCATTTCACAAAGTTTTTTGTCGTGGGCCTATATATATATATATTCGAATAAGAAGATCTTAATCTGTCAAATTCATCAAGAAAACTCGAATAAAAATCAAAGTTTTAATAAACCGTACCCTAACCCCCATTCTCTAACTTCCGGGTGTTACCATTGACCCTGAAATTATGGCGGGGTATCGGGTTCAAAATGCAATCTAGAGTAAAAAGCAGAAAGTCAACAGTAAAAAGTAGAAAATCTGAAGTAAATGGGGAAATTTTTTTTATCTAAAAGGGTGAAAACCTATAAATTTATGTACTTAGTCTGCAGAAACCTCAAGCTTTTCAACTTTTAATCGCCATAATTCTACTTTCATGGACATAATTTCTACTTTCTACTATCAACTTTTGACTTTGGACTTTCCGCTTTCTACTATCAACTTTTGACTTGCGACTTTCCACTTCAGATTTTCTACTCACGATTTTCTAACGCAGCAGATTTTCTCCAATATTATGGTGGCTGATAGTGGCCATGTAATTTTTCGCCATTTTCATAACCCGACAACACGACATAACAACAGTATTAATAGTGAGAGGATACATCAAAGTAGACTCGGATAGAGACTTTTGGCAAGCGTAAATTCCTGGTCCGCATCGCGTATCCGTATGGATGTTGTGTGTGACGTCATCAATGTGTGTGTATTTCTCATACGTGATACGGCACACGGATACGACAGCACGTATCAAACAGCTTTCATGCGGAAAGGTCCGTACATCGTCGTCTTTTTATCGCCTTTTTTGCTACTTTTATACGCTGAAATGTTGTGGCATAGCGTTTTTATGAATCTATGTGTATCCTAGAACACAAAGGTGTATATTTAATGTGATTTTAACCATGATAAAAACGTGTTTTTAATCATTATTTTTTATAAGTTTTTCTCGGAATTTTCATATTTTTCCTGTTTGTCTGCATGCTGATTGATCTACGTGCTAAATTTAGGGAGGTGTAAATGTGGTGATTCTACCGTAAAGAGGTATAAACTTTCTGAAAAGAGTGAAACCAAAAATTGCTGTCGAGTCTAGACATTTGTGGCTAGGCACTTGACTAGCACTGATAGTGATTTTGGTAGATAACCGTCGTCATGTTGTAAGAGAACTAAGCTCAGCTCCCCATACGTACGCGGCGCGAACGTCTGTCAAAACTCTAAAACTACACTGACGCAACGTATCACGTATACGATACGGATACGCGATACGGATGTGAAAAATTCCGCTTGCCAAAAGTCTATAATATCCAAGTCTACTTTGACGTATGCTGTCACTAATACTGTCGTTATGTCGTGTTGTCGGGTTATGAAAATGGCGAAAAATTACATGGCCACTATCAGCCACCATAGTATTGGAGAAAATCTGCGTTAGAAAATCGTGAGTAGAAAATCTGAAGTGGAAAGTCGAGAGTCAAAAGTTGACAGTAGAAAGTAGAAAGCGGAAAGTCGAAAGTCAATAGTTAATTGATAGTAGAAAGGAGAAATTTTGTCCATGAAAGTAGAATTATGACGATTAAAAGTTGAAAAGCTTGATGTTTCTACTGACTAAGTACATAAATTTATAGGGTTTCACCATAAAAATACCCTTTTAGATAAGAATTTTCCCGTTTACTTCAGATTTTCTACTTTTTACTGTTGACTTTCTGCTTTTTACTCTAAATTGCATTTTGAACCCGATATCCCGCCATATGAAATACGGTCCATGGTGTAAATAATGCATTGGCAATTGGCAAATTTATGTTTTTCAGACAAATCTTCACACGTATCAGCTTTTTCAGCCACCCTTGAACTATCCCGACCGTGCTCTATCGCATGGTACGGATGAGAGGTCACAATTTATTTCCGATTTGCGCTTATCGGAAAGAAACTTTCTGGATTATGGACCGTGATTGTACGAAAAATCACGTTTATAATTTGTGGACCGAAACTTCCCGTCAAATGACCGCTCCCCTTTATGCAAATAGTGTAATGCAAGGTTGTAACAATTTTTATCCGATTTCGATGAAACTTAAAACGAGTGTTGGGTGAGTTCAAGTTTGGTGCGCATTGGACCTCCCGTTCTAGAGTTATGCCAAATGCGTTTTACGCAAAATGTGAAATATGAATGAAGTTTGTGGACCTCCCAGTGGCGACAATTTTTATCCGATTCATGAGATAAAAATTAAACTATGTGTTGAGGATCAAAAGTTCTTTTATAAGTTTCACTTTGGTACGCATGAGACCTTCCATTGTAGAACTTTAGCCCCTGCAATAGAATGTTAGAAAGATTCTATCCCGTCGTGTTTTAATTAGCCAATCTGTCATAGATACAACGGAAATGGGATGGAATAAAATATTCGACTGCTCAATAAAGTTAACTAATCGCGACCCTTGCAACTGGGGGCTCTTAACACAAGGATCAGTATAGAGCATAGCAGAGTTTTCTTCTTCTGAAAGTCTACGTTTTACTTCTAGAAGTCTCACGTCTATGTTAAAATCAGGTCATCCAGTTACGTCACTGTATCTAACTGCGTGTAATAACCTGGAGAAAAGGGTACTTGCGGCCAAATTATTGGGTGGGGGGTGGCACTCCAACGGGCCTCTAAGGAGCTATATCGCTAATATTTGGGACCTAGAAATTGACCTAAATGGGTCGCAACGCATATAATAATGTAATCTGATTGTATATAAACTGATTTACATTCAATTGTTTCCGTTTTGACTCTAATTTCAAATCAGTTATGTCCAGCGAAATTTCTTAAAATTTCGATTGTATCTTAGTTTAAGTTTCGTGAATAAGGGCCCCGGCTTTCAAGGGTTCTTTTATCAAATTAGAGATTGTATATGGTCACTGTTGGTTTTTTTAATGTGCCCAAACAACCAAATGCCACTCAAGTATTATAATTAAAGCGGAGAAATATCTTGTATTAACTATACTGTAGCCCATAATGATGCCTATGTAATACAGAAATGAAATAGGGTTTAACATCCTACTTTTCTGCACCAACCGGGGTAATGGGGACGAGTAAATTGTGGGAAATTGTGCTCGGAGAGTGAAATTTTCCGCCTTCCCTTCTTCGGCTTCGAAATGGCAAAGGTTCTTTTATGTGAATGCCAATATGTGTACTACAGGGTGCCTCGGTTTTGCGTATATAGTACCCGAACGACTAGATGATCCCAAGAAACTTTAGAGACCAACGCCCGGTTCGAACCATGGACCCTTCGGTTAGTGAGCTAGTGGCTTAATCACATTTGAAATTTTAAATGCTATAGAAAGGGTTCGCGTAATCCAAGATCATTAAAGATACATTATGGAGGATTAGATAAAGAGCTGGCAGTTCTCATTATAATAAATAGTTTAAATAACATTTCAGGCCCAAACAAAGACCCGCAATAAGCAGATTTAGCTCTTGCATAATGTTTAAGATAAACAAAAAGAAATCACATCTGTGTACGATTCGACAGGATTTAGCCTTGACATAAGAGTAAATGTCTATTTTGAGAAAGATATGGACACATGTTTTGTCAGATACGCGACTTATTTGGAACACTTCCTGTTTTGTTTTGTTTTTTTGTCACATAAAAGGTAAGCACTGATCAACGACATATTTTGCACTCGTCACTTGAAATTAAAACACGTTGAAATATCTCAGCATTGAAATAAATTTACTGACAGTACCGCACTCTCCTAGTTGTTACAACTACCCAATTTCATGCTATCATAATGCATGAATAAATTATTTAGTTATTAGAAAAGAGATAATGGAAATATAACGGTATAGAGCATGTTAAAATCAATAACAGTTTTATAGGCTGCACACATATTTGTTTCTATATCTGATTTTAATTGCTAGATCGCTAAACTGAATGCAAGATATACCGCGAGAAACTGTGACATATAAATAAACTGGTTTAATTGTTCTGCGCTCAGGCACAGGCGTCTGTAACGTGGACAATATTTAAAAAATAACATTAAACATACATCATGCAGAGCTAAATCTACCTATTTCAGATCTTTCTTTAGGCCTGAAATGTTATCTAAATTATTAATTAGACATTAATTAACTTATCCAGACACCATAATCAACTCTCGATGTCATCGCTAGACTGCGATGTTTATTGGATTAGATTCCGATTTGCTTCCATTGATGATTTAATCATGAAATGGATAATCGAGACTGTGTTTTTTTTATCGTACCGACTTTAGTAATGATGATCGAGGCTAGGCCGAAAATTCAATCAATTTGACTGAACTTTTCAGCAAATTCCCTTTACCTTATCTAGTTTTTAACTATTATAGTGAGAACTGCCAGATCTTTATCTAATCTCCCATAATGTGTCTTTAAGGTATGACTAAGTACATGTCTTAAGTCTGTTACGTCCATGTTACTTAGCGAGATTATCAAATAACTGGTCTGATTCTAATTTCTAACTCAGGGGCGAATAACTCGCCTGAAACCGATTCTCTTTCAGTAGATATAATAATACCACGGTGAAAAACGGACTTAAATTAAATAATTGGGACCAAAGTTGAACCAGTGACAGTACTCACTAAATTTCGCGAGGTAGACAATCGAGTCTACGATGACTTTTTAAAATTATCCACGTAAATTATTAATTAGACATTAATTAAACACACATTATGCAAGAGCTAAATCTACCAATTGCAGGTCTTTCTTTGGGCTTGAAAATTATCTAAATTATTAATTAGACATTAATTAACTTATCCAGACCGTAATCAACTCTCGATGACATCGCTAGCCTGCGACATTTACTGGATTAGAACCCGGTCTGCTGCTTCTGATTAAATCAAAAAGTGGATAATCGAGACTATGATTTTTATCGTACCGACTTCAGTAATGATGATCGAGGCTAGGCCCAAAATTCAATCGTTAAATACTCGGTTCAGGCTGGATCAATTTGACTGAAATTTTCAGCAAATTCCCTTTACATTATCTAGTTTTTAACTATTATTGTGAGAACTACCAGCTCTTTATATAGTCTCCCATAATGTATCTGTAACTTATCCAGACCATAATCAACTCTAGATGCCATCACATATATCCTGTGATTTTTAGCGGATTGGATTACATTTTTTTGAAAATAAATAATTAAACGTAAAAGTGGATAATCGAGACTTTGTTTTTTATCGTTAGGCTTTAGTAATGATGATCGAGGCTAGTCTAAAATTCAAAAGCTTATACCTCGGTTCAGAGTAGAGCAATTTGACTGAAATTTTCTGCACATTCTATTTTATCTAATTTCCCATAATGCCCCTTTCGCCGATGCATAAATTTTGAGACCGACTGCAGTGACTGCACCTATTTTGCGACCGTTAAACAGTTACGCTAAACAGTTATATTTTTTACATAGATGTATATACCATAAAAGTTAATCGCCCCGTGTTTATGATCCGGTGACTCAAGTGCGTATAAACGACGTCGGATATGTTGAGTGGGGCTTCACTTTTCAAAGGGTTGGATGAGGTGTAGCCTACTAAACCACCTCGCAATAATTTTAGTGCGGCATTTTATTCCCAACGTTTCAAAAGTAAATTTATCCCACCCTTTTTTGTTCAACACGTCTGTATCAAATTAAACTGCTAAATAACAATACCGATAATGCTATTTCATACTTATTGAAAAATAAGAGAGTCTAATCTAGTTTCAGCCAAATTTCCCTATGGACAAAATTTACTCCAATGGGATAGTTTAAGACTAACTAAAAGGATGCGGCAAAGATTTCCGAATGAAACGCTACTCATGTGATCAGCTATTTGAATGGTACATTTGAAATTGCCCGTATGCCAATGGAAACTGAAGAGTCTGGTTAACCGAGGCTATTTGCTACGCGCCCATGTTGACCTCTTAGTTCAAGCGAAACTGCAAGTAATACTTCCGGTAGCGGTGTTAAAGGTCACCCTTGGTCACATGAAAATGACTTGGGTCGGCAAATGTTTTCTCTAAAACTTATCAGCATATAATAAGAGATAAGTTGTGAAATAAATGAAGTGATATGAACTATTTCATGTGATAACTGCAGCAGAGAAGTTTTGTAGTTTATCTTATTTTATGTAGATCAACAAAGCCACGGGGCAGGCTTTCAAAATGAACATTCGTCAGAGTTTTACCTTATTATTTGTTTACAAATTTTATTTAATTTTTCTTTGGTTATCTGAGGCACAAGGGAAAATACTCGGATTTGAGCAGAAACAACTAGATTACAAATTAGATCAATTATTAGTGAAGAAAAATTTATTTAAATACGTAATGAAACAAGAACGTACAAAATGTCCTCAATTAGATCCAGAGGTGAATATGAATGTGGTAAGTACATAACCATTAATTAATTAATAAATCAAAAACATTGACAGCAATAAAAAAAATTGGAAATTAATAATTGTTATATGTAGAGATTTTATATATCACACAACCCTCTCTTACACACACAAATAAATAAATATAATTCTTTAGTATATTTTGTTTCATGTAAAGTATTGTAAAGCGATATCTCCTGAGATATCGCTCAGTAGATTCTGAAAGTTATCCAACAAGCGATATCTACTGTAGAATGCATTATAGGGTGATAGAGGTGTGTCTTAGAAATAGTTCCACAATCATTTGATTACCAAAAATTTACTGGCCCACAACCCCCTTATTTTCCCATTTAACTGCCCCCGAAGTGTACATATAAATCAATTCCCATTGAAATAAAGATGAAACCATACTGCATAATTATGTGATTTGATAAAATCCTACGGCTATGCGATATTTCTTTCCTTTTCCTACTTAAATTGGCCACCTAAGAAGAATTAGCATGTGTGGCGTGTGGAATTAGCATGTGTGGCGTGTGCACAAGTCGCATGTGATCAAACATCATTTCCTAAATATAGAGTTTCATCCCCATATTTAGATGCTAATATACTCAAAGTCTTAAAAAAGGCAATGCCTAATTTGTGAAATATTTCTGGTAAACATTTTCTTGGCCTTTCCTATCTTATGGCACATAGGTGAAACTTGTGATTGGTCTCTTTTTGTCGAGTTCTGGGGTTGAACCCAATATCAGTTCTCGGTAATGAACTTTGTTCGTGCACTTGTCAAAATTTCAACATTCATCACTTTGGAAAAATGCCACGCCTTACACAAGAAAACCGGAACAGAGCTATTGGGCTTCACAGGTAGCCGTTGCCAGACACTTTAATGTCCACCCATCGACCATTACTCGCCTCAGACAACGCTTGCCAGACAGCACAACACACCGTAGCGAAATGTCATCTTCTCGGATGAATACCAATTCAACCTCAGTTTCCTGATGGACGTCGCCGTATCTACAGACGTCGACATGAACATGGACATACCCGATATTGACTTAAGCTTACCCCTGCGTTGTTTCATGGTTCTCTGACATTTCGGTTTTGTGAATTCTTTCATGAAATTATCCACATATGCTTGTTATCTCGATTTTGTCAATTGTTATGTAAACTTGTTGAAAGTTGTTGCAGTAAATAAACTTTGAATTTGGCATTGTGTTTTTAATGGCTTTGTGTGTAGTATTTGGTTATAGTAAACAAAACCTTGCATGAAAAGCAATGGGCGGGACTAATGCAAAGTAATATCTGGCAAGATTTCACCTGGGTACATCATTAGAAACATCGCTTTGAAAACAAGACACGGCTACAATAATGTAGCTAGCCTGACAGGGACAAATATTGTTTGCTTTATAAGTTATACTTTTACTACAAAAAGTCTGGGATGCATTTGGAAGGTTTATTAACTACATGTATTCCAAAACCATCATCAATGACAGTATGGAATCTAAGAAAAATTCTTGTTGATTGTTAAAAATGCATAAAATAGCCATCAAATAGTCAGATATTACATGCTAAAAATGTTAATGCAAATTTCTGACTAAGTAGATCATTGATTTGAGTTTTACTGATTAGCTGACTCGGTTAGAATGTAACAGATACAAAATTAAAGACATTTGATTTCTTAATGAAATTGATTATCATAATTTACTTATGTAAGGAAGTATTTTAAATTTAGAAATCTCATCTGAATGTAAGTGTAAACTTCCTTAAATCTAATTAGGCTTTATTACTTTCAAGATTAAATATATGTTTCTTTAAATAATTTCAAATCTTAAATTGAAATTTAAGTATTCATAAATGAATTGTAATAATCATATTCATGTACACTAATGAAAAAATAATAACTTGACAAAGAATAAAAAAAAGACCTTGCAAAATCGCGTAAAATGACAGTGTTGTCGACTAACCAGTCTGAAAACAGCAGATTCTCCCTGAAATGACCGAATGATGGTCCTCATTCTTGATTTCAGTTGATTTTCCCTAAAAGAAAAGTCCCAGATTTCACTGGGTCTCCAAGTATGAGCGTACTAATGTACAAACCAGGAACTGAGCGCAACATGAATAGTGCTTGGGGCCCAGCACGCGGTCCAAAAAGTTTAAATATACAAATTAAACACCAAAATATTTCAGCTCAAAATATTGAGTTGTTAAATGATCACCAAAAGAGTTTATATGGATTACGGGACTTAATTGAAATTTTTCATTGAGTAACCTTGTAAATTACAACTATTCAATATTTGTCAAATTTGTAAGGGTAACTAAAATGTAACAATAACCTGCAAACTTCTATAACAGGTATGGAAATAAAAAAGAAAGTTGTCATTTATAGACAGTTTTATCCAAGCACATTATGATTAATTGCTTGTTTCCAAATTCCACCTCAGAACTTGTCCTTGGTATTTCTTCATGGTTTTCTCTTTGATAAAACAATGCACTCACCTATTGTACTTTATGACTTGAAGCATCAAGGCTACACTCTAATTACTTGATACAAGTAAATCGATTTGGCTTTATAAAAAATGGTGTTATGGTAAGAATTGATAAGAGAAATGTAATTACAGTGACAAAGATAATTGAATTATTATCACTTTGTTTGTTGTAGTCCTTTACATGATTCATAAACCATGACTTATCAATTCATTTTTTCAGACGCAACTTTTAACCAGCAAAGGCTACCCATGTGAGGATTATACAGTAGAAACGAAAGATGGATTTTTATTGAGTGTTCAGCGAGTTACACATGGTCTTAATAATAAAAATGTAACAAATAGACCAGTAGTGTTTTTACAACATGGTTTATTATGTACTTCAACCAACTGGGTGACTAATTTAATAAATGAAAGTTTAGGTAATTTTATTGAATTCTAAATAATTGATGAGATGTACACTTCTAGACATTACAGAAAATATGATGAACTTGTATTCACAAACAGTTATTATTCAGTAAATGTTGATAGCAATAATTAAGTTAGTACAGTTCTTGTCATGATGTTAAACCCCATTTCATTTCATTTCTTGTCATGAGCCGACACAACTGTGTGTATCATATGTCAATGGGATACAGAATCCGACTCAACAGAATTAACCAGATATGACACAGAATATGAAATGATTTTTTAACACAATCTCTGGTTATTATACACTGGTTCCAGAACTTCCAGAAATCTATTCTATCCGTGATCAAACCTGTTCATCCGTTGCTCTCTTAGTTTGGCTTATTATGGGCTCAAAAACCCAATTGCCCACAATTAATTACAATAATTCAATTTCAATTAACAATAGTACCATCAAAATCAGCATATAATATCGACACAATATTTGATTCTTACAAACCCATAAGAAATGTGCAACCTTCTTCCGATACATCATTACTTATACAGCCCTCCTATAATTTAATATATGGTTACCTGTCGTTCCGTGTATGAGCATCATGGAACAAATGATCAATTCCAATCTGTAATGTCATTTCTATTGCTACTTTAAAAACTAAACTAAAGCTAAAAATTGTGCAAGAGTATAATTTTACAGGGATATACCACAATAGTCATTGATTATTTCCAGTCACTTACTCAACTAAAAATACATATCGTTTAGTCCCAAAATGGTGTGTTGGGTGGGTTAACATTACATCCTATTTCTATATTTGTTATGCAAAATAATCATCTGACTGAATTGAAAAATATAAGGTTTATATATTAAAATGCAATGAAAACTTGACAGGATATTCTTACCATAGCTTTTCAAAAGCTACATTTTGTAACCCATGTCTTGACAAGAAAATTCTTAATTTCAATATTCCCATTCTGTCAATTTTTTGTGTTTGAGAAAAATAATCTATGACACGTTTACATAATCATGAAAAAAAACATAATTCTCGCGTGTTATAGTCACGATGTGGTGTCTTTGAAAGCAGAATTACAGTGTATCTCTAAAACAAAATCTACATGTATAATCACCCATTTATAAAAGTGGTGTGTTTTCATTGTGTTTCAGTATATTCTTTAGAATTGATCCTAAAACCAAAAGTTTACCTTGTTCAGTCTTTGAATTTCTGACCTGTTGGCAAATCAATTCCAAAAGTCAACAATCAAAGCCTATTTTATTTCCATTCTTTATGATATAATGGAAAATTGTTTACTTAAGTTATTATTAATACATTTTTTCATACGTATTTCAATTCATATTTTTTGTTTGCAGCATTCATATTAGCGGATGAAGGGTATGAGGTATGGATGGGTAACTCTCGAGGTAATACTTATTCCAGACGACACAAAACTTTATCACCCGATCAAGATGAATTTTGGGCATGGAGGTAAACATTTTTCTTCAATTAATTATTAATGCCGTATTCAGTTAAATTATTTTTTTTTAACCATTTAATTGTTCAGACCATTTTGAACTCCACCAGGGGCGTGGTGACCCATGATTTTGCATGAGGAACAAGATCCCGTCCGGGCCACCAATTGGGCTGGGTAGAACATGCTAGAGTTGATTTATAGCATATCTGAACCACGGTATATGTTTGCCACTGGTTATTAAAGGGGAAGACCAACGATTTTCAACGTTTCCATAAATCTTAAATATATACCGGGTATTGATAAATAATCCCCTCTGTAACACAAGCAAAAAAGTTTTTATACGTATTTTGTTGTCGCCCCTGTCCGTCCGTCCATCCACAGTTTTTTGTGAACAAGCTACAGGTCTCAATTTTTATCTGATTTCAACGAAACTTGAAATATAGGTTTATCTCCTCAAGATCTCGGTTCCTTTCGATATTGGTATGATCGGACCGTAACTTCATCAATTATGGCTACTGATTGTACGAAAAGTCGCGTTTTTAGCTTGTGGACCCTATGGAGGTCACAATTTTTAACTGATTTTGTTGAAATTTGAAATATAAGTTTATAACTCAAAGATCTTGGTTCCGTTCGATATTCGCGCATATCAGGCCGTAACTTCCAGAATTATGGCCCCTGATTGTAAGAAAAATCTGTTTTTTTAGCTTGTGGACCCTATGGAGGTCACAATTACACCTTTATGTCGATTTAGTTCGAATTTCGTGAAAATCTGACCAAAACTGCCAGACCAGACAAAATGGTCGCCCCTTGTACGCAGATAGTGTAAAAACATCGTATATCAAGGTTGTGGATCCTCTAGAGGTCACACTTTTCATCTGATAGTGATGAAACCTGAAATGCATGTTTATATTCCAAATATCTTGGTTCGTTTCGATATTCGTGCATATCGAATTGTAACTTCCTGAATTATGGCCCCTGATTGTACGAAAAATCACGCTTTTAGCTTGTGGTCCTTGTAGAGGTCACAATTTTTATCCGATTTAAAAAAAAAATGTGTGAATATATCACAGTTATGCACTAATGATGGTTGAGTTCGAACTTTGTGAAAATTGGACAAAAACTGATGGACATAATGGTTGCCCCTTGTACGCAAATAGTGTTAAAAAAAGGTCTAGAAGACACAGTTTTTATCTGATTTGGATGAAACTTTAAATATATGTTTCTTTTGATAATCACACATATTCGAACGTAACTTTCTGGATTATGGCCCCTGATTGGTTGAAAAATCAAATTTTTAGCTTGTGGATTCTGTAGAGATCACAATTTTTTTTACGATTTTAAAAACCGTTTAGATATATCACCATTCCACCATAATGAAGGTTGAATTCGAATTTCGGGAAAATCGAAATGAAACTGCCCGACAAAATGACCGCTCTTTGTACGCAAATTGTGTATAAGTATGTAATACAAAGGTTATGGTCTATGGACCCTCTAGAGATCACAATTTTTTATCCGATTTTGATAAAACTTAAAACATATCTTTATATTCCAAAAATCTCAGTCCCTTTGGATATTTGCTCATTTGAGACCATAACTTTCTGGATTATGGCCCCTGATTGTACAAAAAATCGTTTTTATTTTTAGCTTGTTCTCTATCCATCTCTTGCAAAATGTAGGCGTATCCTGCCTGGCAGCCGCTGGTTATTAAAACCGGAAGTGATGTAGTTGGTTCAACACGCTCACTGGTCTCTATAGTAAGCATACAGGGGCTGTTTATTTGGATATTATAAATATGAAATTATGTCTTTGTTAATGTTTAATACACAAACACCGAACAGTACGTTGTGGACCAATTAACACCACACGCCTCATTGCTTACATCACGTGAGAGATATTTCGTCTGCTTTAATGTTTTTGTGCGTGCTGAGTCTGCTGACAGTGTTTTTATTTATTTCAATGGACTTGTGGCACATATATATTCAAAAAAATATATAAATTTCCAAAGTATGTCAACATCAGACACTAACGTATCGGAATAAAAGATATCGCTATGGGTTTACATTAATGCCGTATACAGATTCGAGCCCAGCTATTCTCAAGAGGAAATGGAAGAAAAAATGGAAAAGTCGTTCACTTAAAAAAACATTTTTGTTTGTTTTACAGAAGGGATTTTATATGAATATATATTTAAGATTTATGGAAACCCTGTTGAAAATCGTTCGTCTTCCTCTTTAAGCATTATGATCATGATTATAGTGTTGAAAACCGCATTGAAACGATATGATTATTTGCCATTTGCGAGAGGGCACAAAAACTCAAAACCATGACGCAAAGCTTATCATTGCGTCCCTCTCACTTAGCCCCTGCACTGATATCATATTATCATATATTAATTGCAAATAAGTTCTCTAAGGTCTTCCAGAATGGTTTCCCCATGTCACTGGTGCAGGTTGAATGGCCTGGAAAGGAAAGCGACCAGTTGTTCGGATGGGACAAAAATATGATGTTCCGTGTACACATTGAATGCACGTAAAAGAACCCTTGACAGTTCAAATTTGAATAAAAGTAGGCTGTAATGTAGCTATTGTAGTAAAAAAAATTTTCATAGCACTCTGTGCCCTGTCCAACCTCGTGGGTTTTCTCTGCATTCTCCAGTTTCCTCCCACTGCTAAAGACCCCTACATGCAAGGGAATTATTGAAATAAAAAATTAAACCATATGTTAGTCCCGAAATGACGGAGTTTGTGTCAAGTGGATGTTAAACCCCATCTCTCTCTCTCTCTCTCTCTCTCTCTCTCTCTCCCCCCCATTGGATGCCGAAAAGTAGGACGTTAATGTGAGACTTCATTTTTGAATAGATACATGTACCATATAACATACTACAGACCATAAACAACAACTATTTTTTATTCATAATTATTCATATGTATCTTTAATGCATATGTTGAACCAAATGTTTTACTTGCACATATAGACCAATTATAATGTACAGATTTAATTTAATTATCATTATGAACAGTTCAATTGTATGAGTTAAGCTAAGATAGATTTATTCATGAAGTCATTTTTTTATGTTCAGGTAGAAAGATTTTATATGTGGTTTTATCTGATTTTATTACTTGGTCACATGAAAAAATATATACAGAAACCAATTATTCATATCTAATAGGTTAAATAGATTTCTTGTCATGCCTCAAGTGTTAAATTGAAGAGAGTAATCAATCAAATTCTTCATACAATTTTAGTATGTTTATGTGGTGTTCGCAAATAGTCACAAGATTTCCAATAAGATTTTAGCATATTTATGTGGTGTTTGCAGGTGCAAAGCTATCAGCTAGAAATGAATTATTATCGCATTCTTTATACATATATTTGATGCATAAATCCTTTGTCGTAACTGTACATCAATGACAACAGTACCCTTTTTAATGGAGCCCCTAAGTACAAAGGAATAAAGAATTTTACAGGTTCTCATAAGTCTTAATTAACCTCGGGAATCTTCCATTGAGCCCATCTTCTTGTTCAATAATTAATGCAAAGTGAACGTTATATTTACCAGAGATAAGCAATTTGATTGGTTGATGCTTTGGGACACGATAACTTTAGTTCTAATTAAAGGGCCAATCCCGATAATATTTTGGAGAATAAAACTGCTTAATTTTGTTTTAAAATCCCTTAAAATCCTCTACCTTAGGGCCGAGCAACTAACTCAATACACGTGATACGTTTTCAAACAACTTAAACCAGTCAGTCTTCATCTGGAAATGGAGACCGGTGTCCCAAGCTGTATTATGCGGTGTCCCAAGCTGTATTATGCGGTGTCTGGATAAAACCAGACTTTTATTTTATAAAAATAATGTGTAGGTGAAATTTACCTTTTGTTGTCAAGTACAGTACATTGGTCATTCATTGTATAGACCTCTGACGGAACTGGAATCGATTATCAGGTCATCCAACGAAAAAATTGACCCGAAATCTTAAAAGGTTACGTGTCCGGATAAGCAGTTTTGACGTTCACGCCCAAACGACTCAATATTTTGAGCTGAAATTTTGAGACAAGGTAAATACACCATTCCTCTATATTTGGGCGCTTAAATTTCATATGTACTCAGACTTTTATTTTTGAGACTGTTTAAATCGGGACAGTCCCTTTAATTGAATTTGATGAAATTTGGTGTATAGTTTCATTACATCATTACCTTGGCTAAGTTTGATAATGAGCATTTTCTGCTCAGGGTAAGCAGAGCGATAAGCAATTTGATTGTTTGAGACTTTGGACCACCACAATAACGTCCGTCCGTCCGTCACACTTTTTGGGACACAATAACTCTCCTTCTAATTGACCTAGAATTTTCAAAATTGGTGTAGGTGTTTATTAGGTCAATGCCTTGATGGAGTTCGAAGAAGAGCATTTTCTGCTTAGGGTAAGCAGAGATAAGCAATTTGATTGGTTGATGCTTTGGGACACGATAACTTTAGTTCTAATTAAGTGAGAGTGATGAAACTTGGTGTATAGTTTCATTACATCAATACCTTGACTAAGTTCGATAATTAGCATTTTCTGCTCAGGGTAAGCAGAGTGATAAACAATTTGATTGGCCGAGACTTTGGAACACAATAACTCTCCTTCTAATTGAGCTAGAATGTTCAAACTTGGTGTAGGTGTTTATGGGGTCAATGCCTTGATAGAGTGCGAAGATGAGCATTTTCTGCTTATGGTAAGTAGAGATAAGCAATTTGATTGGCTGATGCTTTGGGACACGATAACTTTAGTTCTAATTAAGTGAGAGTGATGAAACTTGGTGTATAGTTTCATTACATCAATACCTTGACTAAGTTCGATGATGAGAATTGTCTGCTTAGGCTAAGGGGCAATAAGCATTTTGATTGGTCAAGACTTTGGAACATAACAACTCTGCTTCTAATTGAGATAGAATTTTTAAACTTGATGTAGATGTTCGTCTTGACTGAGTTCAATGATTAACATATCGAGCTAAAGCTAAGCAGAGATAAGCAAGTTCCTTGGTCGATGCTTTGGGACAAGATAACTTTGATTCTAGCTGATAGAGAGTGATCAAACTTAATGTATAGTTGATAATCAGTTTGATTGCTCTATACTTTTGAAAAAAAATAAATGTGTGATTAATTAATATGTGCCATCTATTTATTTCGGGATTTTGGCGGGGGACATCAGCCTCACTGTTGGCTTGTTGTCTAGTAACTGCATTTTCTACGATTACAATGGCAATCACAATGGTTAACATCTTGTGATAATTATGTGTGGGCTTATGAGGCAATTTGATTCTATGACATAATTATTCCTGGTCATTATAGATATCATACTTCAGAAATATATATAGCATTACTCAAAATATAATATAGTATTTTATATATCACATTCCAGAAATCTATATCATTGGATATAATGACACATAAAAAAAAAAATAGATTACAACTTACAATAAATTTTTATTTTAATCCTGACTTGTTTCCAAACAAATTGCAGGAAAGGTAACATAAAAATATTCCTTTCAAATAATGAGTTCTGTTAGATTATACTTGTTCTTCATTATTGGTAAAATAGGATGATCGTTAAGCAATCCTGGAAATAGGCACTTGTCACAGGCAAAGGGATGGCACAAATTCAGAAGCCCATCGATTTATCAGGCACAGATATGTCTTTTTCTTTTTTGATATAAACTTTTAACATATCGCACAAGAGGAAAAATATCAGTTTATTATTGACTGTCTTTAAGTTTTACACAGAATAACATTTTAAAACTTGAGATGCGTGCTTTTATAGTACATGTTTTAAGTACATGACAGTTATCAAACATTTACCGTGTCGGAAAGTTTTAGTTCAAAATAATGAATAGTTCATAAATTAGTGAAAATTGCAATGACAGATCTTAATGACAGTGGGACAACATTTTCTGAATACATGCTTGTGTAAACAAGAACATATTTTTTTTTAACAACAATTAAATTAGAACAATTTGCCAAATTTGTAATTTTTGAATATTTGTTTTTATTTTTTAGTTGGGATGAAATGGGAGAATATGATTTTCCAGCTATGATTGATTTTGCTTTAAATGTATCGGGTAAAACAAGTTTATATTATGTTGGACACTCTCAGGGTACAACACAAGCATTTGTTCATCTCTCACAAAACCCAGAGTTCGGAGAAAAGGTAGGAATAATCATGAAAATACTGGTACATATGATTTGACATCGACATGTTTCTGAATTCTCTTGTCTATAAAAGGAAGGTGAATGATATACTGTTTACGACTTCCAATATCTTACTTTTTGATTTTTAGATTTCCAAACTTTCTGGAATTTCTCATAATTGTCTCATATGATTTGGTAATTTTTATACGCCCACATTTTCATGTAGACGTATATTGTCGTCGCCCCTGTCCGTTCGTCCGTCCGTCCACAGTCACAATTTTTATCCGATTTCAACGAAACGTGAAATATAGGTTTATTACCCTAAGATCTCGGTTCCTGTCGATATTGGCATGTATCAGGCTGTAACTTCATGGATTATGGCCCCTGATTGTACAAAAAATCACGTTTTTAGCTTGTGAACACTGTAGAGGTAACAATTTTTATCCGATTTGGTTTAAACTTAAACTTGAAATATATGCTTATAACCTAAAGATCTTGGTTCCTTTCGATATTCGCGCATATCGGAATGTAACTTCCTGAATTATGGCCCCTGATTGTACGAAAAATCATGTTTTTCACTTGTGGTCCCTCTAGCGGTCACAATTTTTATCCGATTTAAAAAACGTTTTAATATATCACCGTTACACCCTAATGAAGGCTGAGTTTGAATTTCGTGAAAATCGGATCAAAACTGCCGGACAAAATAACCGCCCCTTGTACGCAAATAGTGTAAAATATGGTATATCAAGGTTGTGGACCCTCTAGAGGTCACATTTTTGATCCGATTTTAATGAAACTTGAAATGCATGTTTATAACCCAAAGATCTTGGTTCCTTTTGATATTCTAGCAAATTGGATCTTAACTTTTTTAATTATGGCCCTTGATTGTACGAAAAATCGCGTTTTCAGCTTGTGGTCCCTATAGAGGTCACAATTTTTACCCGATTTAAAATAAAACAAAACGTAAACGTGTGAATATATCACAGTTATACACTAATGATAGTTGAGTTTGAATTTGTGTAAAAAATCGTGCAAATAGTGTAAAAATATGGTATATCAAGGTTGTGGACCCTCTAGAGGCCACAGTTTTTATCTGATTTGGATGAAACTTTAAGTATATGTTTTTATCATAAAGATCTTGGTTCCTTTTGATAATGACAAATACCCGAACATAACTTCCTGGATTATGGCCCCTGATTGGTCGAAAAATCGCATTTTTAGCTTGTGGATTCTCTATGGGTCACAATTTTTTTCCCGATTTTAAAAACTGTTTAGATATATCACAATTCCACCATAATGAAGATTGAATTGGAATTTTGGGAAAATCGAAATGAAACTGCCCGACAAAAGGGCCGCTCTTTGTACGCAAATTGTGTATAAGTATGTAATACAAAGGTTATGGAGCCTCTAGAGGTCACAATGTTTTAACCAATTTTGAAGAAACTTAAAACATATCTTTATATTCCAAAAATCTCAGTCCCTTTTGATATTTGCGCATTTCAGACCATAACTTTCTGGATTATGGCCCCTGATTGCACAAAAAATCCTTTTTGTTTTTAGCTTGTTCTCTATCCATCTCTTGCAAAATGTGGGAGTATACTGCCTCGCAGCCGCTGGTCAATAATATGAGTCTTGTGTTATTTTAAATACAATATTATCAAACTATAATAACCTTTATTTTCTTAGTGAAAGTAATAATAGATTATATTTTTATTTCAGATTAAATTGTTCTTTGCACTAGCACCAGTAGCAACTGTAGGTTCTATGGAAAGTCCAATAAGATATTTGTCTGCTTTAAAGGATGAGGTAGGCTATACTTTTTCGAAGGGATATGAAGTTTCATTTTTAATCAATAAAAAATAACATGTAGGATGCCGCAAGAAATTAAAAGTTTTATTATATTAAAGCTGTTGATCGTTTATTAGTTGAGGGATTTTGAATTCCTTGCAAACAATAATATTGTTAAATTTGAAGGAATAACTGTCTAAAAATGGTTCAATTCCATTCAGTATTTACAAAGACATGATCAATTGAAAATTTCACAACATATACCATGCTATGTGGATGCTATAAACATGCCAGTGTTGTGTAAAATCTTTTGATGGGTCTGTTTTTTAATCCGATTAAATCCAAGCCAGCACATTATCTACCATTGATACTTTGGTTATGTTTTTTATTAAATATATGTTAACAAAAAAATTTGAGTGCATTTTGGCATTGATTAAGTCATAAAAAAATGAGATATTGTCTAAAAAATGTAAATTATGATAAGCAGCATGCTTGTTATATGTCTATAACAATTTTATTAAAGTAATGATTTACCATTGTGATTTGTCACTAATATATACTCAGATTGATTATTTAACATTCAATTAAGAAAACAAAATCAAAATACCAACACTAGATAATGTCCCAGCTTGGATTTAATCGGATTTAAAACTGCCAATCATTAAATTTTCGTGGATAACAAAATGGTAGTGGGCTTATTGCATAGAGAGGAGCATAAAGATCATTCCACATATCTTTGTAAATACTGAATGGAATTGAACCATTTTTGGACTGATATTCCTTATTAGAGATCCATCTTTCACAATATTGTAGCTTGCAAGGGATTCTATAGCGCTAAAATGACGCATCAGGATTTGAAGAAAATGAAAGTAAAAGATGTTTTCTATTGTCATTTTTATTTTATTTCAGACAATTTATGAAATTTTAAAACGTAGAGATTTTCTACCAAGTAACAGAATACTAGATATTTTAGCAGATACTGTATGTAGAAGTCAAGAGTTACGATTTTTGTGTGCTAACGTGTTATTTTTAATAGCAGGCTATGACACCAGTAATTTGAATAATGTAAGTACATATTTTTTGTTTGATTACATTTATATTGAGGGTCTTCTCTTCCATCTAATTTTTATACGCACACATTGAAATGTGGTCATATATTGTCGTCGCCTCTGTCCATCCGTCAGTCCAGTGTCTGTCAACTAGTGGCAACCTATCTTTGTTAACTTGAATAGCTAAATCCATGATATTAAATGTTTTGTATACTAAGCGTTAGTATAGGGCAGAACTAAAATCAAAACAAATTCTAATGATTTTCTGATAATTACTTAGTGAGTTGTTACTCTTAATCAGATTTTAGTGTATTATAAATATTTCATTATCGACAAAAGAAAAAAAATATGAAATATTCGACAACTCTAGATTAAGCTGCTGTGGGCGTATGGCAACCTATCTTATTGATATATACTGACACACAGTAAATACAATTCAGTGACAGAATTCTGAAAATGACAACCTTGAAATATTTGAATTGTTATGATAGAGGATGTGGGTGGGGTGCCGAACTGTCAGTCCCTTGCTGAGATGCACGCCTTTGAATTTTCAATTTACCAGTTAAACAAATTAGACCAGCATCTGTCGTCCATCATTGCTTGTAGACATTCTAGTTAAGTTATTATCTGATTGACTTGACATTTATATAGTAGTGGTTTATTTCACGAGACGAATAATCCTATTGATTTTCAACAATTGCCGATAATTACTGTTGAGCATTGATCAATTTGAAAAATTGTGTCGAAGTTCTAGAGGCTAATAGCTCCCATAACCTATAAAAAATAATATGTGACAGCCTTTATAAACTATTCAAGCTCGTACAATTTGGTTGCTTTTGACATGTTACATTGCCTGGCAAACTATCTTTTTATCTTGTGAGAGTGATATTGCCTCTTAAAGAAGATGGTCTGCATATTTCTGTATTCTAACAATAGAATTTTAAAAAACCTTCTGACACATTTGTTCAAACACAACACCAAATCAAATAATATAGCTTTCAGGATGTCATTGCCAGAATCTGAAATAGGAATTGTCAGTTGCAATGAATAGAAACACAACTAATAAAGGTTAAATTTTACACACAAAATAAACAAAGTTAACCGATTTACTAAAAATGCATCTTCAATAGAAGGCTTGATCTTGCTTTAACTATGTACATCTTATCAAGGCCTTTATGTAATACCCTGCATATTTCGGCACTAATTTCGATTGGGTACAAGCCCAGCTTGAGAGCCTATCAGATTCCTCGATAGTCGCGAATACCAAGTCTCACGCTTTCAAGCTAAAATGTCTACCTGTGATAATCAAGTTGCAAAGTTCAAGGTTCATTCAATGTCAAGGTTTCCGTGGAGTTCACGATGTCACAACTTCTGATTGGACGCTACTGCTCACGTGTCTGCAGATAACATAGCTATAATTGTGAAGTAAACAAGCAACGTCCAGATGTTGTAAAACTCGCAGTCGTTGCTTCAGGAACATGCTAAAAATGTTGCTTTCTTAAGCTTGGGGATGCCATGTTGGATGCTGTCACTAATGCATTTCTTAAGCTTAGTGCTTCGACAGAGATACCTAGAAATTTTCTGAAAATAATCCAAATACCTGTCATCATTATCTATCTTGTGTTAGAATACAGACACAGATGAACAACCAAAACATGTGCAGAGATGATGTGCCAAACTTTTTTCATTTTAAAGTAATTTCAATATAAATTGAAATTATTAAAATAGAAATGTTTTGTGATTTATAAATGTTATTGTGTATTTTTTTTTTATATTAGTCACGTTTACCAGTATATATAAATCATACTCCAGCTGGTTGTTCTGTTCAAGATTTAATACATTATTTACAAGTAAGTGGCTTATTATCATACAATAATATACTCTAGGGCTAGTTGGGAGTCTTTTGCATTTACTGTAAATTAGTTAATTGTACTAGCACAAATATAAGGAAATTTTTTCTACAGTGTTATTGTGAGACCCTTATTATACTATAGTGCTCTCTTGGGAGCTATGATATTTCTGAGCTCATAGACCTCAATCTTCATTCTCTAGGGAATATTCAAGAATGGAATGGGATTAAGTTTTGTTAACACAACACCTTGGTCATTTTGAGACTGATAGTTTTCATTTCTATGAACAATTACCTTTTCGTCTACAGGTATTCTTGGAATTCCAGGTGCTACCCCTCAGTACCAGGTTTGAGAAAATCCTGAAACGTCTTAGTCCATGCTTGGAAATGCGAATGGAGCTTGTAATAAAACATTTGTATGGGAGGTGCCAGTAAGAAGTTATTGCTTGCATTTGATTAATTCTGAACAATGTACCAAGATTGTGTCATGAAATGTAATATACGTATCGGTTCAATTTGTATTCACAGAACTCTTGTATTTTTCTAGGGTTATAGAAGTGGTATCTTCCGTAAATATGATTATGGTTCAGCTGATCAGAATGAGAAACATTATGGACAGGTAATTAAAAGAAGTGAAACACAAAAATATAATCACCTCGTCTCGTCTGTTTGTCCATCCATCTGTGCACAATTGCTTTGCTCATTGAATCTTATTGATGTTCAAGAATTACTCTCCTTGATTTTGAAAACTCACAGCACTTCTAGGGTTAGAAATTTTATTGAATCTTTTTGAAATTATAATAATTATGTTGTTTAGTTCAAACGAAAAGATGATCATAATAGATTTCCAATACTTTTTGGTGCTGTTCTTCCCCTTGATTTACATACTAGTGTTAGGTCATTTTTTCCAATAACTCAGTGGACTATGCTGCAGGGGCTAAAATTATCATGGGATCTTTAATTATTTACAGCCAGGTAATGGAAAGACCCATATTGCTTTGCAACAATATCTAGTAATAATTTGGTTAACACTCTTGTTTGGATCTTAATATAAAGATTTGAACTATTGATGTTGAACATTATTAGAGAATATAATTGATATTATTGGGCAAAAATGGTACAAATAAAACATTTTTAGCTCCAGGCAAGCATAATAACCTTACCTGGCAACCTATGTTTATAAAAGATCATTACCATTTATTTCTTGAATATGGTCTTTCTAGAAAAACTTTTTTGTCAGTAGATTGCAGAGCCAGTATGATGATTACTTTAATATATAACTCCAGCTATTCTTCATTTTTTTTTATATCATACATCAAATATATGTGTGTGTTACTGACATTAACATGAAAAACGTTCCTTTAATTCCCCATGCCTTTATAGACTTAATCTCTCATGAGCTCATTAAGTTAAAATAAGGTGTTGGATTGTATAGTCTTAAATATCAAAGTTCGTTTCACTGTCAATTCTAATTACATCGCTTTTAATATTTGATCAATATTGCAGCCGACACCTCCACAGTATAATGTAAGTAGGATAACAGCTCCAGTAGCGTTATTTTATGGTGATAATGATTGGTTGGCTGATCTTAAGGTAAGCATTATGGGATATCAATAGCAATTAATCAATACAACTTATCAATATTGCAAAGATTTGAAGAAAGTCTTGGTTTTGTGCATTAGAAATCAAATAATCAATCTATTGATCCAGTTTCACCACAGACTGAATTACTGAGCATTAAATTGATTGTGCATTTACTGGTGTGAATACTTGGAATAAATTATTAATAATAATTAATGCATGGTGAATTCTATACTCATATATCATATTTTTACAGCTATTAATATTGTATAACTATTAATTCCTCATAGATGAAATTAATTGTTCAGTCTGAAATTCAAGAAAGTATTGTTTGATATTATTTGTTTGAAAATTTAAACCTGTGTTTAGTTATGACTGTTCAGGATTAACTGTCAAGTTGATTAAATTCTAAATAAGTGAGCTGAAAGTAGATTGATTTATGACACCTTAATGGCCCGTTCATTGTTCTATCAATTGGCTTATTCAAACTCAGAGAATATGCAAGAATTTTTAAGCAGCATTTAATAACTACAATGTATATGAGAATAACACATGAATTATATGGAATACAAGTGACTGAGAAGTTTATTTCTAGGGACGTTTCTGAACTTTGTATTCCATATTATTTTGTCATGAGAGAACACAGTTTATGCATGTTATTTATCCATTTAAAATTTATGAATATATTCTGTATGTTTATTTCTACTTTTGTCCCAAAACTTACTTTTGTCAACCAAATCCCTTTATAATATTCTATCTTTTCAGGATGTGGCTTTACTTATACCAAAGATTCAAAATTTGAAAGCAAAAATAGAAGTTCCTCAATGGAATCATCTGGATTTTATTTGGGGTGAAAATGCTGCTACCAAAGTTTATAATACTGTTATACAAATGATAAAAGATAATCCTTAGACACAACACGCTCCACTTTTAAAATATGTTAATATAATTGTATATATAAATATTAAACTGACGATCAAAAGAAGGTATAAGCAACTTATATTCGGATAGAGTAAAATACAAAATCTGTTCAGACATTGCAAACAACTTGTTCACAAAACTGTACTTTCCAAGAGATTTATGTTCCCTGATATGCCATGAAGAGTTGGCAATTGCTTAGTAAGAAACTGCACCAGTTAACAATGATAGTATCATAATCACCCTCGGTATCCCCAGAGATATCGTTCAGTTCTATTCCACCATACCCTGGGTTTTTACAAATTCAAATTATCTGCCCTTGATCGTAGGTCGATTCTACAAACCAATCAAAAAATAGTTTACATACCAGTCTTAGCATTATTGTTTACATTCACCACAATAATGTTAGTTACAATAAGATGCGAGTTACTTCTCTTTGTCAACTCAATTGGTCAATAAAAATAGCACCAGTATCAAAGGGTTTCTCCCTTTGTGAAGGGACCCAAGATACAGTGGAGTAGAACAGAACAATACCCCGGGGATAACTAGGATGTGTCATTATATGCCCAATCTCTTCCCTAAATTTTGTTTGATCAAATTCATTACCAGATAGATTGGTCCTAATATCACTTTGTCAGGCAACCAATAGGATTTCAAAGCAATCTTATGCAGTGACAGGGGGGTGGGGTTGGGGTGGATGGGCGATTGGTTAGCGCGTTGTATCATAAGGTCTGTCATTGAGTCAACTGGCATGGTTTTGATTGGAAGTGACCAGGAGTAGGGTTTTCTCCGTGTCCTTTGATTTCCTCTCACTGCTAAAGACCCATAGGCGCAAGTGAATTATTGAAATAAAATTGAACCATATGTTAGTTCCGAAATGACATAGTTTGTGTCAGTGGACTCTCTTTCTCATAGAGAGACAGAAAATGTTGCTAAATTCTTCTTGGGTGTGTAAACACAGGTCATCGTCCCAAAGACTTAATGTACAATCTTTGTGTCTAAATTCTTTTGATTGATTGGTTTTTTGTTAGCTTTAAAATATAAATTTTGTTTTTTTGTTAGCTTTAAAATATAAATTTAGAAACTCAGGATGGATACAAATTATAATATCGGTATTAGTAATCCTAATATAATGTCTAATTTGTCCATTTTTATGATTGTTTTCAATGTTTTAAAATATTGTTACATTATTTTTTTAATTGTTATAATAATAATTGTTTATAGATTTCAGATGTTTAATTGTTCACAATATGTACCAGTAGTAATCCAAATAAATAAAAACCTCAGTAAATTTACAAATGTTAGTAATAATCAAAATAGATTGATTTATAGATTCTGATTATTTTGTTCAACTGTAGTCATTATGTATATATTGTTTAACCTCTTGAAAGGGGAAGCAACTGTATCAATATATTATCAGAATACCCACATCTACATCCCGTGTAAGACAGTTTGGAAGGGTTAAAGATTCTGAAGCTTTTGAATGTGACTAAAGATTCTAATGCTGTTGAATAATAGTATGTGACTACATGTTAATAAAATATAGTCCTAGGTATATTGGTTACAAGGTTATTGTTAATATTGATAAATTTCCATAGACTATTGTTATCTGTGACATTCCATAGACATATAAAATCATTATTCATCAATCAAGCAGCATTGTGTTAGTTCAATGGTATCGATAATAAATTGATCACTCACATGATGGCTTCCTACAGAATGAAAAACAACAATGTTTATATTAGATTTATATTTGATAACTATTTATTACATATCTGTAAAATTTGATATATGTGTAAATACAGTATTATTATTGCAAATTGTATACATAAAAGAATAAATAATTTTTATCACAGAAAACAAAGATTAAATTGTGGACATTAGTTTATATATACAATGGATTAAAGATTCTTGCTACATAACAAAAGTTTATATCATAGTTCAATAAAACAAGAATACAATGTATGTGGGACAGGCAATTCTTTGGAAAAAAAAACAACCTACATCTACAGACAGGGATCAAGGTTTTTATTTAGCATTGGTTCATTACAGCTGTTGATTGTCATTTGCATTTTTGGGGGACAATATCTGAATCAATGCTTCAATTTAATTAAGAAAGCAAAACCCAATATCAATGGTAGTTAATCTGCAGGATTAGATTAAAAAAGGCCCATCAAAAGATTTTGCCTAACATGTTGCGCTGGTTTTTTATATCATCTGCAGAGGAGGCTGAAACTTGAGAGACTCTCAATTCATCATATCTTTGTAAATAAGGAAAGGAATTGATATTAGACATTCCACTTTCACACTATTGTAGTTTAGAAAAGATTCAAAATCAACCAAATGACGATCAGTGACTTTAATTTACTGACGGACCAAGGGTTTTATTAAGCACTGGTTTCATTAAATGCTGGCAGTTATTCAACAAAATGGGGGGCATTTAGCATATACACTGTTTTGTAAATGAAAGCATTATATTTTAGAAGAAGAAATTGCTGTAGCAGATTTTGGACGAGGCGAATTTTGATCGTATGTTGGTAAGCGTCGTTTAGCTGGACCTCTTTGAACTTGTCTTGCCCTTTGACCAAAGCCAAGACATTGTAAAGATTCTGATGTATATCTAGCTGCCGGAGACACACATAATAATACTAATAACTTGGAATCACCACCTGAAGTAAAATAATATTGGTGAAAATCACAGAATTTACATTAAAGATTTCTTGTTAGTAGTTTAAGCAGACTTTAAAATCTTTGCATTATTTGCAATATTGAGGAATATGATGATACATTTAACCAGGAAGAAATCCTTATATCATGTAATTAGATTTCTATGTCTGCAAACCATTTCTTTATGGTTTATGTCTGACTTTCTTTTCTTGCATATATCTATGAACAATCAGGTTTTATTTAGTGTGTTTAAATTTTGACAAATCTTACCTATAGAATCTTGTAAGAAGTGTGTTAATCTACTGTTTCTGTAAGGTATATGTGTTCTGTGTTCAGCCAAAGCTCCTAATACATCAGCTAAAGCTGACAAACTTTTATTGATATGTGAAGCTTCTCTTAATGCAGCTCCTTTAACACCAGACATACCTGAAACAAACATATTCATAAATATAACAAAACCAACACAACTTTGATCCTATCTGCAAGCTATATCTTGGAGTAAGACACCCTATCCTTGTATCTGGATCTAGCCAGATGTAATAGTTAATAAGGAGTTATGAACCACCTTATGATGTCATTAGTAAATTAATAGAATATTCATATATATTGCAAAAAATATACACTTCTATCCAACATTAATGTGTACAAACATAAACAGAATAAAGTATATGATGGGAAGCTTTCTTCACAACGCATACAAAGGATATGCTTTAGAAATTGTGTTTCCCTCATAATGAGAAAGTAAGAATCAACAGTAATTTGACCCTACTGAATGCCCTTATGTGTAAAATCATGACCTTGGTACATGATGTAGTTGATTTTTTCCGACAACTGATCTATTTATCATTACTCCCTTATTTAGTCTGTGTAACATAGTGCATGGTAAAATTAATATAGCACAAAAATTATGTAGTAGATTTATGAATGTTACAAACAAGAGATCTCACAGCAAGGGAGATAATTAAGAACCCTGGATGTTCTATGGCCTGGTGTTATCTAAACAAGCAACTTGAAAGTTGGATAAAAATTAATGTATAGTAAATATTCCTAATTAGCACATTATAATGTTGAATCAATGTGTCTTATTATGCTACTCTCTACATATGTTCTTCATAAGTTCTTACCAACACATTCACTACCAGCTAAATCTACAAGCTGTAATTTAGTTTTTATAACAGCTGTCTGATTGGTTGACTGATCACCTGACCATAGATTGGGTTGAGATTGAGGTCTACCACCTGTCTTTTTCACTGATTGCAAATCTGTTTTAAAAAAAAACTTGTATTAAATTGAGGTTTAAATTTATTATCTTCTAATACAAAAATTAAGATATGTCTCTCTAAAAGGGTTCACTTCCAGATTTGGTACTGAAATCGATCACTAAACAAGAAAGTGAAAGTTACCCAGGATATATATAAAATTGAACGCTAAATCTACTTTGAGGGGCGGGACATAAATAGTCAATTGAAATCCACTGCGGAGGCAAGCTTAAATTACTTGGCATATAATATATATAAAATCTAATGCCGACACCCTTCTGAGGAGCAGGGTATAACAGTTAAATTGTCCAAATAACAATAATGTCATACACATAAAAAGAGTTTATACCTAATTAGATTCATATACATGTGACTTACTATCATTGTCTGTTTTTGAAACAGTGAAGAATGAAGGTGCAACAGAGGTAACTGTTAACGTAACAATAAGATGTGAACGACTGGAATGATCATGAACAAGTGTAGCTGATTCACTTCTTGTTCTTAGTCCACGTTGTACCAGGCTCATAACATCATATACTGTAGATACTGGTCTGTAATATCAAAACATTCACATATGTGAGAAATTTAAAAATTAAACATACATTATGCAAGAGCTAAATCTGCCTATTGCAGGTCTTTTTTTAGGCCTGAAATGTTATATAAACTGTTAATTAAAATTAACTTATCCAAACCATAATCAATGTCATCTTATGTGTTGGATTTTCACTGGATTTGAATCCGATCTGCTGCTCAACGCTCATTTTTACGTAACAACATTATCTAATTTTTAACTTTTATAGCGTGAACAGTCAACTCTTTATCTAATCTACCATAATGCCTTCTTTAATACAGTCACAAACTGGTTATGCTTGTGTTACAATTTTACAAATTACACAATTTTACATTCACGCTATATAATATAGCCCATATTTACTGTACACTTTAGATATCAACACTGACAGTTATATCTGGTAATATACATATGGAAGGGGTAATAAATCTCATAAAACTACCATTGAAGCAGAGATTGTTGAAGAATTTGGGATCAATTAGGCTAATCAATTTCATCATATCTTATATTAAACTTGAAAGCCAAGGACAAGAATTATTAATCTGTATATTAAAGAATTTAACTTACTTTGATGTAATAGTAGGTAAATTAAGTAAACCATCTGAACCAGTAACTAACTCGTGTTTAGTAGTAGATGATTTACTTAATAAATCTTTAATATCATTATTATATATCTCTACAACTGATACTTCTATAGTATGACTACCAACTGGTTTCTCTTCTATTAATCTGTCAAATTCAATTTTGAAATTGACAAGATCATCATATCTATCATATAATATCCAACCCTACTTATTTGTAATATTTATGCATGAATGAAATTCGACAATGGTTATAACAATATTAACCACCTGAATGTTTTGCAGTCTATACACTGGATTCTTGTGACAGCTCTTGCCAGTTAGATGCCTGGATGGGAATAAGTGAAGATAACTGGCCACTTGTATTGTGAGCTCTACTTTATTAAACTTGTGAATTTCTGATAAATTAATTTAAAATTTCATTCATTGATTTTAAAACTCATTTTGATTTCATAAGTTATCACCATTCAGGACAAATCCTACAATGTACTAGTGCTAATAAAATTGCTTTCTTGGTTTATGTCCAATATTCCACGATGTGAGACCACTCCTACCAACACTTGTTGTCTGAATGTGACACATGGAAATGTATAGATAATGCAGTGGCAATAAAATCAGATGTTCAAATGGTGGGCACTGGGTACTTTAAAGCTACATATGATAAAATTAAAAATTATGTTTTCCAGTAAGGTGTTATCACACATTAAAAGATGTAGAATATAATAATAACATAGTACAATCACATTTTATGTACCTCATGCTTTACTTATGATTGGCATATCATCTCCATTGGATATAAGGTTTGTAAATGCTGTTCCTCCTTTATGACTTTGTTCATGCATAATGTGCACATTGCAGCTGAACGTACCTGAATAGTTCGCGTGTAGCTCTAGGTATTACACCTTCATCTGGATGCATTGTTTCACATGGATTATAATCATCATTGTTATGACTACCTAACATAGTATGTGTTTTACCACTACCTGTTTGACCATATGCCATTATACATACATTATACCTGAAAATATAATAATACATACAAATACCTGTAAAAACAATAATACATACAAATGCCTGTAAAAACAATAATACATACACTTTACCTGTAAATATAATAATACATACACTTTACCTGTAAATATAATAATACATATATGTTATACCTGTAAATACAATAATACATACATTATATCTGTATACAATAATACATACATTATACCTGTAAATATAATAATACATACATTATATCTGTAAATATTTAAATACACATTATACCTGTAAATACAATAATACATACATTATACATGTAAATACAATATATGTTATACCTGTAAATACAATAATACATACATTATACCTGTTATATACCAGTAAATAAAAGATATGATCACTGCTTTAAACCCTATATTTAAACCCAAAACAGCTTTCTTTTGGCTGTGGAAATGACAAAGATATGATCACTGCTTGGTCCTATATTTAAACCCAAAACAGCTTTCTTTTGACTGTGGAAATGACAAAGTGGATAAGAGCAAATTCTATATTAAATCCTACAAATATTAAATTACACACAAAACATTTTCTTCGAAAGCAGGTGATTTCCAAATTGTCTAGATTCTTTTCAATTGCTATGTTGAGGGATTTTGAAATTAGCCAAAACAGAAATTAGTTTCTTAATATTAAATTATAACACAAAGGTAGGAATATTGTATTCTTTCTATTATCTATGCATTTAAGTTCAAACCTTGAGAGAAGAATATCCTATCGCCACCACAATGTCCTGTAGTCTAAATTTTTTGACTAGATATGACAACTTTACTCATAACTAATTAATTAGGTTTTATTAGAAATTAAAACTGTTCGAACTTACCCATCTAATAAAGATGTTAACATAGGTTGAACTTCATCAAATACCACTGGTTGATCTTCTGTAGGGTTAAATACTCTGTTTAAATTAAACACAGCAAATAAATGTTATATAACATCGATCATGGCAATATGTTTGTGGAGATTAAAGATGGGAGGCTACTCTAAGTTATTCCTGTACTGATATTTCTTTATTTCATTGGATCATATGGATTTTAAGCAGTGGGAGGCAACCAGAGAAAACAAATGAGGATTATATTATAATCATTGCTAGGACTACCTAACATTATCTTACATCCTTTATGATTGTCAATTGCAAGCACACAACCATTGTAGTATTTGTAGGGTGACCCATGCATTGAATGTTTTCTCTACAGAAAGTTGAAACCGGCACGGCAAATGTGAACGCTTCAGTGGCTTGTCTCAAAGTGATTTCTGGCTAACCACGCAGTATGATAATACTCAGCACTAGAGTCTATGAGACTATAAATAGCCATCGCACGTGCAATTCTCTACACATCTATCAACTATTACAGCTGTAAAATATCTATTGTTGACGATTGTGAATAGCAGTAAAATTTAGCTTTTTGGTTATTACAGCACCTTTAGAAATTACGTTAGTTTTATTTTTTAAATTCCTTCATCATTAACTGTACCGTTAGGAGTGGCATCTTTTGGTTTACTACAAATAATATCTCTGAAACACTTTCGTTAGGCAAGAACATGATACTAGCAGTAGTTTCATTTTACTTTTAAAAGGTTCTTAAAACAATTGTTGAGTTGCCTAACGTGCGTGTTTCTAAATTCAATTTCTTGTTCCAGCTTTCTGTTATGTTTCGTAAAAAAGTAGTCTTGATTATCTCGGCCTGTCAATCAGACGTAGAATGGTCGGTAGACTGGTTAAGCGAGACTAATTTCAAAACAAGGGAACGTAACCTATTTTTTACTAACAAGTTCCCGTATGTTATGACCGACACACGTAACCATTTTCAGTGTATTATTTATAGATGGTTAAATGATCATAGCTTATTAAAGGGGCAATGCCGATAATATTTTGGAGAATAAAACTGCTTAATTTTGTGTTAAAATCCCTTAAAATCCTCTACCTTTGCTTAGCAACTAACTTAATATTTGTCATCCGTTTTCAAACAACTTAAACCCGCCAGTCTTCATCTGGAAATGGAGACCGGTGTCCAAACTGTATTATACGGTGTCTGGATAAAACCAGACTTTTATTTTATAAAAATAATGTGTAGGTGAAATTTACACTTCGTCATGAAGTACAGCATACGGGTCATTCACTGTATAGACCGCTAAAGAAACGGGAATTGATTAACAGGTCGCCCAACAAAAAAATTGACCGGAAATCTTAAAAGGGTTACGTGTCCGGATAAGCATTCTTAACTTTCATGTCCGACTCAATATTCTGAGCTAAAATTTTGAGACAAGGTAAATTTACCATTTCTCTATATTTGGGCGTTTAAATTTCATACGTACTCGGACTTTTATTTTTGAGACTCTGTTCCAATCGGGATAGTCCCTTTAAGTACAACATGACCGTTTATTGAGTGACTATAAATGTGCGAAACTGATTTAAGGCTTGGTATATATATAAATATTGTGGTGTAATTGTCGAGATATTTGGAGATATTTAATTATGATGGGGTACCCTAACCATTGTCATGTACTTCAATGGTTTAGATCACTTAGCAAGCAAAACCTCTGTAAGGATAAGCTTTCAATGGCCCTATGAATATTACAGCTAAAATCATATACAACCCAGTACCACTGCTCTTTCAATGGTGAATGACTGGTGCATTGTGGCATTTTTACATCACCTGCGCTACTTATTATATATAAATACTAACTTATTGTTCCCATGTAGGCTAAGTATTATAATTAATATGTCCTCAAATTCAGTGCCTGGATAACTATGTATACAAAACTATATCTGTATTGTTTAATGGTAAGTGATCATTGCGATTATAGGATCATTTATTGAATTGAATAGTGTACGTCCAATAAAAAATATACTATAATTTACCTTTCATACTCAAAAACTTTGTTATGTTTACTTGTTTTAACACAAATATTCTCCTGAAGATAAAAATAACAAAAATCTAGCATTAGTTTTACCTCAAAAAATATGATCACCATAATGAAACACAAAATGTTTACTGATTCTTCCATGTAGAAATACAAAACGATACATATCTCATTCAAATTTTATGATGTGGTAAATATTTACTTACATCATCGTAACAATGGGCTACAACTTCTGATTTAGATCCAGGTCTGAAAATAGTAAAGAATTATAATACATATTTTATTCTATCATCAACATTTTCTAATTAAACACTGTGACACTTCTAAATAACCAAATTGATCTAATACAAATTGATTAAAATAAATTTTCAAGTAAGAGCAAGAATACATTTCGTTTGTCATAAAGCCAATATGTTAGAAGCAGACTACAGTACTATATCAACTTACTTTCCAAGAGTAGCCAGGTCTTCAGTGCCACAATCAAATTCCATCAATGGTCGTAATCTACAGTGAACTCTTATATTACCTCTTAATTCCTGTAATATATAAAATTATAGGTATCATATAAAACCTAAGGATTGAATGATTAATCCAATCATTAATGTAGTGAACAAAGGTTACAAGGCAACCAAACCACACCCTCATCTGCAAATTTTGCAACAATGGCGAATAACTCTTGAAGTTATAATCAAAAATCATTTAAAATAAATACGACCCTTCCTTTCAGTAGATTATATAGACAACCAACCAGGAGTTGCCAGGCAAGATACGCCAACATTTTGAAAGAGATGGACAGAGAACATTTAAAAAAAAGCGATTTAGTGTACAATCAGGGGCCATAATTCAGGAAGTTATCGTCTGAAATTCGCGAATATCAAAATGGACTGAGATATTTGGGATATAAAGTTTCATCAAAATCGGATAAAAATTGTGACTCCTAGAGAGTCCACAACCTTGGTATTACATACTTTTACACTATTTGCGTACGAGGGGGGTGGGGGTGGGCCATTTTGTCTGGCAGTTTTGGTCCGATTTTCACGAAATTCGAACTCTACCATCATTAGGGTGTAACAGTGATATATTCAAAAATTGTTTTTAAATGAGATAAAAATTGTGACCTCAAGAGTATCAACAAGCTAAAAACATGAATTTTCGTACAATCAAGGGCCGTAATTCAGGAAGATACAATCCGATATGAGCGAATATCGAAATCGGGTGAAAATTGTGACCTCTAGAGAGTCCACAACTTTGATATACCATATTTTTACACTATTAGCGTACGAGGGGCGGCCATTTTGGCCGACAGTTTTGGTCCAAGATTTGACGAAATTCGAACTCGACCATCATTAGGGTGTAATGGTGATATATTCAAACGTTTTTTTTAAATCGAATAATAATTGTGACTTTCGACGTACCAGACTTAAAACGCGATTTTTCATACAACCAGGGGCCATAATTCAGGAAGTTACAATCCGATATGAGTGAATATCGAAAGGAACCAAGATCTTTGGGTTATAAACATGTATTTCAAGTCTCTTCAAAATCGGGTGAAAATTGTGACCTCTAGAGAGTCCACAACCTTGATATACCATATTTTTACATTATTAGCGTACGAGGGACGGCCATTTTGTCGGGCAGTTTTGGTCCGAGTTTTGATGAAATTCAAACTCAACCATCAATAGGGTGTAACGGTGATATATTCAAACGTTTTTTTAAATCCAATAATAATCGTGACCTCTAGAGGGACCACAAGCTTAAAATGCAATTTATCATACAATCAAGGGCCATAATTCAGGAAGTTACGATCTAATATGCGGAATATCGAAAGGAACCAAGATCTTTGAGTTATAACCATGTATTTTAAGTTTCATCAAAATCGTATGAAAATTTTGACCCCTAGACTGCCCACAATACCATATTTTTGCACTATTAGCAAACAAGGGACGACCGTTTTGTCCGGCAGTTATGGTCCGATTTTCATGAATTTCGAACTAAACCATCATTGTGGTGTAACGGTGATATATTCAAATTGTTTTTTTAAATTGGATAATAATTGTGACCTCTAGAGGGACCACAAGCTAAAAAATGCGATTTTTCGTACAATCAGGGGTCATAATTCAGGAAGTTACGATCTGATATGTGCAAATATCGAAAGGAACCAAGATCTTTTGGTTATAAACATGCATTTCAAGTTTCATCATAATCAGATGAAAATTGTGACCTCTAGACTGTCCACAAGCTAAAAGCGTGATTTATCGTACAATCAGGGGCCATAATCCATGAAGTTTCGATCCGATACATGCCAATATCGAAAGGAACCAAGATCTTTTGGAGATAAATCTATATTTCAAGTTTGGTCAAATTCAAATAAGAATTGTGACCTGTAAAGTGTCCACATACAAATTGTGGACGGACGTACGTCCGGACGGACAGGGGCGACGACAATATACATCCACATGAAAAATGATTTTGTTTGTTTATTACCATTAACAGATTATGAAGACCTTGTCTTCTCTTCTTTTCTTTATTATGTCGATCTGTGATATCTTTTAGTGCTGTTTGTAACTGTGACATTTCATTTTGTAATACTGAAATAATACGATAGGAATTATATATCAGTACATACAGCTATATAAAATTATATAAAATTAAAATTGTGGAGAAAACTGATCAGCAAACTTAACCAATAATATTTGCACCTATTCAATTCAGTATACAAATCATCTAATCTAATTGAAATATGGTCTAAATTTCTTTTTAATACTTTTATTATAGTTTTGATGGCCCCAACTCCATATACCCAGTACTTATGTTGATAACATTACAACTCAGAAAAGGTAATGTGTAATCATCCTTCTAGTTGTTAAAATAAGTATGAGATGTCTAGGAAGTTATTAGGAAGATGATGTAACATACACAGTTTAATGATCAATTGCTACTCGTAACAATTTGCTTAACTCTCTATAACATGTAACAGCTAAATCAAAGGAATGATTCTAATTAGACTTACTCCTCACTGGACAGAAATCAATAGCATGATTTCTAAAACTGTCGTCAGTAAAAATGATTGTGTTCTCAATATAATTATGTATTCAGATGATGTTAGCCCCCATCAACTCAGAAGACACGAACATCTGTTATCAGGTACATTACCTTAATTTTATGACAGAATATAAAACATAACTATGCTAGGGTACCTGTTAGACTAGATGATTGTGACTGATGTAATGTTTTATGATGTTGAACTAGGGAACTAGCTTGAAGTAAATGATGTTCAAATTGTTGTGGTAGTTCAGCTGCAACTGATTGGACAGTTGATAAATCTTTTCGTAAATGCTGCAAATATATCATGTCATAAAATGGCGATTTCAAAAGTTAAAGACAAACTAAATGGTATCACAAATTATGACATTCTCACACAATAATAGAAGTGATGCAGTCCAGGTATGAGGACCTGAATAAAATAAGCCAGTGATAATCTACATGTATAACATTCGATATATCATTCATTTTGATCTAAACAACTTTGATTTTCTTTTTAACTTATTTCAGTATTCCAATCAGTCTGAAGAGTTCAATACGAACGAAACTAGTCACTGATCAGTGATACACGGGATAACCAGGTCTTCAAGCCATTCTTTATCTCCTATATTATCTCATTCTCTGCTTACGATCTAATTATGGCTAATTTTGTTGATCAAATCGGTCGGTCGTGATGCCCCTTTTTGCCTCGAAAACAACCATGTGCTTTGAAATAGTTAACCCAATGTAACTATCTCACATATGCGTGAATTTTGTTGGGTACTGCCTATTAACTGGATTACCAAAGATATGTGCATAAGTCAAACATTTAGGCCCTTGAATTACAAACATGTGCAGGTATGTTCAAATATAAATTGTACATACATCAATTTCATGTTTGAATTTCTGAGCTTTCGATGACACCTGACTCCTAAACATCTTTTCTTCACTGTATTTATGTTTGACTGTTGACAATTCTTCTCTGGAACTCTGTAATTCACTCCTTAACTGTGCTAATTTCAAGTATAACATTCCATTCTCTGTCTCTAAGCCAGCTATTCTCTCATCCTTATTCTGAAATAGAATTAAGAAATTATAAATGTGAATGATTTTGAAAGCAAACCAATAAAAAGCTTAAAACTAAGGGTCCTGATGAAGTGAGCTTTAATGAACATCTACATTGAAATTCAAAACAATCTTGGGTTGTCTTATGCCTCATTAAAGAAGCATTGTTTCTCTCAATAAGGACACATTATCTTATAAAATCAAGTTTAAAATAATTCTAGACACACTCAATTATCGAAAATTCAAACATGTTAAACGTCAAGAAAACAGAAAGAACAGGGTTGAACGTCCTACTTGTCTGCATCTACTGGGCCAGTGATTCTCAACCAGTGTGCCGCAAATTCTTCCTAAGTGTGCCACGAAATTTTGGACGGCACACTAAGAAAATGCGAAAAACCATGTGATCCCAATTGAATATTCACTGGTGTCTGTCTACTGATAAGTTCATAGCTGTGTTTTTCTTTATTTAGTATGAGTCATTCTGTGTCTATACTAGTCTGTGTCTACGGATGTATGTTGTCTATGACTTGCCATGATTTTATTTTGCAAAATTTAAATATTTTTCATATATATTTAGCCAGGTGTGCCGCTATTTTTTCATGTGTTGCACGGTGTGCCGTTGGCAAAAAAAGGTTGAGAACCACTGAATTGGCTATACTATAAAATTATTTTCGAATTCCTTTATTAAAAACACACCGTGTTTATGTTCATGAAATGAAGAAACCTAGAATTACATTCAGAGTTATTATCCTTGATCACTTTTTAAAATCAGGTGGATTTGAAATTAACACATGTTTATCATTGTATTACCGGTATATGTTTTGTATAATAAATGTTAGCATCTTGAAAAATTAGTAGCCAATCAAATGTTTAATCGCTAGATTCTTGGTTCAGAGTGGATCAAAATGACTGAAACTGTCAGCAAATTCCCTTTACATTATCTAGTTTTTAACTATTATAGTGAGAACTGCCGGCTCTTTATCTAATGTCCAATAATGTATCCTTAAACTAGCACTTTGGAATGCAAGATCTGCTAGAAATAAAACCATAGCAATATTAGATGAAATTGTTGAAAATGAACTTGACATCGACGTCATTGTGTTGATCACTGAATCATGGTTAAAGAAGACTGGGGATGACTCAAAACTGATTGAATTAACCCCAAATGGTTACACCTCAAAAAGCTTTCCTAGATTACATGGTACTGGTGGTGGCATTGTCATCATTTACAGAAGCTATATTAAACCTGTAGTGGTTGCATCACAACTTGAGGTGTTCACATCTTTTGAATCTGTAGAATTTCTAGTAACCCATGTCTCAGACTCTAAGATTTGTTGGTGTTTATAGATCTCCATCATGTTCCATGTCTGACTTTTATCAAGAATTTTCCCAGTTATTAGGAATTGTTTGTGTTAAACGTGGTCAGCTCATTCTCCTTGGAGACTTTAATGTTCATTTTGATTACCAGGACAAACCTTAAGTGAAAAAGATAGTGAATTTATTATCTATTCATAATCTCACTCAACTTGTTGAAAGTTGTACACATAAAAGTGGACATATTCTTGATTGGATTGTAACTCGTTCTTTTGAGAAAACAGTAAAATCTTGTGATGTAGTAGACAATCAGATGTCCGGTCATTTCTAGATATTTTCATCTCTTGATTTTGAAAGACCTATAGAAGCACCCCAACTTGTCACCTGTAGGAATATCAAAGGAATATCTGTCTTAGATTTTAATAAAGATCTGACAGAATCCGAACTGCTGAAAAATCCTCCTGAAGACTTGGATCAACTTACAGATCCATTCTTTACAATGCTGACCAAACTGATGGATATAATACATGCCCCAAAGGTCTCGAAGTGTGTCAGAATTAAGCCTAGATCGCCAAGGTATTCTGAGGCCATCTCCCTAGCAAAAAATGTGCGAAGGAAAGCACAGAGACATTGGTGAAAATCTCATTTAGAGATCCTTCGACAAATCGTAAACGACCTTAAGATGTGTGTCGATAAGGGACATGTTTCACTGCTGATATTGTCAGATCTTTCTGCAGCTTTCGACACAATAGACCACCAAATACTGTTTTCCATCTTCTGAAAGACTTTGGTATTAATGACGCTGTTTTGGAATGGTTTATATCTTATCTGTCATCCCGCAATCAATCTGTGATTGTCAACTCGGACAAATCAGAATGTGTTCCCCTAGTGTGCGGTGTTCCTCAAGGTTCTGTTTTAGGACCTGGTTTATTTACCATGTATACAAAGCAGCTTGGAGATGTTCTAAATCAAAATTCTGTATTTCACCATCTTTATGCTGACAATACCCAACTTTAAGATTCGTTTACTCCTGGATTAGATCAAACATAGGTGCTCACAAAAATGGCTAACAGTATCGGACAAATTAAAACCTTGATGAATTTAAATCGCTTGAAATTAAATGCAGATAAAACCAAGTTACCCTTTTTGGCTCCAAAGCTTGATTATTGGACCTGTCAAATTTAAAATTTGACATTTAATATTTGACATGGGATATAAGGAATTTCCATCAACATCAGTGATTTAAAATTTAGGCATATTATGATCTGTGTAGAAAATGCTACTGCCATCTGAAGTACATCAGTTCCATCCGCCCTGTTCTCACACAACATTCAGCTTCAGCTCTAGCACGATCATTAATTCTATCGCGACTAGACTATTGTAATAGTCTTCTCACCAGCCTACCCCCAAATCAACTAAATCGCCACTAAGCGAATCCAAAATCACACAAGATCTCCACATCATTGTCACATAACCCCAGTTCTCCAAATCCTTCATTGGTTACCAGTCAGTGCCCGGATAGGCTTTAAAGTACTCTGCCTTATATATCAGTGCGTCAGTGGAGAGGCTCCTGATTACCTCTGCAAATAAATTCAACAGTATATTCCAAAAAGATAGTAGCGTTCAAACAATTACAATCTCAATCAGCTAGTGGTACCAAAGTGGAAACTTGCTACCTTTGGACAAGAGCATTTGCTGTTGCTGCCGCTGAAAGATGGAATTCACTACCAGTTGAACTCGTTTTGTGACTTCCTTGTCAATCTTCAAATCTCGATAAAAGACTCATCTTTTCAAAATTCACTACAGAAATTGACCAAAAAAAATATTAGACCAAAGACTTTTAAGTAGGGGTCATTTGGGAAGAAACTGGAGGACTCGGAGAAAATCCACGAGGTTGGGCAGGCCATCCTTCTCCTTGTCATGTACAAGCAGGGAATTGAAACTATGCCACTTCACTCAACAAATGACAGAGACCTTGTGATTGTACATGCATGTGTTAAACCATTCACTGATTCAGCCACCCCCACCAGCAAAATAAATGTGATAATCCTTGTTAACTCCTCAGACGACAATCTATCTTTATATTCTTTCAGATGGCAAGATCGAGTTTTGTTTTACTAAAAGTGAATTTACTCTGCATTTTTTTTTAAATTAGGACTAGGCCTATAACTATAATATTTTTATTTTAAAGTTTTATAAACAAATAAACTTACCCTCAGTTGTCTTTCACATTCTCTGACCTTGTCAGAGAGAAAATGGCTTCTGTCAATTCCAAGCGGCATTTCAAATATCTTGTGCAGAATTTGAAATGAATAATTAGTCAACAAGAGATGAGAATGGATGATTAATTCAAAACATGTCCAAACAATTCATAAAACTGCGCCATTACCAAAACAAAGGAAGTAGTTGTGCGAGTTATCTCCCTTGTATGGTCTAGAATCAACATCCAGACCGAGGGACGAAGGCGGAGATGTTAGACAGAAACAAAATACACCAAATTTCAGAATAATATTACGATATTCAGTAAAATAACGGTTACTGACAGCTATATGTTATTGCTTTTATGTATAGGTATAATAATGTTCTTTTGATAAACCAGTTCCATACAATTAGTAAACAAGGAAATAGTAGTAGTAGCGATGCTAAACGCCGCTAGGAGCGCTGGCTGTACTATTTACAGACATCACAAAAAGTTGACCGAGAAAAGTATACGTCGTGTTACGCCTTGTCATGAATATTCAAAGTGTCAAACATTGACCACGTGATGTTTACCATCGAGAAAAATAGATGAACTTGCTGTCGAGTAGGATTTTGAGAAGCTGAGGTAAGATTTTCTGATATTTTTCATGAATTGAAAATTTGAAGTTGAGAGAAATTTTCGAAAAAGGCCCTCGACGCTCAAGATTTTGGTATATTTGGAAAGCCCAATTCATTAACTACTTAGTTTGACCATTTGTTAAGTCCGTATCCCCCGTAGGAATTCGTAAAATGGCTGAAATTGAACCATGTGGAATTAAAGGGAGGTAACTCGTGGTTGATCAGGGTTCAGACCATAATTACCCCCCCCCCCCCCACAGACTTCAGTGTAAAAAAAATGATGTTAGATTTGGACAGGTTTTTTTTATTATATTGAATGTTACTAAAGCTACCAACCAAACTTTAGCCAGACATTTCACTAACAAAGGATAAAAATTGTGAATGTTGTTGACCACCTTGGATTTTTTTTTTCAGGAACTGTAGCTGAAGAAGTAAGCTACATAATATATACTCATCCAAATCCAAACATAGCCAAAGGCGATCCCTGATATTACTTGGTACAACATAAAATAGACAAATGATGATGATATATAGGCCTACTCATACAGCTTGCATGAGGACTATAAAAAGGGGGGCTTGAAACTGACTGTTTCTCAGCATTCTCAAGAAAGTCCATAATTATTATAAATTTGGTATGAATCATAGAAGTTAGTTTAATTTATTGTTTGAAATCAGTGTTAGTAATCTTATTTTTGTTATTTCAATATTTGTGATAATATTTATTTTATTTTTAACATTTTCTACCTGAAAGAAGTGGCCTGATGCGTCAAATGTTTTTGTTTATTTTGAAAAATATCGCATATGAATAATGTGATTATTTTATATTGTTATTATTGTTTGTTTTTGTAAGATACATGTATTAGAAATCTTATATTTGTTGATAAATGTGATAATGGTTTCTTTTTTTTTATCATTTATTTTAAACCGGTGGGTGAACATTTTTAATTTCATATTAAATAGTAACAGATATGAATTTTGATCTTATTGTGATTTTGTTTTTAATATTTTTATATTTTTATGACATAGATAATGTCTCGGCAAGATGTATCACCATCTGAATGTTTATATTGTTTTTATTTTCATGGGATAATGTCTCAACAAGAAAGCTAGACTTCTACCACTGATATTATAATATAGTATATCGTAATGCACATGTATCACAAATTAATTTTTTTAATACTCTTTCATGTAGATCATATCTTACTTTTTATAAGCTTACCTTTTAATTTGGACTCTTTTAAGATATTCAAATGTTTTAATTATGTCTATTAATTATGTCTGTTTTTATTTGAAATTGTAGTGATGTTGATCACAAAAATATAGCTGTTATATAAATCATAGTTTAATTGTTAATTTTCATTCCTGAAACAAACAATTTCAAATTGATGTACATGGCAGCTTCTAAACAACTAAAGCAGTTGGCGTGGCAAAGGCGGCAAATCTGCCAAAAGCTTACAGGTTTATTTCTCATTTTGCCACACACTTTCATGATTTTTAAAAATATCCACAGTATACGTTAGTATAAACGGTTTATAATTGTTGTATGACTGTGAATGGCCAGTGGTCAATGGCCTCGGAACCAGTAGGTGCCCAATTACATACATAAACTTGTTTCTCTTCGACATTGACATCATACAGTCAAAAATTGTGATTTAAGGTGTTGTCATGCAAAAAATAAATAACAGAACAGACTGAAAACACTTTTATGTGTGCTTATTCATTAAAAAATAAGCCTCTGTATTAATGTCAAAGCGCTACAATTTAAGTACACACAAATTTGAAAAAAATTTTGCTGTGATTTGTGCAAAATCGGCACGGATCCCAACTTTGAACCTCTGTAACATAAAAAGTATATACTAGAATATTATAGCGACAATTTGGCTTTATTAAGTACATCTAGATCTTTAATTAGTGCAATTTTCATAGACCTATCTTGTATAGTTACTGAGATATTGGCTTCGGTCACTTTTTTGCGGTTTTTTAAAAAAGCCGTTTTTTAGCGCCTCTGGTTTGCCTTCTTTAAAACGCTATAACTTTTTTAATTTTCAATATTTTTTCGAAATTTTTTCAGATTATTCATTCTAGATAGTTCACAATTGCAGTATCGTTGTCATTTTTGAGTCAATGGTTGTATCTGAAAACCCGTTGGCAATGCTAGTAGTAGAGCTTGTGTGGTGGGATAGAATTGATGTCGATTTTACTTTTTTAGTTAGTTAAAGGGCCAATCCCGATAATTTTTTGGAGAATAAAACAGCTTAATTTTGTTTTAAAATGCCTTAAAACCCTCTACCTAAGGGCCGAGCAAGTAACTCAATATTTGTGATACGTTTGCAAACAACTTAAATCCGTCAGTCTTCATCTGGAAATGGAGACCGGTGTCCCAAACTGTATTATTACACGGTGTCTGGATAAAACCAGACCTTTTTATATAAAAATAACGTGTAGGTGACATTTACCATCCGCTATCAAGTACAGCACATGGGTCATTCACTGTATAGACCTCTCAAGAAACGGGAATCGATTATCATTTCACCCAACGAAAAAATTGACCTGAAATCGTAAAAGGGTTACGTGTCCAGATAAGCAGTTTTGACGTTCACGTCCAAACGACTCAATATTTTGAGCTGACATTTTGAGACAAGGTCAATACACCATTCCTATACATTTGGGTGCTTACTGCTCAAATTTCATACGTACTCGGACTTTAATTTTTGAGACTCTGTTCTAAGCATTAAATCTGACTCTTTTAATCAAAAAAGGGGATACTGATTTTAATGTTACATGGCTGAATTCGCACAATTCCCAGAATGGTAATAAGAGATTAAACATAAGCATTTCGAGCGATAAGACATGCACCAACACCAACTGTAGGCTATAGTTACCTTATTGACAGATAGAGCTATCAGGCCAGGGCAGAGCCGATAAGAATCTGTTACTAAAGTAACTAACTGTAAGCTATAAACGGTTACTAAATATTTTTGATACTGTCAGATCTGTGATCAGACTCAATTCTGGGTCACTCGATATTACATCAATTTGGAACATTTTTGACTGAGAATTGACCACCCCCAAGGAATACTGTAATATCATGTGACATTCTCTATTCTAATCAAAGTATTGCTGTAAGAATAGGGGATGCTCGAGATATAATTTACTTATGCAGTCGACGCATGCTCTGTAGCCCGAAATCCCCCTTTTCACTCGATTGTCACATTTTTGGGGATTGAGAGAATTCAATTCCGGGAAGTTCAATCGAGTACCCCCATAGTGTGGACTGTATAACTAGGGGTGCCAACTCTGCAGTGGAGAATGATCCAGGGAGGTAATCATATCCCCCCCGCTCCCCGTCCACAGAAAATATAAAACCACCACATTCACCAGCAAAAACACTTTGACAAATGTTAATCTATTAATATAAGCAGCATTAATATTGTACCCAAATATTAACAGTGTCAGTGTTACAAATCAAATAGTAAACTTGTCAATTTTGAATTGTCACATTAGAACAAATAACAAGAAAACTGTGTACATACACATTGGCATGCTATGCTTTTGAAGACTAAGAGTAGTGTTTAAATCACATTGTATTAAGCACCTGCGAAGATAGGTGTTCAAAGGAATGGTGAATGAATCTAACAAGTAAAATATACAATATGGTACAATTAATGGTTATCAGGATGTCAGCAAACAAAAGTGGGTGTATTGTACATTTGAAGTCTATGTCTTTCTGCTTGGTAGACCTGTGAGCTAAAAATTTCAGATTGTTTTTATCTTGACTATTGGCTGTTGGCTAGAGTATTATTTCTTTATTACAAGCCTGGAAAGAAGACACCTGTCAGACAGAAATTTAGGCTTTGTAAGGCGCAATCTCCCTGTTTCTTTGTTATTTAATCTGGTATAGATTTGTCCTTGCTATGTTTTATTCATATTATTAATACACAATCCCAGAATGTGAGAACTAATTTACAATCTAGTGTAGTGCCTGACAAATCAGTTAAAATCATAATGTCAGTCTGCTTTACAAACTTAATTCAGAATAAATTTCCTTTCTTTCCCTCTTTTTTTTTGGTATAAGATGCATTGACACATATTTAAACCCAAACCCAGTAGAACATGTATGAACTTTTTCATCTATACATTATTAATATACAGTATTTAAACTAGATAACAAATTTTGGTTGTGTCCATTTAAGACAGCTTTCCAAATGACCAATGATTATCCAAAACTGTTTTTATACATGTGTATACATGCAACCTACTAAAAGTAAACAAGCTGGGGCTGCAGACAGTAGTTTCATATTAAAACTCCATGTACTGTAGTGAGCAGTGTAATATAACATGGTCAAAGGTCTTTATCTTTAATAAATTCCATCAACCCACTCAATGTTTATCAGTATGTATTTCACAATACACAAGTGGAATCTAAAGTAACACTAGATGTAAGTTCTAGATGGAAGGCATTGTTTGAAACATCATATCATTCAAATTTAGTGTCGCAGATAACTATTAACTGCTGAAATATGTAAAAAATATTATATATTGTTCAGCCTATTAGTTCCGGTACACGTACAGTACATCCAAAACTTGCACGATCTGTCTACAATTAGCTCAGCTTGAGAACAGCCACAAAGCTGGTTGACCGACATTTTAAATCAGACATCAACGATTTTAGTTGAGAACACCCAGTATACTTTGAGAATTTTAAGAAGTAGTTATGTTCTGCTTCTATTTTATCAAATTGGGACTGTTTATTTAGTCTTTGTGTGTATTCGTCAGATGTAGAATGGATTAGAACCACATTACAAGTCTACTTATTTTTGAATATGGTGGCCATTCAGGACAGAGATCTGTTCTCAAAGTAGACAGTTCTCTGTGTGTTAAATGGTACCATCTATTCTAAAGCATTTAAGGTTTATTAAAAAATAAAATGCCTCAAAACCAATTACCCGGTATTCAGTAACGCACAGATATTTAATTTTTTAATTTTTGCTAATTGTGTTATCTTTCATTGTAGATAAGAAATGACAGCAATATGGCCAAGCAGAGATTTTGGATAGTCAACAGTAGTGGTAATGTGTTCACATTATGTACAGAAAGTAGATATTTTAAGGAAGTTGATAAAGATCAGGGAGGGATCAAAGTTAAGAGAGTATCAGCATGTGAATCATGTGCTTGGGGTATAGGACATGATCAACAAGTATACACCTATATCTGTACTACAGATGTTCCTATCAGAGTTGTTGAAACTATATACGAAAATCAGGTAATTATATTAAAGTCTGTATGAATATGACCAGATAAGTATAATATATGAAATTTTTCCCCAGCAGCTGCATTTATAGTATACCTACTATTCCAACTACCAGGGGTTGATTCTTTTACATGCATAACAATGTGTGCACAGGTGAACCTCCGTTTTTCCTGCTATCCAAACAACTAGGCACAGTTTCTTTGCAAGACCTACCGCTCGACTACCACAACCCTGTGACATATAGTCAATTATTAATTTTACAATTTCACAACATCTAACAGACTAATGTTATTGTTTACAAAAAGGATGTCAAGTGCAATAATCATATAAAATATTGTCCAAAGAATGTAATAAAATGCAACAGACACAATTAAAATGGTGTTCTGTAATACACTTGAGAGTAAAAGCAAAGGAATAATGACTGCATCTTTAAAAGCTTTTAAGAGAAATTGGATGTACAGTAGAATCTGCATTAAGCAGCCACCCAAGGGAATTTTCACGACTGACCGCTTAACGGGAGTGGCCTCTTAATAAAATCTTGGTGCTTTTTGTGCTGAAATAAATTAAATATTACGCTTGGATGCATAAGAAGCGAACATCAATACTTGCATCGGTAAATTTGACCGTCGCTGAATCTTGCGCCAAACGAAAATTCTTTACTCAAGTCTCGGACATAACTTCTGTAAACTTGTCATTTTGTACCAACCTTTGATACCACTGTCTACCATTGGGATGCATTTGATAATATTTATCCATTTTTGTGAAGAAAATCGGTCAATTAATTTTATTTTATCAAAAAGGCACATGAACAAAAAACCATCGCTGATTTTATCACCTATTTACAGGGGTGTAACTCTGTATGTAATGTTATAGGAAGCGCTAAAACGTCTGTTTAACAACAAAGTGGCAATGGAAAAGAGATACTAGATGATCGTGACAAAACTCGGTACATTTATTTTATTCAATCAGTATCAAATAATGTTTTGTTACACGTGAAAACAATGATCAGGTTAGTCGTTTAATAATACAAAAGATTAATTAACAGATAATCCCAGGTTGATTGTTATTTTTACATTTCTTTTTACCTGATCAGTGGGGGTCCAGTTAATTAACTACTACTCACGGGATTAGCAGGGGTGTTACAAAGAACGACAAGATGGTATCATTCAACAATGGCCGTTGAATGGGCGATGTTTTGTTGAATTTATTAGTAAAATAGTGACCGCTGGCTGCTTTAGAGGAGTGTCCGTTGAATAAAGAGATGAAACAATAGAATTTTTACGGGGGGGAATTTATAGTGACCGCTTACAAGGAGATGTCGCTGAATAGGAGTGGCTGCTCATACAGATTCTACTGTAATTATGTACTGGTAGTCTTTAAGGAAGAAGCTAATTCAAATACAGGATCTTGTGACAGTGATTGTGTACTTTCTTTTGAAAATTCTACAGACCAGTGTGCTATGATTCATCATAGTAGAATGATTATGTCAGACTTCAAAACCTTTGTATAATTTGGATTTGTCATTTTAGAACGAGTATTCTAGTATTTCGGAAGATACCTCGTAGAAATACCCCTTTAGTCCTTCCATCATGTAAATGTTAAATATACTATTCAGAAAAAGTAGGGGATATTTGATTTTGGGGGCATAATACTAAAATATGCAAATGACTACGAAAAAAGTCACTATAGAACCTAACAGAGGAAACATTTCCAGTTACATGTGACGCCCAAACGCACCAATAGCTACCGCATGGAATGCAGGTGATGCTTGGGATCATCATGGGGGTCCAACCCAAGATTTGCACGACTCTGACTTTGAATGTTACAGTCATTGTGGCATTGAATTCCAGGGTGGAAACATCAGTTTAATTGTTTTAGTGACCAGAAAACAAATTTTGATATGCGTCGGCTTACCCAAAATGAAAGGTTACGTGCCCTTGGCATGCTACAGATCGGCACAACACAGGCGGTTGTGGCGCGGACGATGAATGTTTCTCTGTCTGTCATAAGCAGGCTATGGTCCAGATACCGTGATACACAATCTGTACAGGACAGACCACGCTCAGGTCGACCAAGGGCGACAACTCAAGCCCAGGATCGATTTATCCGTACCTTGACCTTGAGAAATCGTGTCATCACAGCAAATAAGATCAGCGCTCGTCTTCAAACAGACACTGGTGTGAGAGTGAGTGGCCAGACGATTCGGAATCGACTGCATAGGGGTCACCTTCGCGCCCGACGTCCTCGCGTGATCCCTTGTTTAAGAGATCATCACATTCAGGCAAGACGTCGTTGGTGTAGGGATCGTCAACACTGGGATAATCGACGCTGGAGCAATGTGATGTTTTCAGATGAGTCAAGGTTCACTGTTGATTTTTTGGACAGACGTAGGAGGGTGTGGCGTCGTCGAAACGAGCGCTTCCAAGACGTTAACGTCATCAGACATGATCGATTTGGGGGTGGTTCTGTTATGGTGTGGGGAGGCATCACTGTTGCTGGAAGAACGGCTTTACATGTTGTTGCAGGGCGTGTTACAGGCCAGTACTACCGGGACAACATCTTGGCAGTCCATGTTGTGCCGTTCGCACGACGTCATGGCCGCCGTTTCATCTTCCAGGATGACAACGCAAGATGTCACAGGGCCAGGATCGTTACAGGTTACCTCCAACAACAGAACATCACCACATTACCTTGGCCAGCACTGAGTCCCGACCTCTCCCCCATCGAGCATGTCTGGGACATGCTTGGACAGAGGTTACGTCAACGTCAAAAACGGCCTGCCAATGTCCAAGAACTTGCTGCTGCGTTGCAACAGGAATGGGACAATCTGGACCAAAATGACCTTAGACGTCTCATTAGGAGTATGCCACGTCGGATCAATGCTTGTTTGGCAAACAGAGGAGGATTTACCCGTTACTGACTTGGTTGTGATGCTGTGGTAACTTTGCTGTTTGACCCCGGGTATCATTTTACCCTTATAATGGTCAGTCTGTGCCTTACTTAGTCTAACGATCATTTGGAATAAATCGATGAATGTGAACTTCATTTCAATTTGTCATTTGTTTCTTCGTCAGTTTCATTAGGTGACTTTAATAACACTTAAAAATCAAATATCCCCTACTTTTTTTGAATAGTATATATTGACCTACTTATGAATTGTGACCTACTTATTGATCATGTTAATGTTGTGTTTGGTCAAAAGCTGCTACATTTAACCGGGTTGTTTGATCTAATATATAATTAAACATTAATCAATAAAAGTTTGTTTTTCTGTCAAAATTTAATCTTCCGGATTATTGATTGACAGGCATATTATATATCGTATATGTTTTAAATATTACAAATGTTTTAAAGATAACATATGTTTTAAATATTACATATATGTTTTAAATATTACATATTACATAGAGCAACAAACCTTTTTATTAAGATTTAGAAATTTGTTTAGTAGAGAATCTTTATAAAATATATTATTTTTGTTTATTTATTAGAGATGGGCTCCATGGAGTGGATTTTCTAATAAAAATTTATTAAGAACAGATAGAAGTAACTGGAGTAACGAGAGTGGGGATCAAAGTCCGAAGCGGGAGGAATTCACTCTTCCCTCAGAATATTGGGAATGGGAAGGAGATTGGTTTATTGATGAAAATTTCAAAGGAGAAGTCACAGATCGTGGAGTAAGTTCATTTACACAGCTTTAGATTATATATTTTAAAATTGCAATATTCTATGGCGGGATTTAAGGGCCAAAACTAAATGTATGTTGAAAGTATTATTATACATCATAGAAAATACCTAATACCTAAGATGCAAAATACATATGTCGTTATACTTATAATGATGAATACATAATACCGTTAAAGTAAAAGTCAAATGTCAAATTACAGATGTTTTTTGGAAAAAATCCACTAATGTGCACAACCTTTTTACATACACACTTCAACAAAGCAACTTTGCAAAATGACATTTGTCTTTTGTCTTTTGCATCTTGAGTTCTTGAAGTCAACGGTCAAAGGTCATCGGGTTACATGTACAATTGTTAAAATGAATGGTCCCATGAAGGAAAGAACGGGTATAGTCTGGACCTTCTTTTAGTATCTGGAGACTTGTCAGTCATGATGTTGATATTAGATATGCTAATTATACAGTGCAAGTCTGTGTAATCTAAACAAGGTGCCACCCATTATTAAAATTACTGTTAATCATTCTTACAAACGAAGTTTCTGGGACATTATATACCCATATATATTTCAATTCGGTTTTAATTGTAGACTAGCCAATGTTAATGCATGTAGCCTATATAGTCATATTAATTATAAACTTCACACAAAATAGGCCTACATCTAGATTGAACATATTTAGAATAAATTTAATTTAATGTAAATGTACTTTTTGATAAATACCGAATGTGACTTGGGCTAACACAAGTTTAAATTAAATCAGGGTCAAGCGTGCTGACTGTCAGAATGTATAATTGTATAGGCATATTCATGCGGCATCTTATTTTTTTAAAACGGGGGGCCTGGCAAGGACAACTGTTTAGTCGTTTGGATGGTACGAAAACCCGAGGACCCGTGTATACATTGGCGTGTACGTAAAAGATCCCCTGGTAGTTGGAATTCGATATAAGAGTAGGCCACAGTGCTGCAGCCGGGGCAAGATTTCATCCCATAGCACACTGTATGCCGTATGGCGGTCTTCATTAGGAGCAGAAAATTAGGACGTTAAATCCCATTTCATTTAACTTATTTTTTTTGCTGTCATATTTTTTGTTTAAATACCATTGCCATGAACCTGTGTAAAGTCAGTAAATTACAGTTTCCTGGGGAGTTATGGTACGGTGCTGGTGTTTCATATTTCGGATAACTTTCGTAAACTGCACTTGAGTAAATAAATAAATGAAATTAAATATTAAATCAGAATCTGATCTGTTCTTATTATTCACTGTAGTAGGCATAGGCAAGTATATGGGGTGGGATATGAAACGTTTTCCATCTCTTGTTATATTAAATTTTTGATTGCTGGCAGGCCAGTAAAAACTTTAAAACATTGTTAAATGAACCATTTTAAAATTAATCATTGAAATTACTTTCTTAATTTAAGAACATTTCATTAAATGGACTAATCGTTTTGTTTTCATGAAATGAGCTCCTTAATAACAATTTACAACAAAGAACAGATACAAAATCAAAGTAAAATATAAATTTTATTTCAAAAAGTTGTCATACATAATAAGCATTTAATATATATTTAATCTTTCCAAATATAATATACAGTTTCCGTACATTTGAATTGACGCAAGATTCCATTAATTGATAATAACAAGTAATCCATACAACATAGTGTCAGAATGTCACTAAGCTCCTTTTAGCAGACGACGACGACAAGCTTATCTTTCCTTCATGGGACCATTCATTTTAACAATTTTACATGTGACCCGATGTCCTTTGACCGTTGACCGTTGACCTCAAGAACTCAAGACGCAAAAGACAAAAGACAAATGTCATTTTGCAAAGTTGCTTTGTTGAAGTGTGTATGTGAAAAGGTTGTGATCATTAGTGGATTTTTTCCAAAAAACATTTGTAATTTGACATTTGATTTTTACTTTAACGGTATTATGTATTCATCATTATAAGTATAAAGACATATGTATTTTGCATCTTAGGTATTAGGTATTTTCTATGATGTGTTATAACACTTTCAACATACCTTTAGTTTTGGCCCTTAAATCCTGCCATAATATTCAAGGTCCACACTCAAATATGATTGTGTATGTATGACTTAAATGCAGTTCAAAAACATAGGTTTTATATCAGTTGTCACTGGTCAAATAGGAACCGAGGTGACAACTCCAGTTATCATGAATACCCGTATCCAGTAACAAAACTAGATTATGGCCCTTGAATGTACGAAAAAATGCGTTTTTAGCTTGTGGACCCCATAGAGGTCAGAATTTTTATCCGATTTGAAAAACATTTTCAATATATCACTGTTTAAACATAATGATAGTTGAGTTTGAATTCGTGGAAAATAAAAACAAAACTTCCTGACAAAATGGCAAATTAAGTATGTAAAACCAAGGTTTTTGTCAGATTTTCATGAAATTTAAAATGTATGTTTATATCCAAGAGATCTAAGTTGTTATCGATATGTTGGACTCTAGCTTCCTGGATTATGACCCCTGAATATACGAACAATTACTTTTGTATTATTATTAGCCTGTTCTCTGTCTAATAAAACGTGGGTGTATCTTGCATGGAAACTTCTGGTCATTAATATATATATAAGATGCTAAGCAAATATGTTGTGCACCACGTACAGGCCCAGGCACTAACGCTCATAATTAATCTTCAAACAAGTTCCCAGAAATCAAAGGATTAAATCCTAAACATCAACTTGGATAACAGTTCCTTCCATTATTCCATTAACATCTGCATCCATATAGTGTAAACTAATATTATACCTCAACCACTTTACTGTGCTAAATATACACAATATACATGTATTACAGGGTTGGCAATATGCTACAGATTTTCCTAGACAATATACTCCAGAACCAAAAACTTTATCAATGGTTAGAAAAAGAAAATGGCTCCGTTTTAGAAAATATGTTGCTACAGGCAAGTGGGCCAAGGTGAGTGCTACTGGTAATTATATACACTTATTGAAACAACCCAAACTTTTCCCAACCTTCAATTCTTAGAATCAGATGAAATTTAAATTGCATGAAGAATTACATATTTTAATTCACAAGAAATTCAAAACAGAGGAACGTAATTAAACATACATTATGCAAGAGCTAAATCTGTCCATTGCAGGTCTTTCTCTAGGCCTGAAATGTTATCTAAATTATTAATTAGACATTAATTAACCTATCCAGACCATAATCAACTCTAGATGCCATCATCAATGAAAAAGCATGAGGTGGTACAAAACGATTGCAATACTCATGCTACATGTATGAGTGTATGCAAGCATGTTTTGGTAAATATTTGGCAGGGAACATCTGTCTCGATTCAATTATTTTTTTTGCCCTGATTTGTTGGGGTTTTTTTTATAGATAAATGTTGAAGATATAGAAGTAGAAGATAATAGTTTTATAGATATAGCAGTTGGTGGTTTTAATCTACCAGGTCAACCACCTGGTTTTCTTAGTGTATGGACCATAACTATAAATGGAAAGGTACACAGGTTTTTTTTTTTTAGCACATCTTTGAAAAGATTAGGACTGATATACGATAGATGTAATGATGGTATGAAAGGCCATCTTAACTGTACACTTCAGAAAATCTACACCAATTTGATATTTAGGGACTGATCTCAGAAAACGTAGAAAATTCAGATGCACACAAACATTTTTTCTTGCATTTCTGGCATGTGAGTACAGCAACTAGAAAGTGATTCGATATAGCCTTATTTATATAGTTTTGCAACCGAAATCCCATTCAAAATTTGTGTTTTGATTCAGCAAGTGCCTTCCCCCAAAAAATTTGGTATATTAGACAACCATAATAGCAGTCCAAGCATAGAATAGATAGAAAGGGCTTATATTTATGTGTTTTTTCAACTGAAATCCACATTCCACATGAATTCCAGATTTTATGAGGGTGGTTGCAGAAATGAAATGATAGAAAGAATTTCCGTTTATAGTTCACAGAGCCAAGGCCGATCCCAGAAAATACTGAAAATTAGAACAGTTTAAAAGCACATACCCTTAGAATCCAAGAGAGTTATTTCGCTTGAAAAGACATAACCCTCTCGGATAGCAAAATCCCAGTATATATTATAAAATATATAGTCTGCATGGTTCTTATATTTATTAGGTATATGTTAGAAAGAATGTGTGTATTAATTGTCCGGAAGGTGATAGTTGGGAAGATATACCAACAGATACTCTAGGTTTAGTTAATATATCTGTAGGACCTACAGGGCTAGTGTGGGCTGTAACATGGGATGGTCTAGTTCTAGTCAGACTTGGTATTAACAGAGATAATGTATATGGTATGTAATGTTTACAGCCTTTTTATCTGACAGACCTTTTATGTGTCATTGAATTTTATCAAATATGCTTTTGAGTAAAGGTTGAAGTCTAAGAAAGACTCCCGCATGCCATCAGTGGCATAATGGGGGAGAAGGAGGACAAAGGGCCATAAGTCAACCGCCATGTGCAAGTATGAAGGGAAGCAAATCTTCTTATGGACTTGGTACAATTATATTATTTGTTAATACATCAATTAAATCTTAAGAATTGCTGTTATTGTAACATTCATTCGGTATGATTATATTATTTTATTTCTTTTTTCTTCCTTTATTTTTCAATATAACAAAATTGAGTAATATAGGCCTAAACTCTGAGTGGGCACGCTGATATTGCGCTTGCATGCGTGTGTTGAGAAACCTTGCTATTCCACTGAAAGCCGTATATAAAGTCTAATGTAGGGTTTATGTATTGTTTTAAGGTACAGCATGGTGTGAGATTCCATATCCAAAAGAAAATACCCGGATGATGCAAATAGCTCTAGGAACTAATTCTTTGTGGGCATTAAGTAGAGAAGGAAAGGTTAGTATTATTTCGAATTTTTGTATATTTAGTCTTCAACAGCTTGAGTATGTCTATTCACAGTATGTATTACAAGAAAAATATTGTATTGCCTTTAATTCTGTATACTATAGATCTAATTTTTGTGGTATTAGTATAAAAACACTTGTTTTAATAAAATACATTCTGATTAAAACACAGATTCTATTTCATTTCATTTTTTATTGTTCAAAATTTCGTTTTACCTGTCTTTACTACACTAAGATCTGTAACCCACATTCTGATTGATGTGAGGGATTAGCCAATGAAACGGTCTGTTACAGCGAGTTCTTGGCGTGTGGTGCACAGAACTGTGGGTATCCCAGTAGAAACATCAACGCTGATTGGTTAATCAAATGTCTGATTCATAGGGTCAAAAGCCGCTTGTATGACCCCAGACACGACCTTCCACTACAACCGATCAGATCTTCATGTAGTGCGGGCCATCGAAGTATAAAAAACTTCTTGTGACAACAATTATCAGATTTATTTAACTTGTTGGCAATAATTAGATGAAGAATCCTATTGAAATTCAGTATTGAGACATTAAAATGATGACGGATTTCACAAAATGCCGTAGTATTCAGATGTCGGAAGTGACAGAGTCCACCATAGTTACTTTTCAGAGTTATTACCCTTGATACTTTGTAGAAACTTGTGAACACTTTTGTGATCTATTTATAATTTATTTATAAGTTAACAAGACTAGTTCTTACATGTGTATGTAACATATTTATGATAATGTATTATTAGGTTTGGTTTAGAAAAGGTATTGATGGTGATCAAGCATGGTTTAATAAACAGTCAGCTATTGGAACATCGTGGGTAGAAATGGTGGGAGAATTCTGTCATATATCTCTTACTCCTAATGATCAGGTTTGTAGACAAACAGATAGATGTCTTTTTAAATATTAAGAAAGCATCATGATATAGGGATTAGTTTTCTGCATGTCTTGTCGTTTGATAAAACAAATGTTTTGAGTTGACATGATTTTTTCAGAAAAGATTGATTGCAAAATTTTATACAAAAGAGGCAAAGCACTGCTGATGAGCTATACGCATTAAATACCTTATTCTAATAGTGAGCCATGATGACTCAGTGCGTAAGATTTTGGATTGCTAACCTGGAAGTCCTGTGTTTGATCCTGTTGTTAGCCGAGAAAATTTATCAGGATTTCCAGGCGTGGTTCCCCCTTGTCAGTGATGCAGGACGAGGGCTCGGCAAGACACAATGGAAAATTGTACGAATGGGACCTTTAACAGTTGGAATTTGAATGAGTAGGCTGTATTGCCGCTGTCCAGACAAAATTTTTACTCATAACACAATTCATTAGCCCAGTTGGTGCAGAACAATAGGACAATAAGCCTCATTCAATTATTCTGAATAGGTGAGTCAGAGGTTATTTTTGTAGTATTGAAAATGATAAATGTTTCTAATGACAGCCCTATGATTTACATTTTATTATCTCCATCTTGGTACTCAGACTATACATATTTTTCATACTTTTACTTTGTACCATTACCCAACTGATTACATCTTGACTGTAAATACAAGGAAGAATTTATAATGTAATAAATATGTATTGATGATGATATAATATAAACTATATATTTCAATTATTATGTGTATACTTTCAGGTATTTGCTATTGGTTTGAATGATAGAAAACCATATTTTAGAACGGGTGTCAATGCCAGTGATCTAGGTGGAAAAACATGGCAGCCATTGTTTTTTCAGGAAGATATTAATCGATTGAAACATGCTAGTTCATCATGTAGTCAATCTTTAGATGAAACAGATGATGTTTCTTCAGAATACACTTACCTCGGAACACCGCGTGGAACACCTATAAGCATGACAAGCATTCCAGAACATGACAATTTCAGAAAAACTGATTCCTCTGATACCACTGAATGTTTATCTATACCTATGTGTGCCATGGTTCCTACAACTAATGCCACCTCTACAAATTCAAAGAAAAGCATTTGTGATAAAAATTTAGACAATGTAAACCAAAACATACACTCTACTATATGTGACGATGTATTCATTAAAGGAAGTAATTTATCTAATATTTCTACTGAGATTGAGAACATTTCTAATGGGAATACTCCTACATGTATTTCTACAGGTACATGTACCATTTCTAATGATAATGTTAGCATTCCTGAGAAATTGGCTATAACCCTTTCTAATAATAATGAGAATGTAAACAGTTCTGATGAAAATACTCCTATTTCTAATGAAAATACTCCTATTTCTAATGGAAATACTCCTATTTCTAATGGAATTATTGCCGTTTCTACAGAAATTGGTACTGTTTCTAATGATAATGGTAACATTCCTGAGAAATCAGTCATGACTGCCTGTGATAATAATGAAAGTGGAAAAAAGCAAATAAACAACAATGGTAAAAATATAATAAAAAACAATTCTGAGGATCCATTCTTTGATGATAGAAATGATACGGAATCAGACGAAATAATGAATTTTGTGACAGATATTGATGAAGATGAGCCATCAATTGAAAGTAATAATGTAAATGTGCAATCAAATTTCGACAACTGCGATGCTGTTTGTGATGACACAAATATTGTGTCTGTTGATAAAACTTATGGAACAGAAGAAGAATTAAATGTTTTTCCGAAGGAATCAATTAATATGTTATCAATGGTTCCATGTAAAACTGTCAGTCATTCAGCTCCTGGATCTATATCTGTTACACCAACATCAGAAATAGAAATGACAGAAATGTTTACGTTGACACCAGCCATGCCTAGATATTTTTGGGTCTGGTTTAGTGCAATGGGCTGTTACATCGAAGACCCAAGTTCAGTCAAATGGTTACAAACCAGACGAGGTATGCATTTTATTTTTTTTAATTTAAACAGTATTTTTAGAAATCAATTCTTTTTTTAAAAATCTGATAGTTTATGTACAGCTCGGACAACATAATTGTGGGCATATGTTTTGTTGCCCAGCAACCTAACTTCATAATATCAATTGTTTTCGTTTATTTCAGTATTTTGTTTATTACCTTTTTTACAGATTCAGAGAGCAGTATAGATAGCAGTAATATTAAACAAATAATATCCCCTAACTTAAGAGCTCTATTACTCAATAAACTGTGTCATCGTAATATTGTAGAAGTACAACAATTTCAATATATAGAACAGGCTGTTGATAAGGTGAGATTACATTATATAAGTCTTTACATCAGTGATTCTCAACCAGTGTGCCGCAAGTTCTTCCTAATTGTGTCGCGAAAACTAAGAAAATGCGAAAAACCATGTGATCCCAATTGAATATTCACTGGTGTCTGTCTACTGATAAGTTCATAGCTGTGTTTTTCTTTATTTAGTATGAGTCATTCTATGTGTCTATGACTAGTCTGTGTCTACAGATGTATGTCGTCTATTACTTGCCATGGTTTTATTTTGCAAAATTTAAATATTTTTCATATATATTTAGCCAGGTGTGCCGCTGTTATTTCATGTGTTGCAAGGTGTGCCGTTGTCAAAAAAAGGTTGAGAACCACTGCTTTACATTGTTAGGAATTCATCTTACAAATACAACTCTCTCAGTTTAACCTTTGCATTCATTAGCTAATATGTTTGTTTGCTACACGCTGGCACAAAACACCTTTCTATTGAGACCCCTCTCATTTCAATGAGAAAAATGCTCATAATACAATTATCACTTAAATGAATTGTGTATTAGATTTATAAGAATATTTCTGACTATAAAGTTGTTGTGCAACAAGTAAATCCATTGTCTACAATATCACCCATGGTGGAAGTGGACGTAAAACTCTAGGAATGAATGAAAAAAGTAAATCCGTTATTAAATATTTTGTACATACTGATACCATGGTTAAGAACCAGACCTTTTGTTGTAGATACTAGCTCTTAATTATGACATGCAATGTGAATCCCTAATTGCAAAAGGGATTTCACTCTTGTTTTCAATAATATAGCTTTTACTGGCCGTTTATATTTGTGTTTACCATACTTACAAATTCTCCATAACATATTGTTGTTTGAAGGCAGGCTTATTAATATGGGTCTTATAGATGTTGCAGAAAAGTAGGAAGTTAAACTCCAAGTACAGGCATTCATATATTTAACATTTTTAGTGGTTTCCTCTGAGACCTAAATATGCATCATGATCTTTCATTGTAATATAATAGTATACCAGGTAATGACTAATAATATGCAAATACTAAATTAATGAACATTACCAGAATACATGTATATTAATAGCAAAATGAATATATATAGGCTGTAGAATGTTTATTTCATACACATTCTACATATAGATGAAAAGCCTTTAAAATCATATATAGGATTATATAAAAATTGATATTGACACATTTTATATACTAACATAATTTATTTTGTATATTAGACATCATGGATGAAGAAATCCTCTATGAAATGGTATAGATATGGATATAGAGCTAATTGGGAAGATGTAACAGTAGAGTTAGAACAAGGTTTACAAGAAGGAACTGGTGGTGCTATAACTATACATTATTGTCCTAGAGGAAAACCTGTGGTAATTACATTTTAAATACCAGTGTGTGTACTTTTCACTCAATTTCAATTGATTGATACAGAATGAAGTTATTTCAGTTTTGTTGTATGAGTAGAATCTGACATTGTGGTTGTTGTAGATATTTTTAATCAGTTAATGTATGCTTTTTCATCCAAAGGTTAATCCATTGTCATTATATGTGGGATTCGAGAATTTGTTTCCAGAACATGTTATTGAGTAATTGGAATAACCATTTCAAGGAGTTTGTATTATTTGGTGTTTTAGATTATGCAGATAAATTTAAGTGATATTGTTTGTATAAAGAAGATAGCTGATCCAAATCTACAGCCTGTGTTTAAAATACACACAGCTGACAAAACGAATAAAGTTCAACCATATTTAATGATGACATCATCAGAAGCAGAGACTGACGAGTGGGTAAGCATTTTTTTTATAGCGTGTTAAAAAAAAACTTTCAGAGAGTTCAGACTTTCTAAGCATTTTTGATTTGGTAACTTCCTTTTTTAGGAAACCTTGCATATCATTTTTTCTCTTATGAGAAAACAGAAGAGAGATGGTTGTGGTATTGTAATATTAATAAATTTCTTATCTTCTCTTGGAGTGATTGCCATGATAAGAAATATTTTCACTAATGTGCTATTTTTTTTATTTTTACAGCTAAGTACATTATTATCAGCTAATGCTAAAAAATGGAAATTAAAACAAAGTGTTAAACCTGGCAGTATATGGAGTACCACCTTAAGAGGAGATGTTTATGTTCATCAACCAAACAGTTCAAATGTTAAATTTTATGAAATGTAAGTACAATTACATGCCATTTTCACTAAGAATTGGAGAAAGAGATTTAAAGGAGCTAAGTCGTTAATATTTGCGACCTAGAAATGGACACAAATGGGTCGCAACGATTATAATAATGTACTATGAATGTATATAAACTGATTTACATACCGTCGTTTTTAATCTAATTTCAAATCAGAAGTCTCAATCGAATGGCAAACTCTAGCGTCTGGTTATTCCAGTCTATGCTGATAGTATTTATAGTGCATGCTTTCAAGATAAGAATATGACGTCACCGTTTGACACGACTTGTGAAATATGTCTAGCCTTGTTCTTTGAGTCCCTTGTTACAAATGGCGCCAAAACCCATTGTGGTACACGATTCATGTACCAATGGTAAAATGTTTATTTTGTCTTAAATATTAGATATCAGAGGCCCATCTTTTCCCAGTAAGATCGCAACATAAATATTGATTGAAATTGAGAAAAAATTTGTGTTTTCAATGTCAAAGACTTTGGATGCTATTGAGTTAGAGACTTAGCTACTTTAATAAAACTGAATAAGTGTAAACGTCGAACATAAATAAAGGCCTCTGTGCATTGCCACCCCAAGAAAACAGTAGAACTGTTTTATTTGGCATTCACACTTCGCAATTCATCTCAGTTGCCAATTTACCATGCTACCTCAATGACATTATAAATGGTTTAATAATACTGATTATTTTAATGTCAGCTATATATTGCAGACTTCTAATTTAGTTCATAATCTTTTGAAATTTTAGCAACCTGATTAAAATACAGTTCTATATTTTATTTTGATTTTTGTTCTTTCAATGGCCTCCACTACATGAAGATCTGACTGATTATAGTGGTAGGTTGTGTCAGGGGACATACACGCGGCTTTTGACCCTATGATGTCAAACATTTAATTAACCAATCAGAATTGATGTTTCTAATGGGATACCCACAGTTCTGTGCACCGCACTGCAAGAACTTGCTGCAACAGGCCGTTTCATTGGCTAATCCCTCACATCAACCAGAACGCTGGTTATATAACACCTCTTCCAGATCCTAGTGTAGTAAAACAAGTAAAAGGAAATGTTGAACTATAAAAACGAAACGAAATAGGATCTTTGTTTTAATCAGATTGAAATTTTAGTTTATTAATCTTGAATTTGATTTGAATGTTAGTTTTGAATTTTGATTTTGATATTTTTGAAGGTACTGGGGACAACTTGGAGGTCATCTAAAGAAGATAGAAACAAGTTCAGCAGGTGTAACCTGGGCACTGGGATATGATTATACACCATGGGTTTATACTGGAGGGTTTGGTGGGGGATTATTCAGAGGTAAAAATATTTCTAGAAAGTAATTCACTTTAAGATGCTTAGTTTCCATTTCACTTGATCTTAATAACATTTTTACTTTAATAACATTTTCACTTGATCGTAATAACATTTCCATAGTAACATTTCCAATTTATCGTAATAACATTTCGTAAAAACGTTATAGGTTGGGTGTTGATTGATTTGGTTAACCAGATAAGAGACTCATGTAGCCATGCTCAGAGCTCCCAAGTTAGTTGAAATTGTGTCTAACATTGGATGGAAGGAGAAAATAGCGTCTATATACACAAGCCTAAAACTGTGTAGTTTTACTGTTGTTCTCTGATTTTCTTCCCTTTGCTAAAGACATTTGTACATAAAGTGATTTATTGAAATAAAACTAAACCACATCTATGTTAGTAGTCCTGCTTTATTTTGTCCTCACTCTATTCCATATCATGGAATATAATATAATTATAGAAAATAAATCAGTTTGGGGCCAAGTGATAAACGTTGAAATTGTTTATAGATATAAAATAAACTGATTTGTGTATTTTAGCTACTTCAGCTATGTCAAAAGATTGCCACCAACAAACAGATACTCGAACAATATATACATATGAAAATCAAAAATGGTATCCTGTTATAGGCTATACTAACAAGTATGTTATTATAATTTTCTTTTTCTCTTCTTTTGATAATTCTGTGCTCTTCCATTCCATGCTTGCTTCTTATTTATTGTTTCATAACGTCATCATCTTCTTCATCTTTTGTCTTTATAAAAACAATTATGTGTTCTTGAATATTCACCCCTCTTTGACAAGAACATCATCTTCATGATATAACATGTTCTTCGTGATATGACGTGCTCTTCATGAAATAACATGCTCTTCATATTTGAATTTGATTACAGAGGATTTTTAACTGATTGTTATGATTGGAGTGATAGCACTGGTAGACAAGACAGATCTAAAGAAAATATTAAACTACCTTCATCACACTGGCAATGGGTAATAATATACCTTTAAAATACAATTTATATTCCGTGTATATATCAGCCATGAAACAAGCATGTAATAAGTAATCATTTATTACTCTAAATATACAGCAAAAATGTGTTAGCTATGTATATATGAGAAGTGAATATATTAGCCCTGAACCATTTAGTTTCTGGTACATATAAATACTGATTAGAGAACAAGTGATATATTACATAGTGGTATATCCATGAACTGCCTAAAAACATCTAAAACCAAAACCACTGCTCTCTAAAGGTCCGTATATATACTAGTTCTTGATTCGCCAAAGCTATTCACATCATGAATCAGGTGGTTTGGGGATCTCTAAGATACACTAGTTTTAAACAAGTAAATATATAAGATAGTTCATAAAAATGCACTAACAACTATCACTAAATGTTAATATCAAAGTTAATTCGAATCTATTAGCTGCGAGAATGGTACTTGGCAGCTAAGTTATAATTTATTGTTTAATTTTTGTGTTATAGAGTTGTGAATGGTGTACAGATTTTGATGCACCGGGAAAAGTTGACCAAGAAGGCTGGCAATATTCAGGAAATTTTAACAAGTAAGTTTCTGTAAATTATATTTGTATGTTGCCGTGTAGAAATTTTTGGTCATTTCATGGGTAACTGTATCCAGCCATCTTCAAAGATATTGATGGCCATCTTATTTATTTGTCAGAAAAACAACTAATTTTCCAAACCATATAAAGATGTCTGGGCTATGTAACAGTACCAATATTGAAGCATTTATGTATCATAAAAAACAAATAATTTAGTTTGCTGCTGTTTTATGTTTAAATGTTTTATTTTAGACCATTTCACCCACAGCCAGGTATTAGAGATAGAGTTAGACGTAGACGATGGTACAGGTAAATATTAAATATCTTTAATACCTTATGAAAGATTTACTCCAAAATATTAATTTTTGTAATAGTCTTGTGGGGACAGTTTAGGAAAAGAGTCAAAATGTTGTATAAAAGAGTTTTAGAAATTTAGTAATCCACCTTCAAGTCTTAGTTTATAAACAGCTTCAAAAAATATTAATTAATCAGCAAACCTGTTGTTTTTGTTGGTGCAAGTTAGTCATTATTTGATAGTCACTCTTTCCGTCGAGAAATTGGAATAAACCACCTTTAAGTTCAGTGTAAATCTGATTTGGAAATTTATTTGTTTAAATTATTACTATAGTTTTATGTCATTTTTGTGGATTTTGTGCTAAATAAATGAACATATTATTTCTGATTCATTTTGAATATGATCAAATAACATTCTGTTTCTGGGCAAAAGTACTATGTTTGGTGTGACTTTTCTATAAAAAAAAATGTATGTTCTGCAAGGAAACAATTTGTATTTATGAGTGCTTCTTTGTTGTAGAAAATGTAGATTATCAACAGTTGGACCATGGTATAATACAGGACCAACTACATTAAAAGATATATCTCTACAGATAGATCCTATAACTTCTGTAACTCAACAAATAGTATTATGGGGTGTGGGTATTAATGGTAATGTTTTATGTAGAGTTGGCATAACAATGAAAAATCCTCAGGTATATATATATATATATATATATAGCAACTTTAGACCATCCCCCCCCCCCCCCCCAAAAAAAAAAAATATTCTCGTTTACAAGCAATCCTTCAAAAAATGGAGGATTTTTATTTGTCAAAGGATTGTTTGGCTAAATGACTTATCACTAGCATCACATTTCAAGGTTTTTCATTTATCTCCTAAAATCTTTCTTTGTGGTGTTTGCAGTTATTCCTTTTAATGTGAATGATATGTACATGCTGTAAGTAATGATGATGTATTTATTTTCTGAACTAAAAGTGTTCATTCTGTCCTTTTTATGAGAACAAGAATATTTTATTTATAAAACCCCTTACCCTCATAATAGAGAAAAACCTGTTTAGAGTAAAGAACATTTGAATATTGTCCTGAAATTTCACTATAACCCCAAGAAAGAAAGATTTATCAGTTATATTTGTTAATGATATAGAATCTTGGATTATTTATCCTGATTTATTGTGTCTGATGTTTTATCCTAAATCAAGAATTAGTTTGTCTCTGAAACACAGTCTTGCAGAGTAAGAAAGCCCAGCACAATGATATTGTTTTAATTTTGCTCATGAGAATACCAGAAACTTACTGTATCCATTTTCGATTCTTTTCTATTGATTTTGTTTTTCTAGGGTGAAAGTTGGATCAACATAGCTACAGATTTACCGTTTACATCAGTATCTTTAGGTGGTAATTATCGTGCTTGGGGTGTAGCTAAAGATGGTTCTGTATGGTATAGACCTGGTGTATCATCTAAATGTCTTACTGGTACTAGATGGTTACAGGTTATACCACCTCCACCTGCTGATGCTATATTAACATATGTGTCTGCTGGTCAGACTACAGTATGGGCTTTAGATACTAAAGGTGAGTTCTCTGTTGCATCTGTTGACTAGTTTCCCACTCAATATAGGGCAAGAATAAGCAGAATTCTGATACCTTTACGATTGGAATTCCTCTGTAATTGTTTAGTGGGTATGACACTGGATTTTCCAGCCTGATTTCCAGGGTTTTTCATTGGAGAATATTTGTAAAACATTTGTTTCTTACTTGTAGGTAATTTGTGGTTTCGTGAAGATATTACTCCTACTTTCCCAGAAGGAACACGATGGGTTTATGTTTGTAATAAAGTTTATCATGTCTCAGTTGGAACCAATGATCAGGTATATCTAATCTTACAGTATAAACCTAGAGAAACCACTCTAAAACTACAGCTCCAAAACTCTTTATTTCAAGTAGCATAAACAAAGTATTTGCTTCTTGACCTGCGAGTGTGATTGAAAGCATATAATATGATGGCAATACTTTTCAGACACTTCTAGGAGGGTTGAATGGCTAAGTAGTTAGTGTGTGCGCACTGCATCATAAGGTTTGTCATTGAATCAACTGGCATGGTTTTGATTCCCCGGTTATACGTGACAATGAGTAGGGTCGTCTGTCCAAGCTCATGGATTTTTTCCGGGTCCTCCGGTTTCCTCCCACTGCTAAAGACCCTTACGCGCAAACGAATTATTGAAATAAAATTGAACCATGTGTTTGTTCTGAAATGACCTAGTTTGTGTCAGTGTATGTTAAACCCTTTTTTTCTCTTTCTCTCTCTCTCTCTCTCTCTCTGACACTTCTAAAAGCACTAGTTTGATAAGCTCAACATTCTCAAATAAGAATGGAATTTCGGTATTTTTTCAAATAATTATCACATAGGTGCACAAAACTAGGATAAACCTTTCTATAATTAGTTCACATAGAATTCATCAGTGGTTTTTTTCCCCACTAAATTTTATCTATCAATTATACTTAATCATTAGATATTCAAGGATATTTTTGTCTACATTAGCCAGTCGGAGCAAAACAGTAGAACATGAAACCCCATTTCATTTCATTGCAAGTATATTTAATAGTGTTATGGTTGTAGGTAATGATTATAACTGGTAGTAATTTTGGTAAGAATAAACATGGTAATGGTATGATGTATAATAGAATAGGTATAACATCAGATACACCTAGTGGTACTGGATGGCAAATGGTTATTGGAGTAAGTATATCTAGGTACAAATTACTCTTTGTATATGTCCACATTAAATATTGTCATCCCCTGTGTCTGTCCACTATTTATGATCAACACTCTACCTTGCAGGAATACAGTTAACCTCGCATAAGTCAGATTCGTATAAGTCAGATCTTTGCTCAACTTGGATAAAATCGTTTGGACCCTTTGATCCTGCACATTTTTCTTATTAAATTTCGGCGTGTAAGTCAGATTTCCTAAGCCAGATCTTTGCTCAACTCGGATCAAAATGTTTGGTCCATTTGATCTAATTCTGGCTTTTATTTCCTTCGCCTAAGTCGGATTGGCAGTATGTTCTGAATTTGACTAAGTCAGTTTCGTACCGATGGCCTAAAACGCAGTTAGGTATTCCATGCACACAGAGCCCCGAAATACTTTCCCCTATCATTTTGACTCAAATCAGCCTATGTGACGCGTCGCAATAATAGAATTTTCCAAAAAAAATTGAAACTCACTGTCTGCTGTACGAGACACTTTCCAGGAAAGTTTAGGACATTTTTCAAAGATGGCGACAAAATGGAAGTTATCTACTCGCACATACGAACAAAAGCTTGAAATGTGCCTTTGAATTCTAATCGAGCAAAGATTGAATTTCGGTCTTCGTCTAACTCGGACCTTCGCTTAACTCGGATAAAATTTGTCAGTCCACTTAGATCCGACTTATGTGAAGTTTACTGTACTTCATGTTTATTATTATAAGGAAGAACTTTAATGGAATTTAAAAATTTTCTGACATCAAATTAAGGACAATTTCATGATCAATTGAAGAACCCTACCGATTTTCAAAATTTTCGAATCGTAAATTTTGAATTCATTATGCCAAGTTATCTTTCCAGCCGTGTTTCGACTTTAAAAGCTTATGAATGGTTGACTCCCAACGTGGGATCATATCGGAAACAGTTTTCTGTAAATTCTACAATCAGTGACATCAAGGAAACATAAGAATATCAGCCTATAAAGCATGCTAAAATTCAATAAGCACTACAGCTGAAATATGTTCTCTTCTTAATGTAAGAATTCTATGCACATGTGACCACATCAGTCATAAGAACTGATCAAACTTTGATAGAACTTGAATCTACAAGACTTGGTTGATATTCTCTGTTTAAACCCTTCCAGATCCAAGGTCGAATATCTCCATTGTAATGTAATATTAGTAAATGGAAACTATATGTATCATCAGTATATATTTTTAGCAACTATATGGATATTCAGTAAATATTTTATTGTGCTACTTTGATTTAATGGATGTTACTCGGAGGAATGTTAAAATATAAGATATATATTGTTTTGGTTTGTTTTTACAGGATGGATGGCAGTATGTGAGTTGTCGTGGTTTTAATAATCATACTGATGATAATATTCTACCAGTAGGCCCTATACACCACTGAACAGTGTTCAATTTTCAAATAATATTTACCTGTACATTGATAAACTAACCCTCATAATTCTCACTGATTGATTAGGACGTAACAGTGTTAATTAACTATAAAAGATTAAAAAAAAACACTTAAAACTCTGATCCTACCTACTATCTCCTGAAAGTCCTGTACAAGGGTTCTAATTTCATAACCTCTTCCCAGGAGTTTGCATTCAAAATGCAGGATAGCACCTTTAATCTAGGGAATGTGGGCAATGTTTTTTTACTACCTCGAAAACCAGTATCCACCTTAAGCCAGCCTTTCAAACATGACTAGCTCATCAGGCAAGTTTCCTAGGAAACAGTCACCCTAGGTGGAAGTGGACATTAAGCCCTACAAACCCACCAACCACCTTAAACTGTGATAAGTTCTAATATTACCACAAGTTTCTACCAATAATCACACTACTTATATTCTAACCAGTAATATTTAAAGATCTTTTTTAAAGTAATCTAATATTTTTAATATGCTTTAAATGTTGAGTATGTGTTGAAAGTATAAATTTGTCGTTATGTAATAAACCTTCCTAGCTGTTACTTGACTATACATGTATAGAAATAATATGTGTATACTGAATGAGTATTATTGATGTAAATTAGCATACTGATGTTTACTATATTAGTAATGTGTAATAAGTAAATGTATTTTATCAACTTCCTGAGAGAGTCACTCTGTTAATTATATTTCATTACCCCAATGTCAGGAGTTTGTCTTCCTTGAGAGGTGATGTGTCTTCAGTAGCTGTTCTTTATACAGAATGTTAGTGCTAAATTGAATTTACTTGGCACTATTAGAATTCCTTTAATCAAACTCAACATTCCAAATGTAATACTCACTATTATGTAGTGTCAAGTATGTTGACGTGTACCTTGTATGTTCTATAATACAATAATCAACAGATTTGTTCTTGTTATCATATCATATGCTTTAAATTGTTTATAGTATTGTAATATTTCAAATTCTTGACTTTCATTGAAATTATTTGCCATAAACCTCTAAATCACTCAGTTTACATTCCATAATTTACGATAAAGCATTTATAGATTTTCATCTTAAAATCTATTCAGTTTATATTTTTTGGAGTAAAAACAAGATGCTTTATCAATTGAAACAGTGAAGGAATAATCAATTTTATTGTATAACTACATGCAAATACAAGCAAAAATCATTGAATACGGCCATTGAATACAGCCATTGAATAACCTATAGTTGTATTCAATGGCCATTGAATAACCTATAGTTGTATTCAATGGCTTGAAAACGTACTACTTTTGTCCATAATGACGTCACTTACAGAACTATGTCAAACTGTAATGACGTCACAACTAGGCAACCACAATTTTTGTAAAAAAGAAAAAAAAAAGGGCGGAACCTATGATGAATTTTAACGTTAGTGGTGATGATTTTTTATGATAATCTAGATAGTACAGTGTATTTTAAGATTTGCATGTAGTTATAGAATAAAAACAGAACTCAATGACCATTGAATACCGCTCAGGTTATTCAATGGTTCACTCGAGTGTATCCCTGCCGCATTCCACTCGCTTTCGCTCGTGGAATACTTGCGCAGGGATACACTCTCTTGAACCATTGAATAACCCGAGCGGTATTCAATGGTCATTGAGTTCTATCTATATATTGTCAACCATCAAAATGTGACCAAAGCATTTACAGATTTTCATCTTAAAATCTATTCAGTTTTTATTTTTTGGAGTAAAATTGAATGACGATGGAAATAACCATAATGTCTAACCTTAAAAATGTAACCAATCTGACACACAAAATTAAGAGATAAGAGATCTTATATATATGTATTAAATTAAATGTTATTATACATTAGGTCACACCAATTTGAAATTTTGTTCTCAAGGACAACCTATTAAAACTTTACTGCTAATTTCTTGAGGGAAAAATATAATTGAAAAACAAAAAGTACTTGGTTGCTCTTTTTAGAATATTTTAGCTCCAAATTTGTAGGTTTGAAATTTAAAGAAAGGTTTGTTACTTATCCGGCCAAGTAGTAATTGAAGAATTACTATTGCTTCAATCTGTAAATTGTGTACAACTTATTGATTTTAGAAGGATCCTACCACAAAAAATAGCTTCAATCTGTAAATTGTGTACAACTTATATTGATTTCAGCTTGAACCTACCACAAGACAGTGATATTTTGCCAAAAGCAGATTTTGTTAAATGTTTATCAAGATATTTAAAACTTTGTTATGGTCTTATTTATTTGTTATTTGAATTGTTAGTGTGTTTTGAGTAAATTTTCTATATATGTGATACTTGAAATTAGTGCTATTATTGTACTTGACTTGTGCAACATCTAATTTCGTTGCTCAAAACAAGATTGAGAGCTTAAAGTACAACTTATCACAGACCAATTATAAACCTACAAGTTGCCGACTAGGAATATCTATATTCTAATTGATGGCTGATAATTTGGGCTTGCCTTATTTAATTCATTGTTGACTTATTTGGGTTCAGTGCATGGCTGTTTCCTTAGAGCAATATACCTTTAAAATAAATGTAATTCATCAATTTTTGAAGACTAATGTTGTTTTTTTTTCTTTGGTATACATATTGCCTTTATGACTCTTACAGCGATGGAATTTCAAAAATTTTCTTGTCGGACATTTTCTGAAAATAATGGGGCATAACTCTTATCGTTATTTAAGCAAACGATTTCATACCATAATTAAAAATCACATGCCAACAAAGTGTTCAAATACCGTACGTAATAAAAATAGGTGTACCTCACTATTTTTCATATTTAATTCCTTCACAGTATTCAAATTTATGTCAGTAACATTCCTACAAAATTAAGCATTTTCGTAATACATTGAATGAAAGCTTGTCGATCCTGCTCCGGCATCAAATTCACAACCGTAATATTCCTTCAAACTTACGTGTCTTCGTAATGAATGCAGAACTTCCCAAATAAGAATAGTGTGTGATGTCAGAACATCGTTTTCTTCTTTATAAAATGTCAACCAAACATTCAAATCTGTGGTAATAAAAATAGGAAAACCTCGCTATTTTTCATATTTAAATCTCGTATGGTATTCGAATTTATGTCAGTAATATTCCTATAAAATTGCGTGTTTTCGTAATACGATAGAATGAAAGCTTGCCGATCCGCACTTGCTTCAAACCCACGCCAGTAATATATTCCTCCAAAATTTACATGTCTTGGTTTATACGGCAGCAAATGAAAGAAGGGCGTTTGAAATGATAATACTTGTGGTGATGTCAAGACACCATTTTCTTCTTTATAAATCAGTATTTTGAAATTACATTGATAGTTAAGTCACTCGTAAAAAGACAGAGCTAACTTTCAGCGTATGAGGTATGTGAATCATAGCACATAGCTTCATAGTAAGCACTGCCTCCTATGTTAAAGATACATTATGGGAGATTAAATAAAGAGCTGGCAGTTCTCGCTATAATAGTTTAAAACTAGATAATGTAAGAGGGAATTTGCTGAAAATTTCAGTCAAATTGATCCACTCTGAATCGAGATTTTAGCGATTGAATTTTCGACCTAGCCTCGATCATCATTACTAAAGTCAGTAGCCTACGATAAAAACATAGTCTCGATTATCCACTTCATGATTAATTCAAGAATAAAAGTGGAGCAGCTAATGGTATCCTAATCCAGTAAACATCGCAGGTTAGTTGATTATGGTCTGGATAAGTTAATTAATGTCTAATTAATAATTTAGATAACATTTCAGGTCTAAAGAAAGACCTGCAATAGGCAGATTTAGCTCTTGCGCAGTGTATAATTAAGCAATTTTCGTGCAGAAATCGAGGTCGCGGGAAAGGGCCACTGTGGATGAGAATTTCTATATGAAGTCTTAAAAGACGTAAAAGATATCGCAGACAAAATGACTGTTCATTGATTTAGGAAGTTATATGTGACATCTATGACTAGTTTATACGTGCTGTCGGTTGATGCATGCTGTGATTAAAATGTCAGACAATAGAGAAACCATGCGGTAAACACGTAGATTAAAATTATAACCACTCTTATTGGATTGATGAATAGTCGGACAAAAGGGAGAGAGAGGAATGTATGTTTAACCTTTGAAGTCACTCTATATTTATAGACTTTGTATGTCAGAGTAAAACATTAACCGAGACATCAGATGTGTATGTATAAGAGGGTTTACTGAAAGTGTCTCAGAAGAATCTAAAATGTTAAGACTTTGGTACCCACCAGGGTCGACAAGTAGATTATGCCTGTACATTCAGGCAGTACTAAAAACTGAGGTCATTGTTCACAATTGTCAATCACCAATCCCAAGAAATTTGAAGCCCCCCCACCCCCCAACAACATTTAGAGTGTATAAGGTTTTATTGACAGAGGCAATAACTCCCAGCAACATCAGTAAGCGGCTCTGAATTTCAACATCTTTCTTCCTGATCACTAGTCTAACAAACCCAACAAGTCCACATAGGATCTGTGCACAATTCTGAATTCCAACCTGTTCTTCCATAGCCAAACAATCCCAGCAAAACTCTGACCTCCTGAGTATTTACAAGAAATGTGAATGGACCAACAAACCCACCAAAGGGGTGACAACAACATAAAACCATGTGAATGTGGGGTTATAATAAATAACAAAATACAGTACATTGATTTATTCCTAGTTCTTTACATCAACAGCATAATAATAATATGTATTTTATATCACAATCGCCAGCAATTTTTATCAATAATTTATTAATGACTACTTTTTAGCACCTTTGGATTTGAATTTTTTCTTGAAGGAGTCCTTTCCCTTTTGTTTCTTCTGCTTCTTTTTATTTTTGCCTTTAAGCTTTTTGTCAGTGTAAAGATATAATTTATCATTAACATTTGCTGATTTTCCAGCAGAGTTCACAAATGAAGATTGCTGATGAAATAATTTGTTCTTATTTTTCTCTATTTTGGCGTTTCTTATATCACTCTTTCCTTTTTTCCCCTTTTTATACGATTTCATGATACTTCTAAAGTTCTTCAGTGGGTCAAGGCTTAAATAGTCTTGTGCCAATTTGACTTTTCCCTTATTTTTCTTATCTTTTTTCCCTGAACCTTTTTCTGAAAAAAGAAGTTATGATAAGATATTCTGATTTGGCCATACAGTTTACGTAGCTGATCGTATACACGTTTTAAATTCTAATTTATGAGTCGTACAGTACAAATTTTCTAGTGGTTTTCAATAACTTAAATTAGATGCTCCTGAAAACATACTAAACTTTAAACAAGTTAAAGCTTGAATACTTGATAATTAAGCGAGTCTATATCTGGTTGGTGAGAGTGATTAATGCCCCTTAAATAACTTGAGGTCAGGTCAATCCTTGCAATAAAATTGCGATAGATTGCAAAAAAATGGGCATCAAGCTCTCCATTCATTGAAAAAGCAACTTTCTGATTGGATAATAACCTAACTAGTGTGAAGGAATCTGTCTGATGGGACACAGAACATACTATGATACTCACTACTACTGGTATTACTCCTACTACTATTGTTAATAAGCTGTATTTTTCTCTTTTTATAAAATGGCTCATATATACTATCATCTTCATCATCAAAATATTTTTTAGTTGATGTCTTGGGTTTCCTGTCTAAACCATTATCTTTTAAGGGTTTATAGGATAATATAAATGGATAAGTTATCTGGGCATGATTTGACATCGGTGCTCGATTACATTCCTGAAAAGATCATATAGTATAATATAAATGGATAAGTTATCTGGGCATGAGTTGACATCGGTGCTCGATTACATTCCTGAAAAGATCATATAGGATAATATAAATGGATAAGTTATCTGGCCATGATTTGACATTGGTGCTCGATTACATTCCTGAAAAGATCATATCACAATTTACAACTTAAAGTGAAGTTGTTAAAGCCCCAACATGCCAGAAATATATGTGATTTAATTGACAGATTAGCTTATAAACAAAATGGATAAAAGGGGGATAAGTCAGCTTATAAACAAAATGGATAAAAGGGGGATAAGTCAGCTTTTAATATGTGGTTAAAATACGACATGCTAATTATTGTCTGGATAGCAAATGAATGAAGACAACCAAAGTGTGCTACTATCAGCCTTCATTTATAAACGGCAATGACTGCAATGTTTGTGTGAAAGTAAATTTTTACTAAAATGACCTTGAGGAATCAAAAAGAAAAACTTGTGATATCAAACTTTGAATTGAGAACTTACATAACCAAAATGCTTATTACTTCCACAGTTACAACAAAACTTTTTAGGATTCTTTCTAATTGGTTGTTTGACAGGATCACAAACTGTAGTCTGTAATAAAAAAAAAGGGTTTGATAAATGCAAAATTTTATACAATATATCAAATCAAACATCAGTTTGTGAAAACCTCGTCCTGCTAACTTTAGTTAGCTCTGAGGTGTATCGTAGCAATGTCTAAAACAACAATACCACTTCTCATTTGAGAAATTCCCACATCTAACAAACATTTGTTGTCCTTTTATAATAAATCCATGGCCAAACTATTGTACTGCAGCAGTGTATATTTACGCTTTCTACAACATCTGATAATTCACCTCATTTAACTTTAATAGTACACATTTATGTCTATTTTCATATTAATAACCAAACCACACAAATATAAGTAGCACTGATGGTTTGATAAGTAATTGGAAACCATATATAGTTCTAAAATCTAAACATAAACCTACATAATCAGATGGGTGACTAAGATTGGTGTCTTGGTTCCAGAACTAAAATCTTGAATTTAATGATAAGTCAACTTAGTACAGAGTTAAATCTAATATTGTAAAATAATGACTTACTGTTAGATGGAAGCGTCTCCATAAATCTGGACAGTTCTGTAATAGAAATATCGAGATGAAAATTAATTCTAATTTCTAAATTTAGAAATCACATTTTTTGGATAATCTATCTGGTTAAAACAGTACATCAAAAGATGGTAAGCATTTAATTTTATGGATTTTGCAGGTTTGAGATTTTGTATTAATAGCTAAAACCAGCGGCTGCCTGGCAGGATACGCCCACATTTTGCAAGAGATGGATAGAGAACAAGCTAAAAACACGACTTTTCGTACAATCAAGGGCCATAATTCAGAAAGTTGCATTCTGATATGCGCAGATATCGACAGGAACCAAGACCTTTGGGTTATAAAGATATATTTCAAGTTCCACTAAAATCGGATCAAGAATGTGACTTCTAGATGGTCCACAACCTTGATATACCATATATTTACACTATTTGCATACAAGGGGCAGCCTTTTTGTCTGGCAGTTTTGGTCCGATTTTCACGAAATTAGAACTCAGCCGTCATTAGGGTGTAACGGTGAAATACCCAAAAAAAATTTTCCAATCGGGTAAAAATTGTGACCTGTAGGGACCACAAACTAAAAACGTGATTTTTCGTACAATCAAGGGCCGATCTGATATGCGCGAATATCAAAAGCAACCAAGATCTTTGGGTTATAATCATGTATTTCAAGTTTCCTCAAAATCAGATCAAAATTGTTGCCTCTAGAGGTTCCACAACCTTGATATACCATATATACACTATTTGCGTACGAGGGGTGGCCATTTTGTCCAGCAGTTTTAGTCCAGACTTTCACGAAATTCGAACTCAACCATCATTAGGGTGTGACAGTGATATATTCAAATGTTTTTATAAATCGGATAAGAATTGTGACCTCTAGAGGGACCACAAGCTAAAACGCAATTTTTCATAAATCAGGGCCCATAATTCGGGCAGTTATAATCTGATATGCACGAATATCAACAGAAACCAAGATCTTTGGGCAAATATCGAAAGGAACCAAGATCTTTGGGTTATAAACATGCATTTCAAGTGTCATCAAAATTGTGACCTCTACAGTGTCCACAAGCTAAAAATGTGATTTTTTTGTACAATCAGGGGCCATAATCTATAAAGTTATGGTCATATATATGCAAATATCGAAAGGAACCGAGATCTTTGGGAGATAGACCTAAATTTTAAGTTTCGTCAAAATCGAATAAAAATTGTGACCTGTAGTGCGCCCACAAACAAATTGTGGACTTCCGGACGGACAGGGTCGACGACATTATACGTTCACATGAAAATGTGGGCGTGTAAAAAATTGAAGAATAGTCTACAGATCATTATTCATAAACCATATCATTAGTTATTCATAACCTACTTGTACTTTCACTGATACAAATGAATAAGTACTTGGTGACACAAAACTATACATACCTCTGCTTGATGACCTGGCATTTCACATCTAGTACATAATTTAAACCATTTATATTGTGGATCTTTACAGTCCGTAGCAACATGTCCTGGTTTAGAACAGTTATAACATATAGGTTGTGTACAAGCTTGACTCATATGATCTCTTTGACCACATAAATAACATACTATCACCTAAAATATACAGTTATATAAAGATATATTACTTGGATGTGCATCCTTCTATTCATAGAAAAGCTGCTTAGAAACTACATTTGTTGATGAAAACAAATATATTACAACTTATAAATGGGAAATCCTATTTAATTTCAAATCTAAAAACAACAACATTACAAACGAGCAGAGGTGTCACTAAGTGATAGACAAGTGTTGGTAGCATATAGGATATTGACATCATTTGTCAGATGACCACCGTCAAGACCTGTCTTAACACTTTCACTTGCTACTCAAACAGTCTATTCAAGGGTTATTTCACATGTACACCATCATGTATACAGGACCTCAGTTTTCTGTTTGCGACTAGACACTGTTCTTTGCTAGGCTCTCCGCTAACTGGAAAATCCAGTGTACTTTTTTTGGCTAACACTGGGATTAAACCTGTTATTCACTAATCCACTGTGTACACTACTGTGTACAATACATGTAGATATTGTACTACAAATTTAATTATTCATGAATAATCCCAGAAGATTTGGTTAATTCTGGCAAACAAAGCACCATTATTGTTTATTTCTCCTTTTTGTTAAAGGAAAGATTATAGAGACTTACCCTGGGTTTAGGACAGTCTCTTGATAAATGACCCTTTTCTCTACAATTTTTACATCTAACATTTTTAACAGCATCATATTTATAATATCTGAACACTTCTGGTCGTGATCCTAATATATCTTGTTCACTGACTTGCCATTTATTGATATCTAAAAAAAATTCAAACTGAATTTAGCAATCAGTACAACAAAATGTTTTCTACAAGTACAAGAAACTTAACATTGAAATCTGATTTTACTGTTCGAATGTTTGAATGTTCAAATTGATTTTATTGAATTTATATTTTTTAATTGAGACCAAAAATCCAGATCAAATTACATTAGTTTTAATTGATACTGAATAACAAATACCCAAATATCAATATGAATAAAAGTAAAGAACTACCCAAATGTGAATTATGTGACCACAAGTTTTACCTTTATTAAATATTTGTATTCGTTTTATAGAAAAATAAATTAATCAAACTGTAATTCACAAAATAATATTTACGATTTATCATGTTTTTAGTCATATTTGAATAGATTGAATTTTAATCCAGAATCTATTTACCGTTTTGCTCATCACTTTCCGAGGAGAGACCAGAATTAATGGCAATGACATCATCGATATCAGCATCGCTAGGATCATCAATATTAAGTTTTATATCTGTCTCTACTCGATCTCGGCCGAATGTTTTACTACACATACTTGAACTATCTGAATCCGAATCACTTGCATACATGAAACTACTAGACATTTCATCTTCGCTTGCTGACGACACTTCCTCTTCATCACTCTCACTTTCAGACTTTTCTACATCACTTAGCACTATGACTTTCTTATTTTTATTCTTCTGAGATGCACTACTAGAATTCAGAATATTCTTTAAACCAGTAATTAATTGATGACTTTTAATACTTCTGGCATTAACTGATGTTTTTAGTGAGTACTTGGAATCTTCTTTTTCATTATAATTATTCTTAGATTTTAGTGACTGATTATGAACCTTTTTTGCATCCTTAATTTTTTTAGTTGGGGTTAGCTTATTCACAGAGGCTACTTTTAATTTTGAGAGAGTTTCTTTCACCAGAACTTTTCCTTTGCGATTATTTGGCTTCTCAACAGGCAATATATTTTTCTCATCAGAAAGAATTTCTAGGGGAACTTTGGTCTTAATTGGAAAATTATCTATATTTTTGTCAGTCGATGAAGAAGGACTTATATCTACATTAAATATATCTTTGTTTACTGTTGGAATGTAAACTGGATAATTGGTATGGTCACTTATTTCATTTTCTAAATTCCAATCATCATGCTGTTCAAAATGTATTTGACTATACAATGCATGTTCAAGTTCTTCTCTGTCTGAATCATTTAAACTATCAATGTCATATGTTCTATAACTACTAGCATCAGGGCCACCATCATCTTCTGAATCGGCAAACATTCTGGCAGATAACCTTATCCTAGTAAAGTAAACAAAACACAAATTAATGAAGATAAGCTTATCAAAGAAGTAGGCAGCTACAAATTCTACATGTTTTTATCAGATCAGCATTTAACATACTGTATATAAAATTCATGTAAAATAAATTTGGTTTTGCCTTAGTTATATGGCAGAGTTGCGTAAAGTATATTCAGATTTCAATGGCTTCCGCAAAGCCGTTTAGCAGAAGGGAATATATTTTTAACTGCATGTTGTGTCGCATATACGGTACCGACTTAATAGTAAATAAGGTCTTATTTTCTCTCTAAAATGTTCCTTTACATCATACAGGCATTCACAGACACAGAGACTGACACGCGACCGTTTAGCAGTAAAAAGTTACCCAGTAAAATTGACCGAGGGCCGAAACTTTTTTGACAAGAATTCAATAGGCTAATATAGGGCGGTTCCTGAACGTACAGGGCAAGTGATTATATATAATGAGACCTACGTTCAGAGAGAGAGAGATGCATAGATGGGCTTTAAATGTCCACTCAACACAAACTAGGTCATTTCGGGAGTAACATATGGTTCAAGTTTATTTCAATAATTCGCTGGAGGAAACTGGATGACCAGGAGAAAACCCACGAGCTGAACTACATTGGAATTAGCTACAATATGTAGCGTTAAACTGCGTTTAGTGGCTGGAGTAAGGCGGAAGACATCAGACATCAGTAGTGAGACCATTTCTACATTGTAATTTGCGATGGCTGTGACAGCGGCTATTAATAATGTAAAACACGATCAGACCAGTCAGGCACAACTGCTAGCACAGCTACATGATCATCATGTAGTCAGTAGATTAGATTAATAATAATACCCAGTGAAATCTGGTTTACTTACTTATACCTTTATTTAGCAGTAACATTAACTGATTCTGAGCGAATAAAGCATATATTATTATTTTCATTGCCATGGAGTAATCTGACTTTCGATCGTGAACACGTGAAACTCCAAAACAAAACAAGAGGAATCGGAAATACTCTTCTTTCCTTAATTTCTGAAGATCTTTCAAGGGAGTTAAAAATTGTTAGACACCATAGAGCTATATATTAGACACACACACATTTAATAACACAACTTTATGGATTTACTTCTTCTTAGTTTATTACATGCAACGTTGCAATACTCTTACGGGTATCAATATCTGTAAGAGTATTGAAACGTTGCATGTAATAAACTAAGAAGTAGTAAATCCATAAAGTTGTGTTATTATGAATATTATACCTCTACTTCTAAATCATTCAAGGAACGCACATATAGGGATCAGACCACAGCTCTTAGTTATATTTAGAACGGATACTGACTGAACAGAAAAGATTTTAATTTCATTTAAAAAGTAGCATTGTTCTCAGTAACAAAGATTGACTTATATACACATTTCTATTAGAGCCTGTAAGCCCTTATTGTATCTTTGAAATTAATCTATTTAACTTTCAATAAGAAAATAACCTAATAAGTTTTAATACTGTGTAGGTCTACTGATAAAAATAGCCATAGTCCCACCTCATTATAGAAAACTGTAGTACTAAAAAGTGTACGCATAGCTGCTACCACTTTTTAAACTCCTTGAAAAAAAAATTGAAATGTGTAGACAGTAGACCTACCAGCATGAATTGTTAAAAAAATATATATTGGGGTCTTTGATTGAACTGTTCTCCCCTACAACTGTTGCTGGGGTGATGTTCATAATGATCTTTCTGAAAAATAATTTGATAAAGATGCCAAAACTGCATGATCAAATCAATTGATATTAGTAGTTACATTCTTAATGATCAGTGGCTCTGTAATGTTTGAGGCATGGCAAGGGACATGCAGATTTTGATAAAGGATTTTTCAAGCCAGTAACTATAGGCTACTAACATGTCAATCGTAATGAAATGGCAACTGTCCGTAGAAATGAAATAGGGTTTACTGTACCGACTGCACTTAGGAAGATGGACGGTGTGCTACAAGAAAAAATATGCCCTAACGTAATGGCTTACTCTTATTTCCAATTCCAACTGCTAAAAGGTCTTTTACATGCATGCCAATGTGTACACTGGACCTCGATTTTTTTTTTTGGCCCATCCAAAAACTACTAGACACTGTTCCCTGCCTGACATGGGGAAACCACGCTGGGAAATCCAGAGGAAAATTCTATGCTAAATCTGGGAGCAAACCAAAGACCTTCGGGTTCGAAATCTCGCACCTTTTCACTGAGCCACCACCTACGACTCCATGAATAACAAAACATAAGACGCTAGACTATAACTAATTTAGTACTGTGGCTCATTTATTTTAGGAACACCATATAAAAATGTTTGAGTTAATGATGGTTATAATGTAACAGCATCTCTTGAAAACAAAACAAACATTTAGTGGATTACACACTACACTATACACAAAATCACATAATTAAAACAGACATAATTTCTTAAGGAAACCTGAGAAATCATTTTGCATTGTGTACTTTTCAAGAGCTACATTATACCTTGATACTTTCAATTTTTTTTTAATAATATGTGATATTTCTTGAGATCAACAGTATAAAAGGGTGTTGAGCTTCTGATCAGTTGCACTGCAAAAATTTATCTAATTAATAAAGAAATGTGCTAGAAGAATATCTTAATACAATTGGGTGCATTAGCATTACTTATACTCTGGTGAACACTACACTAGACATTACTGTAGGTTTCTTATTCATAATCAGCTATTTTACAAAACAAAAATAATTATTAATGAATTTCATATTTAGAGAACTAGTATACCTATGAACTTTGACAGACCTATATGCATTTTCTTTGAAGCAGCTACGGCCTATCACTAAAATCTTTGATTGAGCTTGCATAAATCAGTATAAATTACATATGATGTAAATGATCATAGAAAATTGCAAAGTGAAAAAAAATCTAATAAAAGCTTTTATTTTAAAAAAATATAATTTCAAAAAAACAGATCAGAAATCTTGTAAAGTATATTACTATATAAAATCTTTAACAAATCTACATAGCTATAAAATTATTAATTTAAAATAAAGTTTCTCATATTTACAATTTGTGATTTTAGGATTAGGTCTATCTACCACTACACACACATTTCAATTCTAGGGTAAAAATTGGTAGTAAGTCCCAAGGCACAAGCAACAGTATTGTATAGATAAATTAAACAGGGTTCTAATTATAAATTATATACATTGAACAAACAAGGGTATAATCTAATACTGTATTAGTTAAGTAAATACCTTGTAATAAATTAAGATATAGTTAAACTGAATCAATATTTTGACAATAAATCAATTGTAATAAACAATACATGATTAATATAATTAGTATTACTCTAAGCAGTCTTATCTGTACTTTATTTAATGAGCACTATATGCATGCCACAAACTATATATAGACTACCTATAAAACAATTGACACAAATTAATTAAAGATACATTATGTATGATTTAGAGAAATAGCTGTCTGTTTTTGCTATAATAGTTCAAAAATAGATAATGAAAAATGAATATATTGAAAATTTCAGTGAAGTTATGGATGTTTGAAATTTTGACAAAAGGCAGTCATACTTGGCAGATGGAAACTTCGCTCGCATTTCATATCCTCGATTGTCAAATACAATTGCCTTAATAATAAACAAAGTGTCGACTGCCAGTCTTTCATCTACAGTCGCCACCCATATTAGTGTTTAACACTGAATTAGCAGGTACTGTTTAATTCACACAATATCTTATCCATCTGATGGTTTAGAGAGTTGATTATGGGCTTGTCATGTAAATAAATGTCTCAATAATAATTTATAAAACATTTGAAATCAGAAAAATGCACAGCAATATGCAAGTTCAGCGCTCGCATATAATGCCTCTTTAATATACAATATTAGAGTTGAACACAAATAATAATAGGTGATTCATAGATTTATGCATACTTTGTAATAAATAAAATATTTCTCTTCTTAATTCTGCTATATTTTACCCATTGCATGATTCACTATAAGTAAGTACTGCTTTTTGATATTTATATAATTAAAACAGCACAAAATACATCGCCTGCATGGTATTTAACATGTAATCTTTATGTACTTGTTTTTTTTTGTAGTTTTATTCTGTTTGAATTTGAACACATCTGTTTATTACCCTATGTCTTTATTATGAAAAATATCAAATGGGACTCTACTAACATAACTATCAAAGGATTCCAAATGCAAATGGTAAAGTTCCCCTTTAAGCTTTTTTAATTTATAATACTAAAAGAAAAATTTTAAGTTGATGATAATACATGAGGGTGATATGTAAACCAGCTCACTACACAACAAAAACTGTTTCATACATGTAAAACCCTAACACATGTATTTTACGATACTCAGATTTAAGATATGGGTTGGTGGGTCACATAATATGGTCTGGTGGCATTTTGATAGTATGTAAATATAAACACAATGAGTATTCATTTAAAAACAAAACAAGATATATATATATAATATATTTCAGTTAAAAATTACTGTATGTTGAGTTTCTTTTAATTGATACACCCATATTCTCGCAGAAATCTGAGGTAAATGGAATGCAATTAAAATACTGACAAGCCCCACAATCACGGATCGGAATGATGTACAATAATATAATTAAAAGAACATATAATATTAATGTTACACACAACGATATTACAATTCCAATAATTTTTCGTTTCCGGTCAAATTTTCCAAATGACAGATAAGGCATAAACACAAAGGCAATTAAAAGTCCAAAAATAAAACCAAACAGGTGAGCCCAGTTATCAAACCAGGGTAGAAGTCCAAATATAAACAAAAATAACACAGGAATAAGTAGCCTCAGTAAAGCAACAAATGGTCGTTTATACATCTGCCAACTTTGAAAAACTTCCACAAACAAGCAAGCCAGAATACCAAACTGTGATCCAGAAGGCCCAGCCTACAATAGACAAATTAAACAAAATTGAAATAAACTGCAGCATGTTTAGGCATTAGGGTTACATAGTTATATAATTTTCAGATTATATGTACTGTAATCTGGAGTTGAGAAATATTCTTGCCAGGGGAAGCAACATTACACACAATATGGCTCTCAAAATGAAATTATCAAATGCATGACATATATTATATATATGGTAATTTAATTTTCTATGATTTTATGTAGTCTACAGTTGGTTAAGATTTTGGCCCTAGCAGCTTGCACAGGGTTGATATTCAAGGTATTAGATGTTGTAATAGTTCTTTTGGATTGAATACTGTTACTGATAAATCTTTTGAGAAAGAAATGAATAACTTTAACAAAATGAAAAAAATTCCTGTGGTAGGTTACTGTTAATTACTCATCTATAAGTTGTCTTCTTACCTCAACTTGATAAGGTAGAAATATACTACTGGCTAGATTACCAGCAATACCACTACCTAAATAAACAAATGCTATTCTGATAGCTCCAGATAACTTCTCTACATCTCTCATTATAAACCATTGAAATATTATAGTTATAATTAGATGAAACAAACTGAAATATAGAAAATAAACTGATTGGTCTTGAAGTATGTAAATCAGATTTTAGATTAAATAACTATCGTATTAGATAACTCGGTCATCATCATACCAAGCTTTTGACTATGTTTTAGAGGGTACAGGGGTAAGCACTCTCTGTTGGTAATCTACAGTCAAATATCAGAAGTGTACAGGTACATATATAAATGTAACATATCTAGCAAATAGTGTCATGCATTCTGATTATGCCACCAGGTTCAGTTTTTCATTTATGAATAATGATGCAAGTCTGCAAGATATGCTCTGGAATGTTATTTAAATTCCAAACACAAAGTCAAATTTGTTTCTATCCCTCTAACAATTTCTTACAGCAATGCAATAGTCTGTGTTTCTGGAGGTATCATCTGGAAACAAAACCGAGACTGAACTGACCTAATATTCGTGTTCAAAAGTCTCAATCAATCAAAATTGTTTGTATCTGCTTAGACTTAGTGGAAAATGCACATGATCGAACACTGTCAAGGCATGACCTAATATCATAAACACTTACACCAAGTTTGAACATTTTACCTCAATTAAAAGGAGTGTTAATGTGTTCCAAAGCCTGAACTAATCAAATTACTTATCGCTCTGTTTACAATGAGCAGAAAATTGCCATTATTGAACTTAGTCAAGGTATTGATGTGATGAAACTATACACCAAGTTTCATTAGAATCAAACTTATCAATCAATCAAAATGTTTATCTCTGCTTAGCCTAAGATGAAAATGCTTATCCTCCATCATGACATTCGACTAATATGAGTTATGCGCCCCTTGTGGCTGCAACTGGGTTACTTTGCTCGGAATGGAAAGATCTTTCTTTTTATTTCCTGAACTGTGATATCTAAAACTTGTTTATAGTTTAAATAAGAACTATGTGATTACTGTGTGAAAAAGCTGGAAGATATTTAGGAGTATTTATGGATTATGATGTTTTCAAGTTTTTGGATAGAAAATTTCAGTTTGTGCTATTTTTAGTATCTGCTTTGTCAGTGTCAATACCAAGCTGAACTGTAATCAGATTTGTGAACTGTCAAGACTAAATACTATTCAGATAAACAACAGAGTAAACAATGTTATAATTTTAACTTGAAGTCGAGTATAATCACCTACGTAGGTCAGGAATTAGACTATTTTCTCACTGTGCTTTGGGCATATTTTAGGATGGATTTAGAGCTCTACAAATGTACATCATTTATTTATTTATAAACACCTACACCAAGTTTGAGCATTCCAGCTCAATTAAGAGGAGAGTTATTGTGTTCCAAATCTGCGACCAATCAATTTATCGCTCTGCTTACCCTGAGCAGAAAATGCTCATTATCAAACTTAGTCAAGGTATAGATATAATAAAACTATTCACCAAGTTTCATCTCTCTCACTTAATTGCTTATCTCTGCTTAGCCTAAAATGAAAATGCTCATCTTCGAACTCCATCAAGGCATTCACCTAATAAACACCTATGCCAAGTTTGAACATTCTAGCTATCTTAGAAGGAAAGTTACTGTGTCCGAAAAAGTGTGACATAGGGACAAACATAATACTTTATGCAAGTATGATGTATGTGAGATTGATGTAAGGAATATAAAAGTACATATTACCCGCCATGTAAAAATAGTGATGTCCATAACCTGTAAACTTGATCTGGCAGGCCTTTATTATAGAAAGTGATCATACCACATATCTGACTTAAACAATCCACCTGTAGAAAAAAAAAACAAATTATGAACAGGTAATAAACATTATCACAAACCATATTGCTTTATTAAAAAATTGTTTATAATGCTTTCGTCGAGTGAAAGCTACATGAATACATTGATTAACTCACAAGCAGTTCGATTTAAAGCAATTTCAATTTGCTAAGACATCCAAGGTGTAACATAACCTGAGATAAAGATATATCTACATGACCTTGCTACAAAGCTATACAAGATGAAGTTAAAGAGCTTCTAATAAGATATAAGTATGAATTTTCCTAGATGCACATAAAATCAATGTTTCAAAATTTCAATTTTAAGCAAGTCTAAAGTACCATATATATTTATTTGTGAAACTTACCTGAGAACATAGGAGTTTATCGTCATGGTAATAACCTCTTATAAGGTCACAGTGCTCTCTAGTAGTTATAATACATTCTCCTTGTATCCCATGACAACATGGATGACCGACAATTTCACATGACATATGTTGAATTTCAGTGCTGGCCAATGATACATTAGGTGTGTTAACTTCCTCACAAATCTTTGAAAGTAAAAAAAAATCATACTCTAGATGAAAATTTCTTGGTAAAGTACACAAAGAATTAGGGCAATAACAAGTTTCTATTTGCAGTTAAATATATGTTTTTCCAGATATTTATAATTATTTAGATTTAAGACTTAATTCAGGTTCTATCAGAATATTTGGAAATTAAAAATCAGGAACAGAAACATTAGAATGATGTGATAAAGAGTAGATTATAACGTACCGGCCACTTTGTGATATCATCTGGCCATAAAAATGGTTCCACTGATACAGGTTTAGCACAGTATCTGAAAATATACAGAAAACAATATGTCAATATTATCCATAGGGTTCTAACTCAATATAGTCCAGACTCTATGATATTACAAACACAAATTATTGGTCCATCCAATCAATAGTGATGTTGTTACCTTACCGTGAAAACATGAGCTCCTGATATCCAATATTTAAGACACAGTGAACAATTTGAAAGATTCAGTACACGCCGGCATCTACACAATGCGATTTGAAATGAGGCACTTTGATGTATGAGGAGGATAAACGTCAGTAGGTAATCAAAATTTCAAACCAAACTTCTGATGTGTGGTATCCAATTAAACAGCATGACCCCGTGAATATTTTAGGCCATAATTTATGAAGGTTAAGATCAATTATTAGTTTAACACAGCCAAAATTCAATGTTGGACTGTGCCTGCAGCCGAACTGTTTTACTGCAATTAACGGTTAACAGGAGGTAAGTTAATACAAGTAATGGATGATGTAAGTTAGCGGGAAAGCATGCAAGAAAGGAAGATGGCGATTCTGCAGATCTTGGGGCCCCAGACGAAGCCAGGTATCAAGCTAGTATTACATAAATATAAGCTTTTTGATCCATTTTGGGTTCAAAAGAATATAATTAGCGCCTTTAAAATCAACATTAACAGATTCATACTTTTGAAATAACAATTTTGGTCTTGGTAAAACATATAAATAAGTCAACTTATAATTAGACCAATGGTCTGAGTAAAGATAATAAAATATAATAACCTAGGATCTTGACCACAAACTGTCCCTGATGTACGATTATCTGGTCCAGGATTACCATCTACATATGACCACTTCTCAAAGGTAGATAAAATTGACTAAAAGAAGAAACAATTTTATAGCATATTACTTTCTAGCAAAAAGTGATAAAATTCTTTTGTCCATAGCAACAATAAAATAGGAATCAGAAATCAGATCTCGATGGAATCCATAACAATTGACAGCTAACTCATCACCTAATAATGACACACCCTACCAATTCAAGCTTAATTTTCTTAAGAATACCTTGCAATATAAAATCAACCACTGAACAGAAAGTTCAGACCTTACAGTTTCAGTCTTTATATGGTTTGTGGGAAAGGAAAACAAATCAAATTTAAAAGAAATCAAAGTATTAATAATGTGATGTCTTAAGACAGTCTAGATGAAATCTTTAACTTGTAATACTTGCATTTCACAGGTGCTGATAAAAATTGTGTTTAAAGGCTGAAAATTGTTTTTCATACACAACAAATACAATATAATGTTTTGAATAATAAAATATATCTTACTGAGCAGCGACTTTTAGTCATTTGAGCACAGCCAGAACCATCATTTCTTACACAGCAAGCAGAATTTCTTTCTTCTGCTACATCCAGTTGTAAGGCATCATTAAGATTTTCATCAAATCTCATACAGGGTGTATATTTAGCACCAAGATGAATGAGATCAGCCTATAATAAACATTATTTTATTTAATTCTCCCCAATATATATTAATAACAGGTCTCTATTTTGTATACAATTGCTGTGTCTAAACTATACGTGACACTCTTGAAAGTAATTTTCAAATAATTATCTTACTTTTTAAGGAAATGAAATGAAATGGGGGTTTAACATCCTACTGTTCTGCTCCTAAACTGGGCTAATGAAGACAGGCATAAGCCATACAGTGTGCTATGAGGGAAATTTTGCCTGGGCAGCGACGCTACGGCCTACTCTTATATCGAATTCCAACTGCCAAGGGATCTTTTACGTGCACGCCAATATGTACACAGGGCCTTGGTTTTTCGTCCCATCCGAACGACTAGATAGCTGTCCTTATATAAAGATATGACTTATCAACTTATACCCCTGTAAAATAGGGTAATATGACTAACAGTAATTCCTTAATTTGTATCCATGATAAACAAATCTAATTACCTGTCGTGGACCTAACCAGAGATTATCTCTTTCTCTATGAGCTACTCTTTGTATAGCCAGGTTTGGCATGGTCACCTGAAAGTAAATTAGTTACAGAAGTAAGTAAATTGTTGACAAGCTGTTGACCATGATGTTTTATAAAACTATATTTCGATGACAAATAAAAATACAACTATGCTGTAATTCCTGTGATAAAAGTTTATCTAATCTATGAACACAATCCATGCTGATAGAGTAATATTGATTTTATATAAAAATAGAAGTTTCAAAACATCAGCTGATTACAATTTGCCAATTTAATAGTTCTAGTACTGTGGTTGATCATAACTGCATGTCTTCAAATATCAACTTGATGGTTGAAACATATACTGGCATGTTATTTCATTAATATTACCCCCCCTCCCACCCCGCCAAAAAAAAACAACTTTAAATCTATGATTCTATTTTAATTGTTTATTGGAAAAGACATATTTTCTTAAATAGGTACAGCCAATTATTGCTGAAGAAATATGTTTTTACAAGGTGAATATACTTACAGTTTCATAATAATCTGTGGTACCAATACCTATAGGAGCTATGCCATACACTGATACAGATACAATAAATATTACTATTTGTACAAATGTTACCCAACATGTAAAATATGGCCTGAAATGAAAAACATATGATGGATCTGTTAAAAAAACCCTCAAAAATGCATAGTGATCAAAAATCCTAATAATAATTATCAAATCAAATTTTTTACATCACTTGATAAAATTTGGGACAAAAGCAGCATGCCAATTAAATATGGTCATAATCTGTTGTATTTGGTTCTATTGTTACCATTACAAAAGCATACGTTGAAAACAACTAATAATCAATATTGGCAATCAATGTTCCCTCTAATTTTTGGTTGTAATTGTGTCCGAAAATCTTATAATATGCAAATTTGGATTCCGTGTGAGTAGCATTTGTATAATTCTAAACTTGAAATTGTTAAAAGATAATTTTGGTAGACTATCTCTATTACCTAATAAAAATGCGGTATCTGAGAACTGGAATATTTGTTTTGATATTGCCTTTAATTTTTGTGAACATTTATTCCATTTGTGCAACAGTTGCAAAGTGTGCAACAGTGTTTGTAAGTCATATTGTAAATTTTATTTTAATAGTCAAATTGGATATCCGATGTTTAAATTGAGATTGAGCAAAATGCTTTCAAAATTCTAAAATTAAAAATATGTCTATCTTTATACTTTACCTATGATCATCCATTTCATCTATTTGTTTTTTCACATCCCTTGTTACTTGATCACTCCGAACACTTCGATGAAAAAATTTACCAATGACACCTTGACCAACAGCTCGTTTATGTTTTTGAAATGCTGAATCTAAAAGTTTATTTGGTATCTTTTTTAGAGCTTTAAAATCTATGCCATCAACCATGTCCACAGCAGGTGTGTCTGGTAGTGCAGGAGGAGGAGGTCTTCGCCATCCTTTCAAAGGTGCAGAATCAGGTATTGTGGGTGCTGTTGGATAGCTGCAAAGAAATAGGACTTAAAAAGTCAAATCTTGATTTACTTAGGTGGCAAATCATCATTATAAATGTACATTACAAATCAACTCTTTAACTACCGAATAATTTTACACATATGGACGGAATAATTCAGTTTTTTTATTGTTCTTCAGGACAGCAGTCATAACCCATAAAACATTAATATTAGGTGCCTAAAGGTTTCCCATTGAAATATTCAATATTCTTTCTAATGCAAATGTTTTTTTGAAATTTCAAACTTCAAAGATTATAAATTACCTAAAACTCGATACAGTCTGTGTAGGTCTCCAGGAGAAAATTCTAAAGAAATGCACAGTATATATAGCAAAATATTGCATCACAATATTCAGGAATAAAAATACAAGTCATAAAACAAATAAAAACTAAATATGATGCCCACATTAGACAACATAATTACTGCCTGCTAAAGAGTCCAATCTACACTGGACCTTCAAAGTACTAGGCCCTCTACCTCAATGGGGCTTAGTGTTCGTTTCCACCTAGGGTGATATCTAAGACAAAGTAGTAGTCACACACTTTAGCCATTTTACAACTCAATCAGTAAACAGTTTCAACGTCAAGAGGCAATAATCTTTGATTATAACAGTTTGTGTGACTAGTTTTCATCATTTACATATTCATCAGCCAATGGGAGATTGTGTTTCATAATATGTCAGTAGACCGCTGGTGACTGGCTTGGCTTTGTTAAAGAGTTAAGATAACAACTTCAAATTAAATTAGTGATGAGCCAATTGATTTTACGGATATCAAATACTTTCGGACAAAATATCTGCTGATACAGATATGAATAATGATATCTGGCAAAGAAAAGTTGCTCAAAATGTTACATAAATTTTCTAAGAATTATCTTTAAATAAAAATGACAAAAGATCCATTTGAAGTGTGTAGTTTCAATATCAGCCGAGAGCAAAACCAATAATCAGCTCATCACTACTTTCTTAATTTTTTTTAACTAGTTTAGAATATTGTCTCAGAAATACCTGCCATCTCGACTTCTAGTGGATTCTTCTTTGATATTATCTAATCTATCACCAAAATCATAATCCAACTCATCATAAAATACATCATCTATTAAACTAGAATCATCACCTCCTGTCAAAGGCTGTAAATAATATACAATAACTTCTGAAAAATTTTATAACACTAGGTAGTGAAAGTATGAATAATCATTTACTAATGACAAATTGAATTATTTCTCCCTGTGAGAGATGAGGGGGATACTTGATTGAGCTTTCCGGAATTGAATCCTCTCAATCCCAAAATTAGTGACAATCGGGCTATAACGCATACGCATAAGAAAATATCTCAACCAGTGATGGGATTTCAAAATTTTTAGTTGTCGGACATTTTCTTCCCGAAAATAAAGGGACATAACTCTTATTGTTATTTAAGCAGGCATTTTCAAACCACAATTAAGAATCACATGTCAACAAAATATTCAAATTCATACTTAATAAAAAAAAAAATAGGTGCACCTCGTTATTTTTCATATTTAATTCCCGTACGTTATTCAAATTTATGTCAATAATATTCCTACAAAATAACATGACATCGTAGTACCATAGAATGAAAGCGTGCCGACTACTGCTCATCCATACCGGTTTCAAATTCCCCCCAAATTACCGTATTTTTCGGGTCATAAATCGATATATTTTTCAGCAAAGTCCGGCATTCGTCTAATACTCCGTTTCGATTTATATACGGAAGGTAAAAAAATGACATCCCGAAATTTATTTGGCCGTAAACTGTAGTAAACGTCGCTCTAATACAAGGAGCGAGTGACACCAACTACTAAATAATCCCATTCTACTCTAAGCACGCGCTATCGTCTAAAACAACTACCGTAACTACTTACGTTATTCCAATCGAAATATTCGTCAACATTTCTTAGCGTGTTTATTTATTTATTTAAAAACATTAACCCCATTCAAAATATGATCATAAATCCAACAATATGCCATCAAAATAGAATCTTTTCTCCCGACATCAGACGTATTAGATTCGGCACGTTTACACCTCTTAATTCCACGTGTCTCGCGAGATTTCTACTTTCATTTTGCGCGTGTGTGAAATAGCTTTATTTAACTTCGGCTGAAGAAATATCACAGACAAGTTATCGGACACAATGTATATTGATTTGGGGTGTTATATACTATTAGGATATGTGACATATGACTGATGTCTACGGTCGACATCACGGGTTAATCTGACTTCTGTTCAGGATTGAATTGATGAATTGTCCGACAAAGAATTAAGTCAGCCAATCAAGGCAGATTAAGTAGTTAATCAAGGCAGGTGAATGGGCGGTATATAACTATAAATACGTTGATCACTTAATTACCTAATCAATCCAGCCTATTATCAACGATAATCGGGTTGAGTGGTAGTTATACACTCAGTAGGCCTACACTATATTAATTTTGAATATTATTTACCATGTCTTGATGTCCGATTGGGAATATTCCTGGTCAGACAATTTAGGACGTTTGGAAAATAGCGTCGGACATGTTCGGAATATACAGGCAAAATCTCATCACTGATCTCAACTACACATGACAGCTGAAGCACATTTGTAGTATTCAACTAAATTACGTCACGATTCTAATCACACCACCTTGGCTGTTGTAACTGACAGAACTGTGTCTGAAATGAATTCTGTGTCACTTATTTGTAATTGTTTCAATTCGGGATGTTCCGGACTGACAATCAGAATCCCAGAGGAGTTTAAGTTATAGCCCAGCTATAATCCTTCGAGAAAATGAGGATTTGTATCAATGGGGATTTGTGTGGCATATCTCAACCGGAATATAACATATAAAAAAATCAATATTTACTGTAGGAGGCATGTAGCCATTTGTCTCATCATCACAAGGTACTTCAGCACCAAAACTACCAGGTGCGATACTTCTTACTCCTTTTAAACTCTGTTTAGCTTTGAACTTTTTCTTGGCTCCCTGAATTTCAATCAAATTAAAACATAAAAATATCTTCAAAGCACTAAAAATACAGTAAGATAACAGAATTAAAATTTGACCATTGCACATGTCAATTGAATGCAAAGTTTTAAAAGATCCTGTTACACCATAAAACAAAAGCAATGGTCTAATATTAAGTAGTCTGGAACCAAAATATTGTTCTGTCAAATCAGATTTAGGTGATTTATCAAAGTACCGTAATCATTGTGAATTGCTGTGTTGATTAATAACTGCTTATTTTTAGAAAATATACATGTAAGATAGATTACTCCTAAGATGAAAATCTTCATATTTTCTACGTAATAAATATGGATTGATAACCTGTAAAATCTATTTGTTAAAAAAAAAATTTGATTGCTTACAGCTAAAGTTGCTAATCCTTTCATTGTCATTTTCATAACAGAATCTTTTCTACGTCGCTGCTTTAAATTTGAATTAGCAAAAGTACTGGTACTTGACAGAGCTGTTCTCATGGACGTTGAGTCACTCGCCCTTCCACCGGGTACCCTAAATGGATCTCGGATCATTCGGGCATCAGCAGTTGATATCATTCCATCTAATTCATCATCTGGCTTTAAATACTCATCCTTCAACTTGCCAAGATGCCCTCTATATCGCATACGTCTGTTGTCCCATCTTGGTGCTTTTGTTGGATCATCTTCTCCAAGACCAAAAAAATCAGCAACACTTGTCTTCATATACCTTTAAAATTATATTGAGAAACATCTAGCCTATATATGACAATTTTTAAAATGCTGGCCTTAAATACTAGCCCAGAAACCTAGTGGTTAGTCGTTCAATTTCTGAAGATGATATTAAGCTGAACAATTATTGCCAATCACAAAATAAAACATGCATGAATTTTCTGCTTTTTTTTTCTTGCATGTATCTTAGCTTACATCACAAAATAAAACAAACAACGATGTATCTTACCAAGGCAAAATTACCACATTCATTCGCTTGATACTAGTACATGACGCATAAAATATATTACCGTTTTAATCTATCCATTTTTCCGGTGCTTTGCTGGCTATCCATTCGACCAGGTGGAGCACTTGCTGTTGTCATCCTAGATTCTTGTCGATTATATGCCATTTTCTTTATCTTTTAGATTTCTGTCACTACTTACAATTTATCGTCATCTCCATAAAGATTTTTCTTACTATAAATAACAAAAATAGATTTTGTATCAACAATCATTCTTTGACAAAATGGACCAAACAATACAAGATACCTTAATAACCTGCACAGCTTTTCAATTTTTGTATGTCTGCCCTTAGAATTAAACGCTTGATGCATCATATAGTGCTATAGGAATCCCTTGCAGTTTAATCTCTAATAGGAATATTAGTTTTTAATCTCTAATAGGAATATTAGTTCAAGAATGGTTCAATTCCTTTCACTACTGGTATTTACAAAGTTATGACGAATTGAAATTTCATAAATCTTTGCTCCTGCATGTGACACTGCAATCCTTTATTGGTATCAGAGAAATCTGATGGACCTAGAGCTAGTTTAAATCCAACTGAAACCCAGCTGGGACAGTTGATATTTAGATATTGTTTTCTTGATAAAATGTTGCAATATTTAGCGTGGATTAAGAAATTTGATATTTTTGCAGAATCACAAATAATGCAACAAGTCTTTAAAAGCAAGAGGCTATCGCCACCTGATTTTAAACAAGCAAGGGAAATGTCTAATGCCCTACATTTCTGCTCCATCCAAGCTACAGCATATTATATCCTATAGTGTGAGGGACAGCGGCACTCCAGCCTACTCTTATTATGAATTCCAATTGCCAATGATGATAATTTTATTTAAAAAGAGTAGAAAATTAGGTCAACGCAAAGGCCTTTCTTACATTTTGCCCTTTCTACTAAAACTAAATGAAAATTTATGTGCATGCCAACGTGTAAATGGGACTTGATTTTCATCCCATCCGCTCGACAAGATACCATTAGGGTATCTTTTAAATAATACAGTACGACTATATTTTAAGTTGCTATACATGTACTCTCAACAGAGAATTGGTCCTTCTTACAGAATTTAAAAAGTCAATCAACATGTTATACAATGATTTATTTCTTTTGCTATGTGTTTACATAGAATTTTTTTGTTATTTCGATCCTTTGCCAATGTTTGATCGATCACTGGCCACCGATACATAGTGGATTAGGCGAGCAAGTGCATCATATGGCCTGTTGAATGTAGTCCTACTAATCTGTCTGTCAATGTTTATTATAGTTGCCAATATAATCAATATTCAACTGTACATTCTTCAGTCTAAGTAAATATACACATAGTCCACATCTACAATATATCATTTTAAATCCTGTGACAAATAATATAGTTTATTTTATGATCAGTAGCGGAATACCGCGTTTTATCAGTGAAATAAAAGTGTTATTCCACTGGCTAGCAGTAGTCCATGTTGTTTTTACCTAAGTTTTCTTGCTTCTCGATGAAATAAAATATGTTATTCACTCTAAAACGACAAATATCCTCTATATATTACTATTTATTTTTATGTTGTATAATATTTCATGCATTGATGTCATGGATATGAATTATTGTAAAGGCCTGAAATGACATTGATGAAAAAAAAAAAAATATCTTATCTTATCTTATACCTGGGTCAACTGTAAAACCTCACGGTGAATATAACCCATTCATTGAATATATTAGGGATGAGATATGGTGCCTACTGCCATGAATATTTTTGAGTCATGAATTATACAATGCTGAGAAAATAGAAGTGTAACCAGACTGATTTTAAGTACCCATATAGCAAATTAAATTATATATTAGCACATCATTAATTGACAATATCTTTACGTGACAATACTATATATTACACCTGAATATGTCAGGATTTGAAACAAAAAAAATCGAAAACCAAATAAGAGTCCGTAACAACCATTGCCGCATTGGTCATACTGCAATCATGGAAATTTCAATCATATGAACATGTCTTTTAGATAACATGATCTAAAACAAAGAACCTGCATGAATATACAATATAATATGACGTGTGAATATCGCAATATTTAAATAATAAACATATAATTACCATCATTTTTACAGACATTTATACAATGTTGCCATTTCCGTTTTATTAAACAAACTCAGTGCGCAGACGTAGATCTTCTCAAGAGGAATTCCTGTTCTATTATTAACCCTTACCACACCGAGCAGCACACACTGATCCGCAGTGAATATTCGCTAGGTCGCTACAATCACTGATAAGGATGACATCACTGCGACTTAATGAGTCTCAAATAATAACATTTTTCCACCGACAAATTAAATTCTAAAACATTTTTTGATGTATTAGAAAAATAAATCAAGACGTTAGACGTATTTGTAGGTAAAAATTATTTCCTATTTAGTGTAAATGGGTATTAAAATGACTAAAAGACAGAATTCTGCCCGAAGCAGTAACGTCTTATGTAAACAATGCACGCGCCATTCAGCCAATGAATGACGCCGCGTGTTGTGACGGCACGTGTTAAAGACAGTCATTTTTTACAGTGATATTAGAGAAGACTCGTAATTCCCTGTGAAACAGATTGCGAGCAGCAGTGAATATTCGTTAGGCCGCTACAATCACTGATAAGGATGACATCACTGCGACTTAATGAGTCTCAAATAATAACTTTTTTCCACCGACAAATTAAATTCTAAAACATTTTTTGATGTATTAGAAAAATAAATCAAGACGTTAGACGTATTTGTAGGTAAAAATTATTTCCTATTTAGTGTAAATGGGTATTAAAATGACTAAAAGACAGAATTCTGCCCGAAGCAGTAACGTCTTATGTAAACAATGCACGCGCCATTCAGCCAATGAATGACGCCGCGTGTTGTGACGGCACGTGTTAAAGACAGTCATTTTTTACAGTGATATTAGAGAAGACTCGTAATTCCCTGTGAAACAGATTGCGAGCAGCAGTGAATATTCGTTAGGCCGCTACAATCACTGATAAGGATGACATCACTGCGACTTAATGAGTCTCAAATAATAACTTTTTTCCACCGACAAATTAAATTCTAAAACATTTTTTGATGTATTAGAAAAATAAATCAAGACGTTAGACGTATTTGTAGGTAAAAATTATTTCCTATTTAGTGTAAATGGGTATTAAAATGACTAAAAGACAGAATTCTGCCCGAAGCAGTAACGTCTTATGTAAACAATGCACGCGCCATTCAGCCAATGAATGACGCCGCGTGTTGTGACGGCACGTGTTAAAGACAGTCATTTTTTACAGTGATATTAGAGAAGACTCGTAATTCCCTGTGAAACAGATTGCGAGCAGCAGTGAATATTCGTTAGGCCGCTATAATTACTGAGAGTGATGACATCGGTGCGGGTTAATTAATAAGCTCGCAATATTAAACTTTTTTTCCGTCACCGAATTAAATTCTAGATTTTGTTTTGAAGTATTAAGAAATTAAATAAAGGTGTTTGTTTGAAGTATATCGGATCTGGATAAAAAAATATTTCCTATTTAGTGTAAATGGGTTGGTGCTGTAAACAAGGCCATTTATAAGAATTGATCCATAACCTATATACAGATATGTCCACCTATCCTATAAGATGGGAGTAAGGGGATGGACGGTGGGAGTTTCAAACGCATTAATAATTTGGCTGTATTGCATGACCCACCGAGATAACCTGACGAGACTTCGTTGTGAAGTGCGCATGTACAAATACTCCAACCAATGCGCATGATCCGATTGCTTAAATGTCATAAACTCAATTTGAACAAGTTACAAATAATAATTTATGCCAATAAAACAGAAAACAAGAATAATAATAAATTTAACCAATTTATTTGCACAAAGGGGGGTGCACTCCACCAAATTAAGTCACAGAGAAATACACCTAGAGTTGCACCCCCAATAAGTTCGTGGCACAGCACGAAAAAAAAAGTAAATTGATTTGAGATATACATGTATCTCAGGATAAAAATCCAACAAATTAACATAGTAACAATAACTAATGAATGTGACTTAATTAAAATAACACTAAAATGATAATGGAATTATAACAATAAACTACTTAAACGTTAAGTAAACCAGGACCGCGGACCTGCTTAATACCACAATTAAAGTTGTAAATCGGGGACTGAGGCCCCTACGATTTATTTATGAACAGCTGGTAGACCCGGGACTGCGGCCCCTACAATCTACGTATGAAATGTCTGGTAAATCCGGGACTGCGGCCCCTACGATTTATTTATGAACTGCTGGTAGATCAGGGACTGTGGCCATCTACGTATGAAACTCTTGTAAATCCGTGTCTGCGGCCCCTACGATTTACTTATGAAATGCTATTAGACCCGGGACTGCGGCCCCTGTGATTAACGTGATGATTAATTAGGTAAGGAGAAGCCGCTTTCGCAATATCCATGTAAAAGAGATTGAACCCTCTACTCATAGAAAAAACTACGGTGAGACGAACTGGACACCCGCACAGTAATTTTGTTGACTTCTAAGAAATAAATGGATATTTTTAAAAAAGAATTCTTGGAATCGTCGTTAAAACTGTAAAAATGTGAAAATGAATAAGAAATGCGCCACCAAATCAGAGTTTTACTGACCTGTTGTAGTGGGAGTTCGCGTCAGGGGTCGTACGAGCGGCTTTTGACCCTATGACGTCAGACAATGATTAATCAATCATCGTTGACGTTTCTAGTGGTTTACCCATAGGTTTACCCACAGTTCCGTGCATCGCACGGCAAGAAGTCGCCGTAACAGATGGTTTCATTGACTAATTCCTCACGCCATCCATAACGCAGGTTATAATAACAACTCTTCCAAATCCTAATTTAGTACAGTAAAATAAAACGAATTTTTGAACTATATAAAACGAAACGAAATAGGATCCGTGTTTTAATCAGATTGGGGTGTTTCGGACAGACAGTGGAATTAAAAGTGAAGCCATATGATAAATCAAATTCCCAGATGTTATAAAATAGATTCTATATTATTATATGAAACTGGGGACCAAACAGATACGTAACTGTGGCAGTTCTACTAGCCGATCTCCATGTTCAAGGAACCGAGGCAACTCGTGTTTGGAACCAAACTGCGATAGCGTGTAATCCGAATCAGCTGGATTGAAGGAATATGTTTTTTATTTGTATATCTAGAAGCTATATAATCGTTATGGGCTACATAATTTCGCCATATTATGTAAGAAGAAATGAAATGAAATGGGGTTTAACGTCCTACTGTTCTGCTCCTATACTGGGCTAATGAAGACGGGCATACGCCATACAGTGTGCTATGAGGGAAATTTTGCCCGGGCAGCGGCACTATCGCCTACTCTTATATCGATTCCAACTGCCAAGGGATCTTTTACGTGCATTCCAATGTATACACGGGACCTCGGTTTTTCGTCTCATCCGAAGGACTAGACAGCTATCAAGGGGGAACCACGCCGGAAAATCTGGATGAACTTTCTCGGCCAATGTAGGGATCGAACACCCGACCTCCAGGCGAGCGAGCCAGCGTGATCCCAATATGTAAGAAGAAATAAGGCTAATTTAGCTCGGCTAAATGTTTTAATATATAATTATGCTGGTAGAATGGGCATAGCTCCACTGAGTAGTCATAGAACTATATCTATCAATATTTTTTTTCTCAGACATAATGCTAGATCTTCCTATAACAACTAATAAGTAAGTGCAATTGGACGATTTTGTAACACCAATCTGTATTGGAATATGCCTTGAATAGTTTAAATCACGCCCGTCGGAACTTAATTCATAAATTATGAGGGAGGGTGTGAGGGGCTGGTCTAGTAGTGAAGGCAAACTGGGGTTCCGAGGGCTTGTCTTCAGGCCAAGTTTTACACTAATAAAAACATATTTGTAAAATTTGGTTGGGATTAAGCCCACCGAGGTCTCAACATTTCGCTGAATCCCACACACTGGCATGGTTTGTGTAGGCTATTTTGTTTTAGAAATTATCGACAGTTATATAGGGAAGTTGGGGGTATGAAATAAAGATTACTATAGATTTTGATTCTTTCAATGTTTGGGTTAATCTCCACACGGTGCTGTATTAAAAACCTGTAGAGGCCTCTGTTATATGGAATTAAAAAAATCGTCATTATATATTGAGACAAAGAAGATAAAAGTAAGAAAAGACAAAAAAAGCCCCACAAAGTGATAAACTAATTAAAAGTCCTTAACTAATTTTAAAATTAAATATTTTGAATTCGTCATCTAACAAAACAGAAATTCTGTGGTGCCACCAGCCCGCTCGCCCCCACTTCCCCTGGTGCCCTAAGCACGTGCTTATTTTACTTATAATGGTTAATCCAGCCCTGCCCCTACCCCCCCCCCCCCCAACAAATTTAAGTATATGTAAATTTTGTCTCGAGAAGACAGCAAATGTTTGTCAGGAGGACAGGGTATTAACAATTATGTTCTGAAGAGACTCATTATCTTAAGCATTAATATAAATGTGGCGAGACACCCTTACGTGATTTCCACCAAAATATAAAAATAATAAACCATGTAGTAAATATATCATGGGGCTTTAAATTATTTCGAATTCCCATTGCAAAGATACAGATACCTATACACTGATCGTGGGTGGCTATATAGGGCAGCATTAAGGTGTAGCCTTACATGTATAGTAAGAAAATGGCAGGGTGGTTAACGACAACTTGTTATTTAAGTAAAGGTAAACTTCATATTTACCTGGTATACCTTCCTAGACATGCTATATAAACGACACGTGGGTTAATCGGGTCGAATAGCCATGGGAATAATATACCTGGACTTATAGGGAGTCTACAGATTATCCGTCTTATTTATTCAAGAGATTTTACCTAACATAAACTATGAGGTCTTCGATGTTTCAATAAAGTTTGAATACATTGATTAATAAATAGTGCGTGTCTTTTTCATTAGCCACCAATTGTTCAGTAATGTAACGCTAGATCAGACACTGACGTGTTTTATTTGACACACCACTTCAAAAACTCATTTCCTGTCTGTGCTTTATAGAATGGGAAGGCCAGAAAAGTATCTTAATATGACCATGGTTTACTCACTATAAATACATATAATTTGCAATTTCTCCCAGGAAACTTCCAGAGATAGTTAACACATAACTTAAAGTCTCTGAAACAGAATAATCAATAAGCACCCAATGCAAAGCCAAGAAATGTTCAATCAAAGATCAAATCAAAAAAATAAATTCAAAAGTTCTTTCATTTCTTCAAAATTTAAACAGAGAACTTGCTTTCGCCTTTTATGTAAACGTAGAAGTTATATATGAAAAAAATGTTACATTGAGTAGAACCAAAGGAAAATCTGGACAAGTGCTGGCACGCGAATGTTGAAACTTTTAAGGATTCCGGAAAACTTCTTTAAAAATATTAGGACACTACAAATTTCACCAATTACTGTCCAGTGCTTCATGAATAAAAACATGCCTTATCAATAACTGAGATTTATCATTAATAAGAGTCAACTTTCGTAAAATATTCATGCCCCATAACATGTAGCTAAATGAAATGAAATGAAATGGGGTTTAACGTCCTACTTTTCTGCTCCAACTGGGATGATGAGGACGGGCATACACTATACAGTGTCTCATGAGGGAAATTTTGCCCGGGCCGCGGCACTATGGCCTACTCTTATATCGGATTCCAACTGGCAAAAGGAATTCCACGTAAAAGGAAATACTTATAACTTCTTCTAAAATACCGCCAAAACCCCGTGACCCAGCATTTAATAATATCCATACTTTTAACATAATAATGAAGTCTCATTTTCCGCGGCTTAATTCAGGCTAAAATGTAATTAAATTGGTTATTTAGCATTTAAATAAGAAATCTAAACCAAAATATACACGACAGATAATATTAGCCGGGTTTGGATTCGCTGAGATTAAAAAGAGGTCTATCAAAAGATTTTAGCTAGGGTTATATTTATTGACGTACGTATATTAAACAATGCATAAGCCTCAAAACATCAGACTCTATACTGATGAGAAGTTTAACCCCATATATCTACTATCTTTTATAATGGTTTATTTTGTAGGTCTTTAATGTTTACCTTTATCATGCTAATTTATATGTAATAAAATCTTTTAATTAAGCAAACTATGTTTAGAATACTTTCTCAAACTATATATATATATATATATATATATATATATATATATATATATATATATATATATATATATATAGAACGTGAATGAATGGTGGATATATCTTGGTTGCTAAGCGGTATAATGATGTCGCGTGAGGCTGTAGTTACCAAGATTCTCGTGGTTCCTGTTAACTAGCAGGAATTCTGTTCATTTAAAATGCAGTCTGCACGCGAAGCAGTGGTCTCGTTACAGATGCCTATTGTAGCAATATAGCCACTGACTGAGTATAACGGAGTGTTGAAAGATAGAACGCATAGATGTGAGGATATTATGTGAGACGGTCTGTCGTTTTGGTTGGGGTTATTTTCGAAGACAGAATAGCTAGCTGACTTACAGTTTTGTGCTAAAGACATAATTTTCTGAGTTATCAGACCGGCTTCTATTTTTCTAGCGCCAACGTATCTGATACCCTTACTACCCGGATGTCTACTGCTTTGACATTTTTACCAATCTAAGATGGATGCAACGAATTACATTGGCTCTATTTCTATTCTCTTCTTAACACTGTGTCTGTTCGTTCAGAAAGGTAAGCACGTTTTCTGTGATAAATAGGCGATGCTTCATTATTTATTTATATGTTTTGTTTTTCATCAGTCATTGACGTTTTGTGTAGTAGGTACTGTACTGACTGTTCTGTGTTATAACTGCTGTAGATAATATCAAGTAGTGTGTATATTATATATAATACTTACATATAGATAGAAATGTGTACATCTCGTGGAACACATAGATACCGTATTTTTTTTCTTAAAAGCTATATATATTAGAACTGGCAGGGAGGTAATGTCAGTGAAACTAATTAATGATACTAATGTCCATGAAGGTCAGAAAGGCGTTGATAACCTATTGATTTACTTTTCTTCAATTTCTTGTAGGATGGTCAAAGGCATTTGCTATCATTTAACTCCTGACGATATAACATGTATCTATTAACACACAGCTGTCAAAAATAGCGACATTAATCCACTAATTATAGCTTAAATAAACTGATTTGACATTGACCATTAATCTGAGCAATTAACAGTGCGGTTCGACCATTTTTCCAAATCAATGCCTACTATTGATTTACATGGATTTATGAAAAGTTGTCGTGATGATGGGTGTTGAAATCCAGATGACCTCCCGTAAACCACTAGTCAAATATTGGTAAGGGCCCATGTGATCATGTTAATTAGGATAATATTGGTAATAGATGCCGAAACAGATAGTCCGAAATATAATCGATTTTTTTCTTAGTGGTTCTGGGCAGACTATTTGTTTATTAACAATTGCTCTATGATGAAGTCCAGCTTAACAATGGACTACAGTTAGCACCTAATTATTCCAATGCTTTGTAACTATTTCTGGACGTTTTAACCCCTTTTCATTTAAAAGTCCATTAGCATTCACAGATGTGTCCGTTCTTACAACGCATGACAAATGGAATTAGATTATGAAAGTCTATGTTATTGTTACAGGAATTCATGTTACATTCTTTCGTTTGTATGGTTAGGACACTGGTCGAACACCGGAGTGGTCCGAGAAGAACCTCCAATCCTTTCAAACTCGATCTCAGTGTGTCTAGTCGTTCTGATAGGACGGAAAACTAAGAACCCCGTGTGCAACACAGGGAGTGTAGGTAAAAGATGGGGCGAACAAAGGAGCTCCGTATACTACTAATTGGTAGTGCACACGAATGAACCCTGGACAGATTGATTCCTGAGAAAAGTAGGTGGAAACGCCTCTGCCCGTGGGCAATATTGTCCTTTCTCACGTAATTTGCGTAAATAAGCAAAGCAATAAAAGTATGATGCACCGAGTAAAGAAACAAAACCCCATTCGATTCATTCCCACCAGTCAAGATCGTAGAAGATCAAGCATTCTCGTAGGCATTTTAATTCTTGAATATCAGATCTTTAATGAATTTAACATTTGTTTAACTTAATATGATTGACCATTACATTGATTAGCAAATATACAACCCTAGACAAGAGTAATTGTTACTAAGTCCCCATCTTTAATCACAGAACAGAAAAAATCATACCGATGGGACATCCCTTAATATGTTCCATGCATTTCCTTAGACAGAAAACGTGAAAAACAAAGTCTTGGATGGTGGAATTTATTTTAGTTGACATCATTGCATTTTAATCCGCCCCTAAAGACTGGTAACAGATAGATAGTCCCAAATGTTTCTAAAACATCTTGAATTGGATGCGTTTGTTGTCCCCAGTGCAGCCAACGTCGGCTACAAAACAAAATAGTTACCTTATTAAGCTAGTGTTTTCAGGAACGATGGCAGGTTCTCGATATCCGCTACATGACCATATGAGTTAACTGACGTGACATGTACCTTTAGTTTGCCCAGATCGCTATTTGTTTGTTTCAGCGCCCCAGAATCTCAGTCTTGCATCACTATTAACTGGAAACAGCCGGGATCGAACCATGGACCTCCTTGTATGAGCCAGCGCCTTATCCACTGAGCCACCGTGACTCCCCGTAGTACAATTCTTCAGTGTAGGATAATATGTTTATATGGTTAAAGGAAGTTGCATTTAGTTTAAAAATATCAGTCAAAACATCTAACAAAAACCCAAAGCTATGACTATGACGTATCTTTCTGTATGTATGATAATGCTCTTTCAATTTCGCGTAATAGTTTATTATTAATTAATCTATATATTATTGCAACAGTCGGTATCCATTAAAAATTCAGAAGGCATGATGAATCAATTAGTAAATTGTATATCGTCGTTATAAAGGATACTTTACATGTTAGGCTTTATTCTCAAAGAACTATGCTTCTTTGTCTTTTTGCACATTCTAAAATGATGATCTTAATCACAGCTTTGGGATTTGTTTGATGCATTGAAAGAGAACTGTGCGTAGTAAAATCAATGACTTTCTTTGTGTTAAGCTGTTTGCTTTATCTACTTTCTAAATCTAGTTTAAGTCGTATTAAATCTTTAGCCCTATACTTTCATTTATTTTTACTCTGTTGTATGCAAGGTTTCTGATTAATGAGTTTCGTGTACAACGTCTTTGTCACTAATTACCGCTGGGTGTATAATTAAATGCTTTATCTTACATGCTTGTTATTGTTCTTACATTCCATGGCTCTAATAATACACGCATGCCGATAAGAATTGTGTATAAAAATATGAAATTCCTCTGCAAGAGATTATGTAAATATTTTAAGATAAAAGTTACATGAGATTAAAGATAATATAAATTTTTAACTTTCAAGACTCGAATCAGTTTTATTTCCTTTATTGCATTGTATTAAATTCTATTCAGTTAAAAGAATGGCAAACTGTGTAGAATTGTGCCCTTAAAGCTATATAGATGTCAATGTTTAACTTGAATAAATTAATTAATTTGCCTAAGTATTGGACACTGCGAATTACATTGGCTTTGTTTGTCTTCTCCCCAGAACGACCCAGTGTTACGGTTCATAACTATTTCAACACAATAAGTTCTTTGGGGTTTTGTTCCCGCGGTTCACAAATTTATTTACAAATGTTGCTGTACTTCAGTTTGTTTGACTACTTGTATTTGATTTATCACTCCCATCAACTGTCACGTGATATCACAGACTTAATATCAAATCCTGATCAGAATGCGACCCAATAAGTAAGGTTTTTGTTTCTCCCGTACGTTATTTTATAAACACACATTAGATGTATACATGCATTTAATGAGGACGCACTGGCATATAACGCTGGAATGGAGTGACATTAAATCTAGAGCGAATAGACCTGTCAGTGAATCTTACTTGAGTCGATGGTTAAGGATGTCTTAAACATACATTATGCAAGAGCTAAATCGGCCTATTGCAAGTCTTTATCTAGCCTTCAGATGTTATAGAAATTGTTAATTAGACCTTTATTTACACAAGAAGCTCAAAATCAACCCCGTAGACCCTCGGATGGCTTGGATACAGCTTGGATTTAAACAGTTGTCCATTTAAAATTAAAGCAATAAATGGCCGACCAAGCTAACATTTACCGTTAGTCACTGACGCCACTACCGGACAATGCCGATGAAAGGCCTACCAAGCGAGGGTACCATAGCCATTGAGAATGTTACTTGATAATCGATAATATTTGGGTGGAGTTATCGTCTGTCTTTCAAACGATCGACAATTCTCTTAGACGGTTGATGCCTATTTCTAGCCCAAACTTCCAACAGTGATAACTCCGTTCAGAATAAAATAATTTGACTGAAATTTTCAATATTTTTGAATTATAATAGCAAAAATGACCAACTCTTTATTAAACTCTTAACTAATGTATCTTTAATTATGCATATGGATATCCATTGTGGAATCAGATTTTGGTAGTAGATTGTCTAAATGACCACCACCAAAGAAAGCTCATTGCCGCACATGAAGACGACATTGAGGTAAAGTGTAGTGTCAAATGTGACAGTGGCAGAAGTTAGTATGACAATGGCATGCGGGGGGTTTCGGGCAGAGGTTTGAGCAAGCAAGAAGTAAGGATGCTAGACTGTGACAAATTAATACCCTCCCGAATGGATGGCCAGACCACGTCACTAAGCTTATGAACAAAAGAAGAGAAATAGCAGCAGGTGTTTTATTGCCAGTGATATAACTGCTATTCCTGGCATTATCTGAAGAGTACATAATTATACATTTTAAAAAGAAAACCAAACTTTCGCATTCTCAGCATCAATAAAGTTTAATTAACCAAGGAGAAGATTAACGTTCTTGTTGCTTGTGAAACACAGATTCCGTGAGCCATATTATTATTAATTTTGAGTGACTTACATGCTATGAATGTAGTAGTTAATGTATATTATGATACCTGTGTAAACTTGGCAGACTTTCCCCCCCTGGCAGATTGTATCTATAAATACATGTATTAAATCACTAATGAAGTTATTTGCACTATTAAAATTCAGTTAAAATATGACATGAACCTAAAAACTCACGATTCTGTACAGATAGGTAAAAGATAATATTATTTCTTATAAACTAGACGCTCGTCCATATCAAAAGTTTCGAAATCCGGCATGATCATGTGTTTTTTGTTTGATAAAAATTATTTAACATACGACATTTGGTCTGATCCATGTGTTGATTAAGACCATAGCAACGTCGGCATTTCCTGACAATACTATATCCTCGATTATATCAGAATATTAAATATTCAGCGTTAAAATCATTCGTTGTTTTACCGTTTTCTACGTCTGCGAATACCCTATGATTGACGGGTGTAGATTTCTTGTTCATCTCAAATGTTATCTCTCTGACAGTTCTATCAACCACCACCTCTTGTTAGATGCCAGTCGATACACCGCCACATCAATATTTGCCCAGAAGCTAGTTTGGTCAGATATAATTCAGAAATAGCTGTTTTCTTGCTTATTCTGTAGCTGTCGACCACCACACAGCTTAATTACTTGCTTTGTGTAAATCAGCAATTTTTACTGAAATTAGACAAATCCGCTTCTGTGAAAAGAGGCTTCTTACTATAAAAGTCCCAACATGCGAGAATTAAAGGTTAAACAGACTTTAAGACCATG